TCAATAAAACTCACCAATCGTACTTCTTGTACTTACAAAATCGTACAAAATCGCAATGACAAAAAATTCCTCTTTCAAGGGATTCCAATAGCTACAAAGAAGAATAATATAATATTTTCGGAGGTCAAACAATTTGTGCAAACAACTCAAACGCTTTCTAATGGATATAAAAAGAGCTGATTTGTTTTGTTTATTTGTTTTCGTTTTTGCTGAGCTTTTTTGGAGAATAGCTTTTTAATTCAGCTGACCATTTGGCTTTTTAAGGCTCAAAATTTATCGACTTAATTTCAGATAATGAACTTACTTTTGATTCTCTCGATCCTTGTTACACTGATCTCAACGTCTTACTCGATGGAGACGCTGAATAGTGAAATGTAAGTGATTTTCGCATGACAATTCAAGGTTTTTCGTGTTTTTCTCAGCACCAACCCTTCGAATTTGACTATTTTGACTACCATTCGATGCAGAATAAAATTGCGCGTCGAATGATATCAAAATCCAACTCAAAATGTGATATCCATGCAAAGTTCTGCGGCAAAAGGTTAGTGATTTAGGTTTTTAGCCAACAACTTTACGTGGATATTATATTTTGAGTTGGTTTTGGTATCATTCGATGCGCAATTTTATTCTGCATCGAATGGTAGTCAAAATAGTCAAATTCGATGGGTTGGTGCTGAGAAAAACCTTCAATTGGCAACGACAAAAAAAAGATCGACAGATATTTTACAAGTTTATATCAGATTACTAGAAAGTATATCAAATATTACAAAGCTAGGAATCAAGATTTATGTAATGCTCTAAAATCACTCCTTGCTACTTGCCGTCCCTTTGAAGGCCTAACCAGAACTCTGATTGTAAGTAGGAACTGATTCAAAACTTCTGTCAGTTCTAATCGTTTTCCTTTTCAGTAAACCAAACCGAGCTCGACGAGGTGCAGAATGGCTGGGAGAACTGGGAAAAGAACTGATCTCCCCGATTGTGGGAGTGAAATGGAGTGAAATGGGGCACGAGAGAATTCGGCAAGAGGAACTGTTCGTGTGGATGGGGCTCATGTGTCAAAGCACCCGGCTACAAGGCCAGCAATCTCTGTTCGGCCGGCTATGCGTTTCATTGTTGCAAGAAAGCGTGATTCTATTTAATAAACTTGATAAAAATGACTCCATCAGAATCCAATCAAAAACATTGCTTTCCTAATTATTGTACATCATTATTCCCGATTTATTCCCGATTGATTTATTCCCGATTGGAAATTCACAGAAAGCAAAGCAAACAAAGTTTCAATTGATCGAACCATTGAAGAAATTTCGAGGGCGAAATGCAAGTGACCAAAAAAGGGCACTTTTTGAAAACCCCACTTTCACAAGAGTTCGGTTTTGACTATATAGTGGAGAATGACCACCCTAAAATATCATTCAAAATAATTGAATTGAATTGAATTAAGAGTTGGGATCATTTCATGGGAAAACTTTGTTTTTACCTATGGGCGTTTATCAAGACGAAACTCAAGGGAAAACGGTTTAGCTCCAAGACGGATCTTTGGTACTTCGTACGGTGAGTTTGAGTGACAATTGCGCCACAAATTTTACGCGATCTAGTTCACAGTATGCCTCGGAGGCTCCAAGCGGTCATTGCAGCTAAAGGCGGACCTACAAAATATTGAATTTTTCGCCTCTTGAAATTGGAACCATATTGGAACTGTATTGGAACTGTATTGGAACTGTATTGGAATTGTATTGGAACCGTATCCGAACCATATTGGAACCATATTGGAACCGTATCCGAACCATATTGGAACCGTATTGAAACCATATTGGAACCGTATTGGAACCGTATTGAAACCGTATCGGAACCGTATTGGAACCGTATTAGATCAAAATAGGAACCGTATTGGAACCCTATTAGATAAAAATATTTGATGTATGTCTGTGCCGCCAAGAGTCCATTGTTTTTGTGACCTTTTTGTCGTTTAAGCTTATTTTTGTTGTCTAAAATAAACTTTCTAGTTTAATGCTTGGTCATAGCTAAAAGTAGAGTAAAAATGCTCGAAAATACTTGTGACAACTTTTTTATAGCCTCTCGGGAAGGTTCCTAAATTTGCGTTTGAAAGTTGCCACCCAGGAGCCGCCAAGACTTTTGTCCATGACTGTATAGTGGAGAATGAACGCCCATTATCCTAAAAATATCATTGGAAATAATTAAGAGTTGGGATCATTTCATGAGAAAACTTTGTTTTTACCAAAATTTTTCTTTTTTGTGAAAAAGCCGGTTTTTTTTGATAATTTTGAGGGTTTTGAACTTACGCTCTATCTAAATTTCTGTAAATGCATTTCCGCTAGACTTTTTTAATGATATATAGTTATCCTATTTGATATATAGTTATCCTTTTTTTTAAATCTTCAATTTTGAGAAGCTAACTCTATTTTAACCACACTAAACTTGTACCTAAAGTGACTCGATTCCTTTTTTGGTCACTCGCATTTCGCTCTCGAAATTTCTTCAATGGTTCGATCTTCAATGGATCAATTGAAACATGTTGTCTCTACAGATTTGGTTCCTTTTCGGTACAGATTTGGTTGCTTTTCTTCTCTACAGATAGCCTATTTTGTAGAGGAGATTTACAACTTTCAAATAGTATATAACAAATAGTTTATAACATTCATCGATGTCAAGATATCGATGAATGTTTCTATCATTGGAAATTTATGAAAATGTTGAAATACGCATTTCTTATGCATGTACCTAATATTTTGGACTAAAAAAACTGTGTTTCTCGCGGGAAACGTGCATCGTGCATCAAAAAGTGGACGTCCACCAGTTACAGCTTTACGAGAAGACAATGCGCTCGTTCTGGCTCACAAGAAGAACCCAAAGCTGAAGCCCAAAGCCCAAAGCCTCTGATGGCATGGCTATGGTGAAGCAACAATTGAACCAAGAAATTTCTCGAAAAACAGTGAGTCGACGCCTGATTCACGGTGACTGATGAATTGATGAATTGATGACTAAGAAGGGCCGCCAAGAAACCTCTGATGGTAGCTAAGTACCGAAAGCTTCGTCTCGAGTTTGCTAAGAAGTATCAAAGTTGGACGTCGCGCGATTGGGCCAATGTTTGTTTTGATAGTTTTGCTAATGCTAGTTTTGCTAATGCTAGTTTTGCTAATGCTAGTTTTGCTAATGCTAGTTTTGCTAATGCTAAAACTAGTGATAATAAGCTCTTTAAATCTTTTAACCGTAATCTTTAATCTTTTAACAAATTGGTCGGATTTGTATCAAGATATACAAAGAACAAACTTCTAAAAACCAACGTTAAAAGACTTTTGTCCATGACTGTAGTTGTTAAGGGTTTTGCATAACTTACACATACGCTCGTGAAATATCACTTCAAAGTCAAAGTTTTGCTTTCTCAACTCACTTCAAAGTCAAAGATTAAAATGAGATTTGCTTTCTTTTCCATACTTCAAAGAAAAAGTGTTATTTTTATTTATTTATTTTTTTTTTGTTTATTTATCATATTGCAGCCGTTAGAACATGATTATAGCAAAAAAAAAAATACTTTAATTGATCATTAGCATTCGCAAACCAAGCCGATAAGTCAAATTTCAGATTTTTACTTTTTCATAAAAGGCATTTTTTAGAAAAATCTACAAGCCGGATTTTTATATATAAATATATAAATAAATAATTAAAATATATAAATATAAATATATTTATATATTTTAAAACTATCATTTTTAGAATCAGGGCATTTTTTTGGTCTAGAAAACGCAAATATCAGTGGTTTTTAACAAAGAACGCTTTTTTACACTGTTTCGCGCTACATGCTAGTTTTTCGATGAATCCTTGACACTCTTTTATCTTATAAACTTACTTCGAGACGTGTGATTAGATTGGATTTTTTCTCTACTTGACTTTGTACTCTTAATGGTGATTTACATCGATTCTCATGTTAGTAATTGCAGTAGCTTTTAAAAGACGTATGTTAACTGGTAGAGTACGTTAACGTTAAAGGTTGAGTAGGTTAACGTTAAAGGTAGAGTACGTTAACGTTAAAGTTAGAATACGTTAACGTTAAAGGTAGAGTAGGTTAACGTTAAAGGTAGAGTACGTTTCTTGACTTTTATGGAAAATTTTTAATCAAGACTCTAAGTGAAGCGAAGTTTGGCAATAAGCACATGTGATTTCAAAGCAAAAGAAAAACTTCAAAAGAAAAACCTCTTTTCCCTCTTAATCTTTTCCCTCTCTCTGATTCTTGGCTCTTTTTTTCCCGCGGGCTCGTCAACAGATTCAAACATGTTATGTATTTCATTGCACTGGATAGCTAGTACGTAAGAGCTTGAATTTAACAACTTAACAATTTAACAACTTAACAATTTAACAACTTAACAATTTAACAACTTGAATTTAACAACTTGAATTTAACAACTTAACAATTTAACAATTTAACAATTTAACAACTTAACAACTTAACAACTTAACAACTTAACAACTTAACAATTTAACAATTTAACAATTTAACAACTTAACAACTTAACAACTTAACAACTTAACAACTTAACAATTTAACAACTTAACAATTTAACAACTTGAATTTAACAACTTGAATTTAACAACTTAACAATTTAACAACTTAACAATTTAAAAACTTGAATTTAACAACTTGAATTTAACAACTTAACAACTTAACAATTTAACAACTTGAATTTAACAACTTAACAACTTAACAACTTAACAACTTAACAACTTAACAACTTAACAATTTAACAACTTGAATTTAACATAAATCTTAAGATACTTTTGTATAAAATTAACGTTTTTATGTGATTCACTCTCGGGAAAATAGCGTTATTCCCTAAAATTTTCGTTATTCCACAAGCTTTTCGTTGATTTTCGGTTGTAAGTATTCTGAAAAATCGTTTTACAAATTCTTTCATTTTATTTTCAAAGTTTATCTACGTTTTTATAACATTTTCTAATTTTAGGCATCGAGTTTTCTTGAAAATTCAATGACACAAACACCAATTTCTGCTCCTGGAGCTCCACGAAAGCCTAAACGAAGCTCGATCGTTCATGTAAAGGTCGGTAATTTCTTATTTCTTGATTTATTTCTTAAATAACTAGTAAAAATTGAAACAAAAAAGTCATTATGTTAAAAGAACTTGTGTTATGTTGCTAAAAGAACATAAATGATTGTAGTTTTTATTGCTATTCACAAAGTTTCACAGAATAAAAGAACAGTTTTGAAAAGTTATAAGGAAAATCGTTGTACTATTCATTCAATCTTTGTTTTTAGGATGTGCCTCCACCTAGCAATATGACAACTCCATCAGCATCAAAAACTGATGATTCGGACGTTTCTTGTGATCTCTTTTTTCTTCATCCAACGCTTTTTGTGACAGATCGTGAGCTTCTACATCGAGAAGTTTTCAAGGTTGGTAATTTGTTCTTTTTCATGGTAAATCATTAAATCGAACTTCTCCATCGTTAAATCGAACGTCTTTATCGTTAAATCGAACGTCTTTATCGTTAAATCGAACGTCTTTATAAGGTAAATATGTAGGGTAATGAGACTTTTGTACAAATGTACAGTCAAACCTCGATTTAACGATTCACAAGTGACCGGGATTCTCTATCATTAAATCGAACGTCTTTATAAAGTAAATAGCTTTCAAGGGACCAAAAATTGACATCGTTAAATCAAGGTTTAGCTGTATACTAGTTGTTGGGTTTAGAAAGTACTTGCAGCTTAGAAAATACTTGCAGCTTAGAAAGTACTTGCAGCCTAGAAGGTACTTGCACTACTAGTTTTGATCTCAAACCCTTATTGGATTTGTGAAATAAAAACTTTTCCTTTAGAAATGCGAAGAAGCGGGCCTTGATCCAAAATGGGTAGAGGATCAAGCGATCAAAAAAGTGAAGCCAAACGATCACAACTTCTACATTTTACACCAATTCGAAGGACCATCCTATGAGATGCTAAAAAACAAAAAGTGCAAGTGAGTAAAAAGATTTTAGCTTTAAATTTCACAAAGCTTTTCAGAACTATCTCGTCGTTTCTGGTGCGCGAATGTCTGAGAGAAGAAACGCCATTGCCGAAAATAAATGTCCCAATCTATTCAAAACATCTAAACGGTGTTCGCATCACTTTTACTGGATTTACGACAGAAGAAAAAGTATTCAATTTTAAAAACTACAAAATTTATATAAAGTTTAGGAACGTCTAACGTCGTTGGTTTTTGCAATGGGTGGCCATGTGAGTCCGCGATTCAGCGAAAGGATTACGCACATGGTGGCAAATGGATACATTCCGGATAACGCTGGGAAATATCGGGTATAGTGTGTTTTTGTCTCTAAAATAGTGTATTTGCAGGCAGCCAAACAGCTGAATGTGCCGATCATGGACGTGAGTTGGTTGGAAGATGCTTGGCTAAAAGCACAAGCGCACGAACCATTCAATTGTGCATCAAATGATTTTGTTCGCGAACATCAAATGCCACTTTTCAAAGGACTGGTGGGAATTATTGGTTTGACTAATCTATTTCTCTCATAGGTAATCACAAAAACCGGAATCTCGCAAGCGCAAATGACCGATTTGATTCGAGCGATTGAGATTAATGGAGGAAAGTGAGTAAATGTTGAAATTTGTATGTTAAAAAGTAACAAATGTTAAAAGTTTTATGTTAAAAAGTAAGTAAATGTTGAAAGTTTGATGTTAAAAATAAGTAAATGTGAAAATTTGTATGCTAAAATGTTTATATGCATTAATTTATTATCGCTTTAGATACTCGCCTTCATTGACTCAGCAATGTACACACATGATCACGGAATCTTGCTCTGGAGATAAATATCGAAAGGTAAAATGTCTTATTCTCACCAAATCACGGAATTTATATGTTTAGGTAAAAGATTGGGAAAAGAGAAGCAAGGCGGAAGAGAAAGGAGTGCGACGAGTGTATTTGGTGAATCTGAAATGGCTGATGAAGTCGATTGAAGCGGGGTAGGTTTAAGGTTGCAAAATTGCAAAACTTTAGTGGTAGAATTGAAAAAGAGTGAGGTGAAGTGAAAACGTTAAACTAATCTAAAAGCGTTTAATCTTTTTGATTTAGTTACATTCAACCGGAGTCCCGGTATGATCCAGAACGACCGACATGCTCTACCCCCACGCACGAGGCTCCGATACAAGATCTTGAGTAAGGATAAAAGATTTGCCAAAAAATTTCCAAATCACAAATTCTTGCTGCAACTTATAACACTTTCGGTATTTCAGCCTCTTTCAGCCAACAAGTATTTAGATGGCAAAACCAGCAATCCTTCCAAATGCTTATTTTAGATTGAGTGCTATTGCTGGCCAGCAAAACGGAAAACTGGACACACAAATCAACTACACTTTTCATCCAAATGGGACTAGTCCGATGGATGATCGGCTTCGGAGGTTTGAAAGTTAACAGAAATCAATTTATTTCCTTTTTAGACTAAGTAATGCTTCTGGTGTTCAAGCATCACCTTATTTAAGGTGGAAATTTCGTTTTTACTTTTAAAATCTTTAATTCAGAACACCTACCAGTGGAAGCGGTGCCAAGTTCGAGAGAAATAGGTAACGTTTTCATTTAAAGTGGAATTTCTTGATGAAACGCCAAGTCTACTTTATTTTTTTAGAGTTTCCGCTTTACGACGTGAGGCAAGGAATAGTTCAATTGGCGGTGAAAGTGGAAGAAGGTTCGATTGTTACTTTGTTCTTTAAAAATAGAGCTCTAGATCAAACCTACAACGATCGAACTCGGCCAGTTTGTTGTGTCAAGACCCAACTGCGATGCTGAATCGAAAGCTTCGCGAATTGAACGACCCGGTGGAAAATCTTGGCCAAGAACGAGATGAACTTGACAATGAATTGGACACTTTAGAGGTAAACAGTTTCATGAGTGGATTCTCAAGCTTCATTTTCAATTAGGGCACTCGAATTCTGATCATCGGTGCCTCAAATTCCTCACTCTCGACTTGGAAACGTGTGCTAAATTGTTTGGGTGCCTGTCGTGTGACGAAAATCATGGCTGACACGCTTGTGGTTATTGTGAGAATATTTGGTAAGTTAAAAGGCGGCTTTTAAAACTTACAGCCTACTGCACTTATAGCAGTTATGAATCAAATGTTCAAAATCAAGAATATTTCTTGCATGCAAATCACTCTTTTTAAGGCAGTGAAGACGAGAAAAAGCTGCGCGAAGCTCAAGAGGTCGGTGTTGTTATTGTGAAAGCCGAATGGGTACTTCAATGTCTTCTACGAAAAGATCAAATCTCTACAAATGGTTGGATTTTGACAAGAGGAAAAACAATATTTCTGTATAGAATACCTATGGAGTGACTATGTAACCGAATTGGAGCGGCAAGTAGCCTTGGAATTGGAAGGACCGAGACGGGAGAATACTGCTGGACAGCAAGATTTGGAGTTTCCGACAAAATCTGGTAAGTTTTTAAGGGATTTCAGAAAATTTGTTTTTCGTTTTTCGTTTGAGATATTACAAAAAAGAATCACTTCTCTATGATTCTTTTCAATTTTCAGGCATCACGACAGAGCTCAACTCGAAATCAAATTTTGGAAGCCAAAATCAAGTGACAAACGAGAACGAAACTGTAAAAGATTAAGAAAACGTCAATAAAGTGTTAACATTTTAGGTTTATGACGAACAATTTACTAACTCAAAGTTTTTGGCGGAGAAAACGTTTCGAATTTTTGAGAAAGGAATGGAACAAGATGATATGGACGAACTGAAGAAGGAAATTCACAATCTTGGGGGTAGTTTTTGAGGGAAAACCTGTAAATTTAAGCTTTGTAGGAACCTATACGGTTGCGACAGATAACACCGTCGATTATCTCATCTTTCCGCTTATCGAATTTGGAACAGTACCCGCGCCAACCGATGAAAATGTTGAGCATATTGTGACTGGATTTTGGCTGGTAAGAATTGTTTTGGAACTATAGACAAGTTAGCGACTAGCTTAACTTGTTAGCTATAGCTTAGCGAATAGCTATTTTTAGCGTTGTTGCATTACGACTGGAAAGCTACTCGAACCGAACGAATCCCCGTTGTTTCGACCGATTCCCGCGTGTGCCGGAAGTACAATTTTCAAGGCAAGTTTGATAAGGTTACCTGGTAGAAATCTAGTTTTTTTTTAAATTCTAAGATGCGCTTTATAAACTTACACTAATCATTCATCTCCTTACCTTTTTTATTTTAGGGTTTAGTCGTCTCGGTCACCGGGCTGGATCACGCGCTACGGGAAGAGATCTCGACTTTGGTTGAGGAATTTGGCGGCATTTTTCAGACGAGTATCAGTCGAGTGGATAAGGTTGGAAGACTCGGGCAATCACTGATCACTGATCATAACTTCAGGCCAATAACAAAAAGAACACGCATGTCATCGCGGGAAATTTAAGCGCAAAGACGAAGACATCGATTCAATGGGGAATAAAGGTTTATTAGCTGGAGAGTACCTTGCCTAAACTTTTACTTTAGGTGATGGATCCATCGTGGGTGGTTGAGAGTGTGATCAACGATCGGTTGATGCCTGAAACGATGTTTCCAGTTGGCGTAAGTTAACAGCTGTACTTGTAATGGTTATCCAACTCTTTATTAAACCATTTTTTTTTATTGCAGGATGCGCCATTCGCCACTTATAAAGGCCGTGCGGATGATGTTTGGCAAACGTGTGAAATGGGTCGTTTTGATGTGAATTACGAGATGAGAAACACTGTGTAAATCACTATATTTTTTTTCATCATGTTTTTTTTGATCTTAGGAACACTCAACCACAAAATGAAGGATCCTCACTTGGCACTAATCATCACGTGTCACAACCAAAATTAACGAATAATAAGGTAATTTTGGAAAAGCCTGAAAAATTGCTATTTTGTTTTGTATTTGACAAATTCGTAAATTTTTAGGCCCCTTTGATCACCGAAGAACCCCATCCATCGTCGAGCTCTTCAAAGTGGGATTTTGTTTAGTCTTTTAAAGTTCTTTGTTCTTTAAAGTTCAAGGTTTCCTTGTTCAGGTTCCTCGACTCGCAAATCCTCTTCAAACCGCGTTTCCGGTTAGACGGTTTGAGTCAAGTCATCGATGGATTGCCGACACAAGAAACACCGGGACCCTCAATAGGGGATACGGCGGTACGCTGCGTTTAGCTTGTCTTAAATCACCCTCGTCTTGTTAGTAAGAACCAAGCTAGAATGCACAAAAAAAGCTTAAACAGGCGCTAGTTTGTGTTATTAGTGTACTTTAGACTGCACATCAAGTGAGCAATGCCCTCAAGGAAGCTGTTGAGAAAACCGGCACACCAAAGGCTCCATTACCAATCATGCAAACGCGAACGGCTCAACTGGAACCTGAAGTATAAAGCATTCCATTACCTTCTATGCAATTTTAAATTTAGAACAAGGTACCTCCTCTATCTCTATCTAAGCCAGTCATTCGACCGAAACGGGACTATGCCTTGGCCAGCAAGATGCACGAAGACTTACTCAATGGTGAAAATAACTTTTGAAAATTTCTTATCGATTTTTTTTAGATGAAATCGCTTCAACTACAGATGGACGAAATTCTCGCAGTTCTGTTGTTTCAACGCAGGTTGGAAACGGTAATTCAGAAGTATAAAGATTTGTTTTCTAGACGACCAATCAAACGGGGAAACGCCGCCGACTTCGTGAGCCATCGCAAAATGATATGCTCAATTCGAATGTACCATTTGCTGTAGCCGATCCAATCGCTGAAGTTGTGGAGATTGACGATAGAACACAAACACAGGGACCGTCGGCTAAACAAAGAAGACAAGAAATTGTCGGATGGATGGATGCGTGGGTTTTGATATAATTAAATCTACTATATAAGTCTTGCATATCTTGATTTTTTGATAAATTATCGTACTTTCAGATCGGATAACAACGTTATGAAACGCTTTGATGAAAGCTTGGCCCAACAAACGCCCGCCAGTGCTTTGAAGAAAAGGATGAGCATAAAAGGTTCAGAAAAACGAACATTTAGTTTAAAGCTTTTGGATCAAAAATCAATTTATGCTCATGCATATTCTAGATCCGCAACCTAGAAGAGATGTTAATGCTGGCACGACCACGCTACTCAATGTCACTAAACAGAGGTAAGTTTCAAGAAAAAAAACTAGACATTAGTCCATTTTTAGCTCAATCCATGCACCAAAGACGGCACCTAATCTGAACGTTCCATCAACTTCTGCTGTAAAAGTAAGTAGAAATTAAAAAGTTAACCGTTTCTTCTTTAGCATTTGCAAGCTGAGCCGATTAAAGACGAAGTAATCAAAGAAGAGCCACTGTCTGAGGTAAACCTTGAAAAAAAATTTCTTTAATTCTTTTATTTAGCCGCAATCAGTGCAACCAAAACGAGGGTCAGATTGGTGCTTCAGTTATTCGTCGATTCCCACTCCTGCGGTAAGAAGGTTTTGTTTTGGGTGAATTTATTTATTTTTCAGCAACTCCACGAACTTGACGACATTGTGAAACAATTGGGTGGCCGATCTTCACTCTCAACGCAAAATGAGCAACTACCATCTTTGTACAATCGGACGACCCATTTAGTGACAGGTTTATACGAATTTTATTTTCAGTTATCATTATGAATTTAGGCCGTTTGATTCGCAATGAGAAATGCCTGAGTGCAATCGCGATTGGAGCTTATTTGTTGGTGCCAGAATACTTGGAGGATTCGAAGAAACAGGATCAATTCTTGGAAGTAGGCTTAGCATAATGTGTTTTGAAAGATTTGTCTCGTTTCAGGTAGAACCCTATGATTGGAAGACGCGAGTTGAGCAAATGCCCGAAATGAAACAACGAGAGAAAGCGTTAGCTGAAGCGGCGATTTGGTAGGATTTCAATGTGTTTATGATTCTTTAGTATAGCAAAATTTAAATAAGTTAGTTTTTGGTTCCGTTAAGCTAACAAAATAACAAATTTAATGAGTTAATCGGTCATCTATCTATCAAATGTTCGTGTTTTTAGGTGGAGAGAACATTTGACTGCAAAGCGAAATGGTGGCGATAAGGTAGATTTCATGTTGCATATCAAATTTATTACCCATTCTCAGAATTTTGGAGCGTTTACTGGTTGGCGAGCGCTCATCTATTCAAAACCGTCGAAAGCTGACGCTGTGATGTAAGCTCTTTGACTTTTTGTTTACAATTAGTATAGACTTTCATAATAGAACAATTAGTACTTTCATAATAGATTTTGAATGAGAATTTCCTGGTTTAGAAGGATTATTAAATGTGGCGGTGGTGAGGCGGTGTGTCGATCCACGATTGAATCAGTGGCCGGATACAAGCCGACGCATGCACTCGTCGAGAATTGCCAATTCTGGAATGCAGACGTTAGTTTTTACAACCAAATGCTTTGGTTTCATTTTACTTTGCCTTAAAGTCCTTGCATTTCAATATCTTTATCGTTTTTTGTTCAGGAACTTATGTTGTTGATCAAGTGTCGTGCTCGTGCTTTCCCATTCGACTACACAGCCAACTATTTATCTCGCCATGGTCGCTTTGATATCAGCGATACGTTAGAGGATTATAGGTGAGGGTTTGGTGAGCTTTATTTCACACACAACTTTAATAAGTAGGAATTTAGGTGTAGTACTCTTTAAAAAGTTTATTGTATAGAAAATTTTTTTTAGAAGATGCCTTGGGACGATGCCCAGCAATCGCCACCATTAATTCGTCGAAAATGATCTACTGTAAATGACTTTTGTGCATAGATTTTCAAATTTATTCTCTGCTTTACGTATTTTAGGCATCGTATCTCTTTTCTTTTGTTTTCTCGTCGCTGGTTCCCCATTTGTAAATCTTATTTTTTTGTGTGTTATTATTTTTAAGATATTGTGAGATTATCTTGAATTTGATTACTTCTGTTTGATATTTGACGGGTGTTTTCTGTGTTTATTTTGATGACTTGGTAAAAGTTTTTGTCTAGAAAATGTGAATTAAAACTTTTTATTGGGCAATCTATGAAAGCTAGAGCTTTTTCGTGCTTTAACTCTTTTATAGTTCAATTTTGCTCTTTGTTATGGGTCTTCTCCTGTAGTTGAGCAGTGGAATGCAAGTATCGTGATGGGGATCGGCGATGTGCTCGAAAATCCCATCATTTAACTTTTTATCCAAAACGAGACGCTTTTGAGACTCCGAATGGGGTCGCCAGTTTGGAGATGGTGAACTAAAATTTGGATATATGCAAATTTTGATTCCCCTAACCATTTGACCGAAACGCTTTCTTATAAAGATATTCAGTTTTCGACCTGTTGTAACAAAAAATAAATGCATTTGCAGCGAAATGTTTTTTTTTTTTTTCAAATTTTACTTTACTTCCTTTTTTTTTAAACTTTCGCAATATATTGGCTCAACAATTTTCTGTAGAAAGTTGGAAGTTGGATCTGTAGTTGGAACGTCTACGAAAGAACGCTTAATGGTTTAGTTGAGCTGTTAATGAGTTACAGTTATGTTTAGGCGAACAACGAACAAATAAATTTTTGGAAGGCACCAACAAATGGTCTCAGAAAGCATTTCAACAAGGATTTTCAACAAGGACAAGGAGAACAAGGAGAACAAGGAGAACAAGGAGAACAAGGAGAACAAGGAGAACAAGGAGAACAAGGAGAACAAGGATAACAAGGAGAACAAGGATAACAAGGAGAACAAGGACAACAAGGAGCATTCAGATCTGTGGGCATTCGTTAAAGGACTTAGAGGATTTCAACAGAAGATTGATAACAAGATGGTTGAATACAAGCAAAGCGGCATCAAGAGGACACGACTAGAAAAGACAGAATGCACAAAAGGCTTTGTGTCAACGTTGGGATGAGTTTGTTGATAGTTTAGAATGTTTGACTGAGATTGGGTTCAACTTTGAAAGTTTACATTTGTTAATTAGGTTAATTTTTGTTAAAGTTTGTTTTTTTTTGGTCGATTTATTCTTGATTTATTCTTGATTTATTATGCTATGCTGATTGTTAAGATTTGTTATTACATTCATAAAACTTTGTTTTTTCACTCAAGTTTCAGTGTTGCACCAATGTTGAGTTTATTCGAAGACTCGAACATTTGCATTGAGTGGATTTTGAAAGGCTTTTGAAAGGTTGACAGTAAAATCTAACTTTTCAGCGAAATGGGGAAAGCTCGGAAAGCTCTTTCCAGTAGCTTTGAACAATCATAACTTTGATTCAAATCAAAGGCTATTCAGGAGAGGAACTAAAAGTTTAAAAGCCGGTTTTAACTGTTTTAGGGTTACAGCTGTTTTAACTGTTTTAACTGTTTTAACTGTTTTAGCTGTTTTAATTACACTTTTTGACATAGATTCTTACCCGTTTCTTGCAAAATCCGCCCACATTTGCATCAAATTTTCAGAGAAACGCTTTTCAGACTGAAAATTCGTTTTTTTTTGTTGTTTCTGATTATTTTACTATTAAAAACAATGTCAAATGAAAAAGTGTAGTTGTTGTTTTTGCGTTAACCTCTCTTGATACACTTTCGTATGTGTCGGGTGATCGAACCGGCACACCGAAATAGTACTCGATCTCGTAACCATGCATTACACCCATCCATTTAGGCCATGGATTTGAGGTGGATCTGTAGAAAAATCGATGCTTTTCGCTTCGTTTCTTTTCATTTGAAGAGCTTATTGAGCTTCATTCAGCTTATTGAGCTTCATTCAGCTTATTGAGCTTCATTCAGCTTATTGAGCTTCATTCAGCTTATTGAGCTTCATTCAGCTTATTGAGCTTCATTCAGCTTATTGAGCTTCATTCAGCTTATTGAGCTTCATTCAGCTCAATAAGCAAAAATGAAGCAATATTTTTGCTAAATAAGCAAAAATGAAACAAACCTTTCACGGAAATGATAAAAGTAGATATTGCCGGTGATAAATTTCGAGATATGTTCGATGAAATGGGTAAAGTCACAGTTGAAGAATTGATCGGAGTAGAGGCGAGCGATCGAATCGCGAAGAAATGGAGATGGGGAAGTTAGGGAGTTTCTGAAAATTAGCATTTCTTGATGAATAGCTTCATGGACTGCTTCATGGACTGCTTCATGGATTGTCTCATGAATCGCTTCATGAATTGCTTCATGAATTGCTTTATGGATTGCTTTATGGATTGCTTCATGAATTGCTTTATGGATTGCTTTATGGATTGCTTCATGAATTGCTTTATGGATTGCTTCATGGATTGCTTCATGGATTGCTTCATGAATTGCTTTATGGATTGCTTCATGGATTGCTTCATGGATTGCTTTATGGATTGCCTCATGAATAGCTTCATGGATTGCTTCATGAATTGCTTTATGGATTGCTTCATGGATTGCTTCATGGATTGCTTCATGGATTGCTTCATGGATTGCCTCATGAATTGCTTCATGAATTGCTTCATGAATTGCTTTATGGATTGCTTCATGAATTGCTTCATGAATTGCTTTATGGATTGCATTGCAAAAGCCTAAGCTCAAATGTAGGATCGGTGAAATCCATTGCTGATGTTTTAAATGGTTTCAAAAGAAGCGCAAGAGCCTCTTTGGCAAAATTTACTCATTTTCTTGTAAAATCGAGAATTCGGCTTGCGAAGAGAGGTAAAACGGCTAAAACGGCTAAAACGAGAATTTTAGCCGTTTTAGCCGAGAATTTTAACCGAAAATGACGATTTTTATCACTAAACTGCAATTTTAAAACAAAATCTGTAAGACGGATTTCAAAAATTCTAGATTTGATAGATCTTGTAGATTTGGTAAGCGTAGTATGTAAACGATCGGTATTCATATAGAAAAGACTAACCGATCAATTTGATACGTGTTGAGGTAAAGTTGTTGAACTTGCTGCAAAATTGCCGCATCTTCTCCGAAATATCCCCCCAAAACGTTGATCGAGTTCTCGAATTGGGTCCTAAGGTTGAGACTTATTAGGTTTTCTCATAAAAACCTAGAGATTTTTCTTTTTGTTTTGATCACTACTTGCTCACGACACAACGTTTTATATTCATTTTTTTTTTTTTCGTACTTTCTTCTTTCTTGCAATAATATTCATTTTTTAGGGATCGACACGAGAAAAGAGTTGCAGTCGATCGAATGAAGCCAACTCGAGATTCACGCTGATTTTCAAGAGGAATTTAAACGACTGTTTTAATGATTTTTCAAAAGGGATTTCAACCAAAAGCAGCACGAGAAATCAATCAATTTTATGGCAAGAAAATCGTTGGAACGAGTATTGTAGAGGAATAGTTTTACAAAATCGGCCGATTCCTCCTTTCATTTAATCCTTGTGTTGCCACACGAGGAGCAAACGGAAGAGGGGAAGCGGCCGACCCTGGAAAGTGGATCGATCGTTTCTGAAGATTCTGAGAATTGATCAAACGATTCGGAGGACTGATCAATCGATTCTGAGGATCGATCAATCGATTCTGATGATCGATCAATCGATTCTGAAGATTCTGATGATCGATCAATCGATTCTGAGGATCAATCGATTTTGAGGATTCTGAGGATCGATCAATCGAAGGATTGGAACTCGAGGATGGATTGGAACTGGAGAATGGATTGGAACTCGAGGAAGGATTGGAACTCGAGGAAGGATTGGAACTCGAGAATGGATTGGAACTCGAGGAAGGATTGGAACTCGAGGATGGATTGAACGATGATTTTGCCCGCTTAGGATTGCCATTTTGCCCGCAAGCTACCCAAACCTTTGAGAAAAATTAGAAATTCATCTGGAAAATCATACGATTTTTGATTCTTCTTTGTTTCTATCTGTTGAAAATGAAATTCAAAATCTCTGGGTTTTTATCTCTGGCAATCTCTTGGAAATAAGCAAATCAACTCGCCAGTTCAACTTCGCACTGTTCTCCTCGCTGTTCGTATCGAATTTTGGATCGAAAACGAATCCGTATCTCTCTTCACCCAAATAATAGGGTAAAAAGTAAGATCCCTCATCCTCAACAAGACCAAAAATACCCGAGAAATCGCGTTTGAAATCACCGCTCTCAAAACGATCATGAACGTTTCCCTAAAAAGTTGAATTGAAAAAGTTGAATTGACTTTTTTGACATGGACTTTTTTTGACACTGACTTTTTTGACACTGACTTTTACACTTACACTTACACTTACTTGTAAATCATCTTAACTCTTGAAAGCTATCGTAATCTCTCCAGTTTTATGAAAGCTATCATTTTTTTTGTTCTGATTCTGTTAAAAGCTAGATAAAACTGGCTAAAAACTGGTTACTTTTGAAAGATTGTCTTTAAAAGATTGTCTTTAAAAGATTGTCTTTGTAAGATTTTCTTTGTCAGATTGTCTTTAAAAGATTGTCTTTAAAAGATTGTCTTTAAAAGATTATCTTTAAAACATTGTCTTTAAAACATTGTCTTTAAAAGATTGTCTTTGTAAGATTGTCTTTAAAAGATTGGATACCAAATTCTCAAAGAATTTCACTGTTCTTTTTGTTTTCTTTCTCTTCTTCTCTTTTCACTTTTTGTTCTTAAATTCGAAACCTTTTAAATCCATTCTACAAATTGATTAACAACAATGGAGATAAATTGATCAGCAACTACGAGTTGATCAGCAAGTACAAGTTGATCAGCAAGTACAAGTTGATCAGCAACTACGAGTTGATCAGCAAGTACGAGTTGCCCAACAACTACAAGTTGATCAGCAACTACGAGTTGATCAGCAAGTACGAGTTGATCAGCAAGTACGAGTTGATCAGCAAGTACGAGTTGATCAGCAAGTACGAGTTGATCAGCAACTACGAGTTGATCAGCAAGTACGAGTTGCCCAACAACTACAAGTTGCCCAACAACTACAAGTTGATCAGCAACTACGAGTTGATCAGCAAGTACGAGTTGATCAGCAACTACGAGTTGATCAGCAAGTACGAGTTGCCCAACAACTACAAGTTGCCCAACAACTACAAATTGATTAACAATACTTTGCTTCATCAATTTCTCAATTCTCAATGCTTCATCAATTCTCAAAGCTGCTCTGTTTGTTTACCTTGAAGAAAAGGGGATCATCGGAAATTGGAGTGAAAGTGAATTGAATGGGAACACCGGTGGCCAGGGAATCGGCTGCTTGCTGAAAAGGTGAGTTGGGAGAAAGGTTTTAGGAAAACGTAGAGATTGCGGTGATATGCCAGGGCCTCGCTTCTGTCCTGTGATAGGTATTTTGTCTGGCTACAGTATGGTTACGGTATTGTACCCAGCTACAGGTAGCCAGCTTGAAGCTCATGGTAAGCCCCAGCTTGAAGCCCCTTGTAACTATTACAGTACCCCGCTTCAGCTACAGTACTAACTGTATCTAACTACAGTTACCGTAACTCGACGGCAATCTATCTGTTACAGTACCCAGAATCTATCCGTTACAGTATCCAGTTACCGTAACCCGACGGCAATCTACAGTACCCTCAGCTCTTTCACGACTTCTAAGTGACTGTAACTAGTTATTTCTTAGATCATTTCCACAAAAAGAACTCCTAACCTGAAACTCAGCAACTTCTACTCCTTGAAGACACTCGAGAATCGCTTCTTCATTTCCATGACATCCAAGAAGTTTCGCCAATTTCGCTGATGAATCGGTCACATCCGGATTCGTGGCCCAATGATGGATCATTGTGCCGGACTGGAATCATTCTCAATTACCCTGATACCAGTAATGGTTTAGAATCTGTCTAATTCTAGATCTAAGCAAGCATTCTAGACCTTGTTACTTTAAACTAACCGATGCGGCGACTCGTTGAAAGAATGGATGACTGTCTGGGGCAAAGAGATGTGAGGTCACCGAAGCGCTGCCAGCACTCTCGCCGAATAGGGTCACCTAGAAGAAAGTTGGAAGAAAAATGGTTAAATATTTTGACTAGAGTGTTTCTTTTGTTTCTGGTGCTTAATGTCCATTTTTACCTTATTCGGATCTCCACCAAAATCACCGATCTTCTCGTGGATCCATCTGAAAATTCTTGCCGTTCTTCTGACTCTTTACCCAGTTAATTTGCGTTTAAAGTTGTTCACTTTGTCAAATAGAATTTGCACTTTTTATCTTAAAAGGTGTGTCGTTCTATTGGATCATGTCATTCTATTGGAGCATGTCGTTCTATTGAAGCATGACGCGTTCTATTGGACCATGTCATTCTATTTGAGCATGTCGTGGAGCATGTCGTTCTATTGGATCATGTCGTTCTATTGAAGCATGACGTTCTATTGAAGCATGTCGTTCTATTGGACCATGTCATTCTATTTGAGCATGTCGTGGAGCATGTCGTTCTATTGGATAATGTCGTTCTATTGGATCATGTCGTTCTATTGAAGCATGTCGCTCTACAATCTCACAATTATGGTGAACGATCGAACTTTGTCCAAAGAACCTCTTCCGTTAGACAGGATTGTTTCAAGCCAACAAAAGCCTCAACAAATCACGGTTTAGACCAGTGTCACTCATAGATCCTCATTGATTTTCATTGAGAAAGACGTCATTGATCTTCATTCCCGCTGAAGTCAAGATTCACAAGAAAGTTTACGTCGATATGCTTGAAAAAGAAGTTTTGTTTTGGTTTGCTTTTGTTTTGTTTTGGCTTTGGCTTTGCTTTTGTTTTGGCTTTGGTTTGCTTTTGTTTTGCTTTGGCTTTGCTTTTGTTTTGGCTTTGGTTTGCTTTGGCTTTGCTTTTGTTTTGGTTTTGTTTTGCTTTGGCTTTGCTTTTGTTTTGCTTTGGTTTTGTTTTGTTTTGCTTTGGCTTTGCTTTTGTTTTGCTTTGGTTTGCTTTGGTTTTGTTTTGGCTTTGGTTTTGTTTTGCTTTGCTTTTCTCGTTTTTTTTTTGTTGAAGAACAATTGAGGATCCTCTTCAACCAAAGGGACCATCAGGGCATTCTTCAACAAAAAAAAAAACGAGAAAAACGAAGGTGTAGTGATTATTGTTGGTTTAGATATAATCTTTATTACAGAAATAATAGTTGGTTCAGTGGTTTGACATTGGGAGAGTAGAGGCACGCCACGGCACACACACACACACACACCTCGGCAGCTCGTTCACATTGCTTTTATACGGAACTCGGGCGTTCGTCTCGTCTTCCACAGAATGGAGTTGAACGGATAGCGACGCATATTAAATCTCGCACAATAGGCGTTCGTCCCCATAGGTGTCTAGCTGGCCATTTCCATACGTGGCAATCTCGGTCACGAGATCGTCACGACAGAAGGAAAATCGCGAAAAGCGGCGGAAAGGCTATTGATCTGAGGGTGGCTGGTTCGACTTCCACCGGTGACAATATTTTTCAAAAATTTTTTGCTAAGATTCTGAAAATGCGTGTCTAGGGGTTATTTTTGACGCTGATCACGAAACACATGTTTTTAGCCTAGGTTTCTGCACGAAAAACTAACGAAACGTGAAAACAGCCATTTTTTTTTTTTGGCTCTGCCGCCCTTTACTAAAATAGCTGTAAAAACTTTTAGAAAAGAGATATCTCAAAACGGTTTTTACCAATCGATCCGTCTTGAATTCAGCTTTAGGATGAGCTATAAAACGTCTAAATTCGACAAATTTAAGGTACTCTCCCAAAAAATCCGAAAGGACTTTTCCACTAACCCAATAAATACCTTTTTGTACTAAAGTAAGTACTTTTTGTACCTTTTTTTACTAAAGTAAGTATCTTTGTACCTTTTGTACCTTTTTTTACTAAAGTAAGTAGGTTTTACCTTCAAAAATCCTCACCTCAAAGCAGCTTGTTGATCCAAAAGACCGAAATTGCCGGAAATTGAGGATTTTGGCCCGAAACTCGTAAATCCCAAGGCACCGACCCTAAAAAATTATCCAGTCGATTATTTGGCTGCTATTTTCTTAAAAGCCATACAGCCATACCATAAATACTCATTAGCTTTACCGATAATTGATGTTAACGACGATCACTTCTTGCAAAGCTGCCAAAACGGATCCGTTATAGAAATCGAGTGATGGAGAGCCTAAAAAGAAACGAAATCTCGAAAAATAGAAGAACTAAATAAGAAATAAGAAAATAGAGTAAGTAAAGGCAAGAGTTAAAGTTATTTAATCTTGAGATTGAACTGAGAGCTTGAGATTGAACTGAAAACGACTTGAGAGAGCAATGAGTAAACTCGTGAGAGCTTTAGAGGTGTTAATTGCCTACAGATTGTAGATTGCCTACAGATTATAGATTGGCTACAGATTGTAGATTGCCTCCAAAAGATTGGCTTTGCTTGACCATCAAAATATTACGAGACTACGATAGTTTTCTGAAAGCTGAAACGCCAGACTTACCAGAGATAAATCCTCCACCGAAAATCCACACCATCACTGGAAGTTTCTCGGAGCTTTTTAGATTCCCCGGCACCCAAATGTTCAACTTTAGGCAATCTTCAGAAACGTGGCGATCCTAAGAGTTTCAACAGAGTTTTAGGTTCAACAAGTGAAATTGTACTTGTGAGGTACAATCAATCTATTTTAAGACTGTAAGGGGATCCTAGAGAGACTGATAGTGAGGGAAGATCTGTTGTTAGCCTCTCAGGGATAGGCTCTCCCATGCGCCCATAGCTCAGTGGTAGAGCTTTTGTTTAGAGCTCTACCAATGGGCTATGGGTTCTATCTCCAGTTCGATCTCTAGTTCAATCTCTGGTTCGATCTCTGGTTCGATCTCTGGTTCGATCTCTAGTTCGATCTCTGGTTCGATCTCTGGTTCGATCTCTGGTTCGATCTCCAGTTCGATCTCTGGTTCGATCTCCAGTTCGATCTCTGGTTCGATCTCCAGTTCGATCTCTGGTTCGATCTCTGGTTCGATTCTCAGGTTCGATCTCTAGTTCGATCTCTGGTTCGATCTCTGGTTCGATCTCCAGTTCGGTCTCTAGTTCGATCTCTAGTTCGATCTCTGGTTCGATCTCTGGTTCGATCTCTGGTTCGATTTCTGGTTCGATCTCGGGTTCGATTTCAGGTTCGATCTCGGGTTCGATCCCCAATGTGGATAGAGGGTGCATTTCTCTTGAGATAACAGAACTTTACTGTACTTAAGATTACTCTAAGCGTCCACCGACTGGCTATCGTCGGGCTGGCTATCGTCGGATTGGCTATCGTCGGACTGGCTATCGTCGGATTGGCTATCGTTTTACTATAAGTCGGTCACCGACTGGCTATTGTGACCGGCTATCGTCTGGCTATCGTCTGATTTACTACAGGGTGCGCCAAAAGTTCCAGTACTTGTATTTTCTGCATTTTTGATAATTTTAGATAAAAGATACGATTTTAAAAGTAAGAAATTCGAATTCCTCACGAAAAACTGATTTAGAAAACGTTTTTGGTTAATTTATCAGTGCAACGCTATTTAAGACAAGTGATTGAGAAGAGGGTCCGCTCAGGGGCGCTTTGGTCGCACAGTTACAAGGCACAGTTACAAGGCACAGTTACAAGGCATAGTTACAGGGCACAGTTACAGGGCACAGTTACAGGGCACAGTTACAGGGCACAGTTACAGGGCACAGTTACAGGGCACAGTTACAGGGCACAGTTACAGGGCACAGTTACAGGGCACAGTTACAGGGCACAGTTACAGGGCACAGTTACAGGGCACAGTTACAGGGCACAGTTACAGGGCACAGTTACAGGGCACAGTTACAGTTATTTTCTACAAGTACGGGAACTTTTGGCGCACCCTGTATACTACAATCATAGTCACTCCACTCACCGGTGGATTCCAGGCTTGTTCGCCCACAAATCCATCGTAACTCTCCCACAAAGTATGATAGCAAGTAGGTGCATAGTGATCGGTGCTGAGGAAACCCAAGTGGTGATCGATTTGCTGTAATTGTTGAATAAGTTGATGGCTTCAGTGGCCCTGTTGTAAATCCTGTTGTTAAGGCCAGGCCAGGCCAGACCGTTAAGGCCCGGCCAGACCGTTAAGGCCAGGCTCAACTTATCGAGGAAGAGGAAAATACACGAATGATGAAATTCAAGCAAAGTATGGATTGAAGAAGACGGCTTTTTATGCGATTTTGGCACAAAGCGGATGAATTAGAAGATATTAGAAGATATTAGAAGAAGCTTTGATTTCATTGCCAACAATCAAAAGAGCACGTAGCGAAGGACAAAACTTTAGAAGAGGCAATTCTATCATGGTTCAGCAGTGAGCCGAAATACTCCGATTAGCAGCCAAATTCTTCGTGAGAAGGCCCTTTCTCTTGCAAAATGCTTTGGAAATAACGATTTTAAAGCAAGCGAAGGATGGTTGTCGTCTTTCAAGAAGCGCCACTCGGTTGAAGCGTCTTTCAAGAAGCGCCACTCGATTTCAAGTCCGTCAAGGTGAAGAGAAGGATATCAACGTGGGTGAGGAAAATGATCAAATGATGAAATTATGAAATTCAAGCAAAGCACGGATTGAAGAAGACAGCTTTTTATGCTTTATGCTTTGGCACAAAGCGAATCAATATTAGAAGAAGCTTTGATTTCATCGCTAACAATCAAAAGAGCACGTAGCGAAGGATGAAACTTTACTTTCTTGAGACAAGAAGAGTCTAGAAGAGGCGATTCTATCACGGTTCAATGAGCGCAGCGCAGCCGAAATACTCCGATTAGCGGCCAAATTCTTCGCAGCCGAAATATTCCGATTTGCAACCAAATTCTTCTCTTGCAATTTGTGCACTGCTGGAGTATTTTTCACTCAACAAACCATCAAAACATGGCAACAAGATGAAGGGTGACGATGATGACAACAAGATGAAGGAAGTGACGATGATGACAACAAGATGAAGGTGACGATGACGACAACAAGATGAAGGTGACGATGATGACAACAAGATGAAGGAAGTGACGATGACGACAACAAGATGAAGAGTGACGATGATGACAACAAGATGAAGGAAGTGACGATGATGACAACAAGATGAAGGAGGTGACGATGATGATAACGTGGAATCGCCAATTATTACCATACAAGATACTGGCAAAGCTGTCGAAATTTTTAAAGCAAAATGGCACCTCAGCACAAAACGGCAAACGAGTAATGCAAATCTGTCGGTGATTAAATTTCATTTTCGTTTAGCCTTTTCTCGTTCACAAAATGTAAACTCTACTTTTGGTGGCTGTAGTCGTAGTTTCCCGATGGGTGGCTGCGCAAATGGTACTCCCAAATAGGCATTCACCGAGTGACCGGCTATTGTCTGCAAATTTAGATATCATATTCATACGAATACTGTAAATAAGAATAATTTGTGCTATAGGCTTGCACTAGATTCTGCAAAACATTCTGCAAACCATCATTATGCAAAACTAAAAACCTTTCCACCTGTCTCACTCCACAAAAATCGCCGATCCCCGTGCTCACCACCGGCACCTCGCAAGTCTAAACTCCTAGTTTCCCTTAATAAATCGAAAAGTTCAACCTGATCCTCAGCTAAAGCAGATAACAACAAAAAATTGCAGAAAAATATTTTTAAAAAAATTTTTAAAAACATTATTTGAGAGAAATTTACAAATATTTTCTTTCAAGAGAATGATCAATTTGGGGAAAAAAAGATCACCAATCATTTTTTTCGTTTTATTTTTTGTTGAACACTTGTTTGACTTTTTTTTGTCGGGTATTTGGGAAAAATTTGCTGATAAAAAATGGGAAAAGAGAGGCTAATTGATCGTTTGGTTAAGAGGGAAAAGGGGGAAACGTGATCAAGTTTGACTAGAATCTTTTTCAAGTGATTTGTAAATAGATTTCGAAGATGAAATGATCATTTGCTTGTGAAATACGTTTGCAATTTGGGCTTAGAATTGGAGAAACTTAAGTGTTCTTGAATTCTAGTGTTCTTGAATTCTAGTGTTCTTGAATTCTAGTGCTCTAGAGATTCTAGTGCTCTAGAGATTCTAGTGCTCTAGAGATTCTAGTGCTCTAGAGATTCTAGTGCTCTAGAGATTCTAGTGCTCTAGAGATTCTAGTGTTCTAGAACATTTATTCTAGAAAACTGCCGTAGTCAAATCGGAAGTTTACATTCGATAACCCTAATTTTGGTATTATTGGCTGAGGCTTGTGATTCCTCATTGAATGATATCAAAATTGGGCTAATCGAATGGAAACTGGCGATTTTAATACTGCCGTACTCTTCAAAGTTACACCCGATTTGTTACTTTTTGGTTGCAAAAAGTTTTGGCTAAATGTGACGGATGAATTGGAGAGCGAAATAAATGATACCATGATTATTGAACGTTTGATAACTGGCCATTTGATAATTCGGTTCTTTTCCAATATCGGGGAAGCGGAAGGATTATCGGGGGAGCAAATTTTGGCAGCGCTACATATGTCCTATTTAAAATTGTGACGAACGGGAGCTTGCTTTGTTGCAAAAAATTATCGACTCGAATTCCTCTTGAATGCTTGGGGACCTTTCGCCGTGCGCAAGTGTCACATACCCAACGAAATAGATCTTTTCCCTTTGAGCGGACTTTCATCGATTCGCCACATTTGCAAATCCACGACGGTTCCAATACGGTTCCAATACGGTCCTTTGGTGACGAAATAATCGATTGCCGTCGATTTCTTGACGCACAAATATCGGAGAAGCGCATCGTCGTTAAAGTTTTAAAAAAAACGTTGGAGTTAACACGTTGACGACAATGGCGTTTTTGCACAAACAATCGCATGGGACAACGTTGTTTTTTTTCGACAAAAAATTTCACCTGACATCAGGTGACAATGTCCCAGGCGAACGAATATGTGTCAGACAGCATCAGGTGACAATGTCGTCAACGTGTTACAGTCCCGGAAATGCATTTTTCGAGGGGGCAAAATTTGCTCCCCCGATTTTCCTTTCGCTCCCCCGATTTTCCTTTCGCTCCCCCGATAATCTTTCCGCTCCCCCGATATTGGAAAAGTATCGATAATTCCATTGATATGAATCGATGTATAGCTGATGCAAAGAAGAAGAACGGCGTTCAATTCGTTCTCGTCGTCGGTGAGGAGTATGAAAAAATATATGGTTGGTTACACTATAATTGCCTAGTTTCTTGTTTTTTTTTTAGAGGAGCTAAAGTATCTGGAGATCAAGTACAAGATTGTGATGTAATGATGAGGGTTTGCCGCAATGCTGTTGAAAAGAATCAAGACGCCACTTTTGTGTAACTAAAATTTATCTTATATCATTAGTAACTTTTTAGGAGCATCATTATGAAGATAAACATCAAGAATCAAAGCCTCTGTCATAACATTTACTTCCAGGATAAATCAAGTACGACATTCCAGGTTAGTGTTGTACAAATAATAAAGTAAATGTTTTACTTAGCTTAATAAAGTAAATGTTTTACTCAACATCTTGTTTCCCATCCCGATCGTGTGATTATTGGAATTGAGATGAAACATGATTTTGCGCGAACTGGTGGTGAGTCAATAGGTTATTCTTCAACGAGAGTTTATTTTTAGAACGCTCAGCTTCTATTGTAGGATGAAGCGCCAACTGCCTGCAGCACCCCTCAGCCTACACTGGAAACTTCATGTTTGTTCAAGAAAGTGATGCTGAGGTTAGCAGATCTAGCAAACTCGTATTTCTTTAATTTAGCCCGATCTTACGCCTGTGTTTAAGCAAGTCTTTCGAGTCTTGTTTCGCATCGTTGGAGTCTTGTTTCCAATGATTACACGATCCCGATCATGTAATCATTGGAATTGAAATGAGCCATGCTTTTGCGGGAACTGGCGGTGAGTTGTTAGTTAATTTGTCAAACGAGTTTATTTTAGAGCGCTCAGCTTCTATTTTTCTTCTTCTATTTTGCAGTGTCAACTGCCTCCAGCATTCCACTGTCTACAGTGGAAACTTTATGTTTGTTCAAGCAAGGGATGCTGAGGTTAACATATTTGGCAAACTAATATTATCTTAATTTAGCCCGACCAGCGTACTCCGTACTCCGTACGATGTCCGAATGGTCTAGATGTTCAACAAATTTCCAAATATAGTAAGGTCTGCTAAAACCAAAGTAAAACCAGCTTGTCAACGCTCTAGTGGATAGGATTTTCACAACGCATTCGAAAAAAGAGTTTTTCGTTTTTCTACTTATAACAAACAAGTTTAGTTCTTGTAGTACCTAAAAATTGAAACCCGATTGGAAATCCATCGATAGAGTAAAAGCAATTTAATTTAAATCATGATTAAGTGTCCTTTTAGGGTTTATGCAAGATTACATTATGCAAGATTGCCGCCATCTTTGACCGTTTACTCTATTCGATTTAATTTCTTTTAGTTCTTTATCGAACATCAAACGATGGCCAACAGCCTCAAGCCTGAATTCTCTTTGGTGCAGTCTCGGAAACTGCTGGAAAATCAGCAAATTTGATTATCTTTTCTTTGTTATCAATGATCTAGGCACAAGACATTGTCGTCAATCGATTTATGATCGAGGTTGAGAAGAAATTTTTCATTTCCAAATATTTTCAATCGATCGATCGATCTCATGAGTAAGTTTTAAACATTACGCTTAATGAATTTGAAGAGTCTATCATCTTTTTTCTTTTAGCTTTTGTCTATTTCGAGCGTGCTACAAAGCCTCATGAGGTCACCAAGCAGAACAATGATGAGTTAGTTTATATTTTGCTAACATTTAATAAGAGAATTCTTTAGTTTCAGAGAAGTGAACAGGAAACTCATTCAAGCTGAGTTGATGTCCATTCTGGCTGCACGCGAAAACACATTCTTCCCCGTAGGACAAGCCACAATCGTTACCGATTCCGCCGCTTGCTGTTACAGTCTCAATCAGTTTGCCATCGAAGCTTTGGTGAGTTTATAAAATGGCATTTATAAAATTGAAAAGCTGTTTGCTATTGTTTAATGGATTATTTATAGGAAAATGGTGTCACATTCACTTTTGATGCAGAAGAATTGGTTGATGTCAGTGGAGTCCGCAATGTTGTTATATTGTTATATTGTTATATTGTTCTCCTTGAATCATTGATTAATTTTTATCCGATAGAAATAAATTATTGAAGTCAAAAACATTCCATTTTTCATAATGAGTGTCGAGAGAAGGAAAAGCGAAAGCGCCACGATTCTCAAAGGCCACATTTTTTTGAGAAACCCAAAGTTCGAATGTTTCAAAATATGTAAGCGCTTAATATTCCCATTTTTTTCCAAATAGTTTATATAGTCAATTTCTCGTATTCAAAAATCTCCCACTTATTGGCCATCTCGGGAGAAAATTTGAAAAAATGGCACTTGAAAATCTCACTTGGGAGGGGAAAACACTAGAAAGTTATGTGATTTTGGGAGTGGGACAAATGCGACCGACCTTTTTTTTGCGCACCCGGACATTTGCGCACCTTTTTTTCCGCACCTTAGCCCATATTGGCGCACCTTTTTTCGCGTTTTAAAAAAGCTCTAAAAAGCTAATATTAACCAATTTCTATTCCAAAAGTTGTTTTTCTAGGTAATTTTAGGGCGTAGAATCGAAATTTTGACATATCAGAGCTTGTGGAAACAAACGGACAGAGTTATACAAAGAGAAAAATCGACAATTTTCTGTAATTCGATCTAGCCGTTTTGTCTTTCAAATTGGTTCCACACGCTCTGTTATGTCAAAATTTCGATTCTACGCCCTCAAATTACCTAGAAAAACAACTTTTGGAATAGAAATTGGTTAATATTAGCTTTTTAGAGCTTTTTTAAAACGCGAAAAAAGGTGCGCTAATGGGCAAGGTGCGCAAATGTCCGGGTGCGCAAAAAAAAGGTCGCATTTGTCCCACATACTAAACCTTAAATATAATCCTCATGAATTGCTTTAATTTATATTAAAATTAATTAAGACATAACATAGACAAAAAATACGGTAACAGCTTTGTCACCAAAACCTAAACAACACCTAATACCGTAACTCAGACAAATTACCCTAAAATGCGCCCTTCGGTTTTTCTTTGATTGGAAAATCATTTTTTTTCATTTCGAAGTTTTTGAGTTTCGTTTATTGCGCAACTCAAATGCTTATTCTATTTGAGTTACGTATTGCCGTATTGCCTCTTGTTTGCTGGCTATGAAAGTTTATTTTGCGCGTCTCCGACCGTAGCCTTTCTCTTTCGGAAAGAGACGCATCTGTCCCTATGAAATCTCGCCATTCAGCATTTTCGGCCTAAAATTGAGCAAATTTTGCCTTAAACTTCTCTGCTATTTAATTTACGGCGCGATTTGTCTCTTTAAGCAAAAATTAGATCATTTTTTTTGTTCTTTCATGTGAAATATCCTCGAGTAGCTTGTTTTTGCTGAAATTAAGTGAAAGTCGTAGATTAGCAGTCGACAATTTGCAGCTTTTAAAAAAACTTTTAGGATTTGAATTCTAATGTGTCATGTTTTTAAGTCCTTGATGCTTTGGTGGTTGGGAGCGGCCACCTTTGGCTTGCTTAGTCGAATCTAGTTTTTTGGGCGGTTCGTGTCGACACTTTTCTTTTATTCCGGGGATAATTATATATGCTGAAGCGATTGGTGCTACCTTTCGAGTGTTTCAAATTAGCATTGCAGCTTTTCAAATGTAATAGGCTTTGAGATAACGTTCGGTGGTTAAAGAGGCTAGAACATAGGTCAAATCATCGAATCGATCAAAAACGTACTTGGCACCAATAGAAGGAAAAGTGTCAACATGAACTACTCAAAACATTAGATTCTACTAAGCAAGCCAAAAGTGGCCCCTCCCAACCACCAAAGTACCAGGTTCCTAAGCTGGCAAGTAACTAAATTGTTAAGTTGTTCAACTTTGGACACGTAACAAATTATCCCTTAACGCGTGGAGTCTTTCTGACACTGAAGTTGCTAGCTCATCAATTTCCTAGTGTTTTGTCTTTGTTTCTATTTTATAACCAAGTTTTATTTTTAGATAAGGCAAACATGGGAGGGGTGCGCACAAAGACTGTGAAGAAAGCCTCGCGCGTTATCATCGAGAAGTACTACACCCGCCTCGGACGCGACTTCCACACAAACAAGCGAATTTGCGATGAAGTGGCCGTGATTCCTTCAAAGAAACTCCGTAATCGCATTGCCGGGTATGTTTGTTTTGAAATTAATAGTTATGAGCAGTTTAAGAACTCTTGTTTGGAATACTTTGCAGAAGTTTTAAAATTTAAAACTAAATCATGTAGGTCTCGCATAGTTTAAGGCCTGGATGTTAGTCGAGAGAACTATCTGAAAGTTGTGCTAAAATATTAGATTTATTCTTTGTCAGCAACCAGATTGTTTTACGCTTCAGAAAAGCACTGTCTTAATCTTTTTATGGTTTTGGCAGTCGTTAACTGAAGCAAAAGTGAAGAGAACCTTTGGTGAGATGTCAATAATGTTATTGGGGTCACAATCCAGGTTTTAACAAACAGTTTATTTGCTAGAATTTGTAGGAAATACTTAATTTGCGTTATGGTACTAATTTTTTTCGCTTAAGATTCATCACACACTTGATGGCACGTATTGAGAGGGGTCCAGTTCGCGGAATCTCCATCAAGTTGCAAGAAGAGGAACGCGAGAGAAGAGACAACTATATGCCAGAGGTTTCGGTCGTCGATCCACGCGAGCTTTCCGCAATCAAGGTTGATGCGGACACCGAGCAAATGATCAAAGATATGGTAAGGAGTCATTTTTTTCTTTTTGAATGTGCTGTTGATGGATCGTTTGGAGGGTTTAATCTTAAAAGTTGCTTGTTATTCGACCACGTAGCCAATGTGTTAATCCAAGGGTGAAAGCGTTCTGCTTAATTTCATCTTTAACTGTCTAAAAAGCTTCTAAAAAAAAGCACTGAGTTGGATGATTTCCTAATCCTCTCAGCCGTCTACGGAAGCGAGATAAACGGCTGCCTTTGGTGCGACGCAGAGAGTCCATTCTCTGGGTCACAATCCAGGCAGCGACACTCTTGGGTCAGCTGGTCATAAGAGCTAAGAAAAGGGGGGTCTTTTGAGGGGCGGGGCCATATCTCTCCTTTGGCGGTTGTAACAAAAGAGAACTAACTTTTCTTTTTTCAGGAGCTGAACATTCCAAGCCTTCAAGTCGAGGAAGCCAAGTCAGCAGGAGCTCCAGGAGGGGGAGGACGACGATACTAAACGCTATTGTTCGCTTCAATTGTTCTTTCTGGTATTCTCTTGATCACGGCACACTTGTAATGTGTTGGGGTCGTTGTTTTCTTTTGTTTAAAACCCAATAAATTTTAATGTTGCTACGATGGTAGCCGTCCTATCATTGGCGATTTCACTTATAATCACACCGCTGACATTTGATTTGACACTGAAGAAGCTGAAAGGCGCCCCGCTTACATTATTCTCTGAAGGACGGAATTTGAGTCTATCCATACATCACAACAGCCTGTATGCGGAGAATCAAAGGATTGGGCCAGTGGCCTTGGGTCGAACACAATCAGTGATCATTGAATGTTTAACTGATGCGTCGCTACATATTACTATTGAAAGCGTTTCGTCTCTATTGAATTCGCCGTCATTGTGCACTTCAACTAGTGGTAATTTTTAAGAACATCTGGGTTGTTCTGTTGATCTTTTAAAAATAAGTTATACTTGCAAAAAAGAAGCTTTTGTTTTTCGTCAACGTTAGAGAGTCAAGAGTTTATGCAACGGCCAAAAAGCTTTTCTTTTCTGCAAAACGAGCACCCTTTTCTCTTCGATGTAAACACGCTTGATTTGGTGAAAATAAGAGTGAGAGGGGAAAACAATACGTCTATAGCTGAAAATGAAAACAAAAAGATTTCCAGGTTTTCATATCGATGAACTGTCGCTGAATGGATGCATTTCGAATGTCTATCAAGGGGGCACACTGCTATTGGATAGATTGTGCAGGTGAGTGCAGAGAAATGGCTAAAAATCGAGTAGAGAAGCTGGCAATTTCCGAAAAAGGAGCGAAAGTTTGATTGCGCTGAATAGCGTTGGGAATTTGACTTGCTTATCGGTTAAAATTCGTGCAGAATACGGTAGGGACTAGGGTAGATAGCTATGCTAGAATATTCAAGTTAGCTGTACTTTTGGCACTAACTGAACCGATGAACACAAAGCTAGCTGGAATGCTTTGATGATCCTTTTGAAATCTCGAAACTTTTCGCGATTATCGGGAAAAGGTGCGTTTAGAAGTTTTGCGCATAAAGTACATATTTCCAATGCTCTCGTTGGAGTTGGATGTTTTTCGCACAAAAGCAAGCTCTGACTGACTTTGAGCTCTGACTTTTCTCTTTCTTGAAGCGATGCGATATTTGATGGGATGAGGGATCACCTGTGTGACGATTCGTCCGGTCGATCTCTCATACCCATTCCCCTTTCCCCTTTCCCTCATTCATTTTTCTTTTTAATCTCAAACTCCACTTTCCCCACTTTCCGCTTGTCTTTCTTTAAGATAGCAGCCAAAAGATGGAAAAGTGATTGTAATAAGTGAGATTAGTGAGCTTTTTCGGCTTTTCTTCCAATGAAAGGAGGGAAAACGAGGGCAAGCGATCCCCGTGAGGATCGACTTTCTATCTAGCCCCTCTTCTTCCCTTCTTCCTTTTTACTTTCATCAACCACCTGTGCTCATTCGTTTGCTGATAGCACATGGGAAGGAGATTTTGAAAAAACAGAATAGAAAAAGAGAGCTTAGTTTTAAAATTTAAACGATTTGACCTGAAATCGTGAAAATATATTGGTGTGGCGAATTGCTAGTGCTCTGCAGTTAGGGGAGTGGGACAAATGCTATCTTTTTTTGCGCACCTTGCCCATTAGCGCACCCTTTTTCCGCACTTAGCCCATTAGTGCACCTTTTTTCGTGTTTTAAAAAAGCTCTAAAAAGCTAATATTAACCAATTTCTATTCCAAAAGTTGTTGTCCAAAAGTTTTCTAGGTAATTTTAGGGCGTAGAATCGAAATTTTGACATATCAGAGCTTGTGGAAACAAACGGACGGAGTTATACAAAGAGAAAAATCGACAATTTTCTGTAATTTGATCTAGCCGTTTTGTTCGCGTCCGTTTTGTTCGATCTAGCGTTTCAAATTGGTTCCACAAGCTCTGATATGTCAAAATTTCGATTCTACGCCCTAAAATTAGCTAGAAAAAGAAATATCAGCTTTTTAGAGCTTTTTTAAAACGCGAAAAAGGTGCGCTAATGGGCAAGGTGCGGAAAAAAAGGTGCGCAAATGTCCGGGTGCGCAAAAAAAAGGTCGCATTTGTCCCACTCCCGCAAAACAAAGTCTATAATTGAAATTCAAAGTTACAACACAAAAGCAACGATTTTTTTCTTATAAAAATGTGCAAGCGCGAGGGAAAATGGCAGTTTAGCAGAAATATGGCCTTGGAAGTTCGAATATTCAGTTATTTAGTTGAATAACTCACGGGGTAGGCTAATTTCCGCCATTTTATTTGCGCAAATCGCCGTAACTTTCTTCTAACTAGGGAATTTTGTTAACTTATCGTGGCTTTTGACTTGGGAAATAGCCTATCTGGTGCAGTTTTTCACGGTGATTCCGAATCTGCAATCAGTTTTTGCCAAATGCTTCTCTATCGCGAGATATTGGGTTGGTGGTAAGGCCTTTCCGATTCCGAGTCAAAAATTTGAATTCTACGCCCTAAAATTACCTAGAAAAAGAAATATTAGCTTTTTAGAGCTTTTTTAAAACGCGAAGGTGCGCTAATGGGCAAGGTGCGGGAAAAAAGGTGCGCAAATGTCCGGGTGCGCAAAAAAAGGTCGCATTTGTCCCACTCTCGCAGTTAGTCAAAATTCAATACACAAGTTAAAATTTAAAGTTGATGGATAAACTACCGTAATCAGCCACTAGACCAGACATCAGATCAGACAGAGAATCAGACATATTCAGTTGTGCGTTTATCGTAGCTTGTGTACTTAAAAGCCAATTATTTAAGCTTTGTTTTTGAGTGAGTTGTGTGCTCCCTCTTTCTATTCATCACTTTTTTTTCACACGCTAGTGTTGAAGTAATTGTGGTAGTGCCAGGTTGCTCAAGTTTGAGCGAAGTTTGGCCCTAATAAGGGAAAGTTTTGATAAACTACCGTAATCAGCCACTAGACGATATTCAGTTGTCCGTTTGTGCGTTTTCAAGACATCTACCATTGAACCACGCGGGGACACGGTCTCACAAGGAACTTTAAAAAAACAAAGTATAAATAGATTTCTTACAATTGGGTTAAATCGAATGAAATAGAGTTTTCTACAACTTTATTGCTAAATTGCTAAACTATCGTAAAAGCTCTAATAGAAGCCTTTAGGTAAGCCTTTAGTAAAAGCCTTTAGGAGCATCGCGTAGTCTAAGTTTACCGCTACACTACACTCAAAGAACCGCTCAGATCTCGACACCAGTACGTTTGTTTTTGCGCGCTTTAGTATCAAATTAAAGTAGAGAAAATGGGTGATTTTTTAAGATATAGCACATATTTTTAGCATTAACCAGCGCTTAGAAAAAAGTGATTGAAAAGTAGCCACCAAAAAAAGCGATTTTTTGCGACTTTTCAAGAGCCGGTTTTCAATCACCCGGGCGAGCCGAGTTGGTGACTATTTTACGGTTGCCAAGCTTTTACAGAAGCTGCAGAAGCTCAACACTCTAATCCTCCACTAGATCTCATCGTCAGCTACATTTTCCGACCCCACATCGATAGGTTCTGATAAGCGCTTCTCGAGATTTCGAGGAATTTAGGCAACGCTCTGCATATTAGAGGAAGGTGCACTACTATTAGAGAGAATACGGTAAAACATATTTTTAGCATTAACCAGCTTGAAAAGTGGCAAAAAAGCTGATTTTTTTATCATTTTGGCATTTGGCATAACATCGAAAGTTGAGTCAAACGAAAGTTGAGCCAAACAAAAGTTGAGTCAAACGAAAGTTGAGCCAACGAAAGTTGAGCCAAACGAAAGTTTAGGCTAACGAAAGTTTAGGCTAACGAAAGTTAAGTCAAACGAAAGTTGAGTCAAACAAAAGTTCAGTCAAACGAAAGTTGAGCCAAACAAAACTTAAGTCAAACAAAAGCGGCCAACTCTCCGCTTTATTGCCAAATTAGGATTTGTTCTTTGAAGTCCATTAAATGCACAACAACTAAATGCACAACAAGGCAGATTGTCGAATTCGTTACCCGCTTTTGGAAAACTCAATCGACTTTGTTCATTTACAAGTGTTTCCCCGTTCAAAACACCGAGACGTCAACTTTTTTTGTACGTTTTTGGGATAGATTTTTGTGCAAAATTCATCCGATAAACCCTTTGATTCGCTTTCAAAAAAGCAAAACCCTTTCCTACATTAAATTTTCCCAAATCTACCCAAAAACAATTGCACTTTCTTGTGCTTGAAAAAGCAGTGAGAAGCTTTTTTTCCTTTTCCCGAAAACTAATGCTCATTGGGTGATTGAGGTAAATCTCTGCTGAGCGCTCTTTTTCAAATCTTTTTCAAATCTTTTCTTTTGCTTAAATTGCTTAAAATTGAAGAGCAATGGAGTCGAGATTTGACTTTTTTTTCTTCAAAAGTGCTTTTTGCTTTCTGCTAGGACAGTTTTTTTTGCGTATATTACGAATTTCATAGTGGCAGCCTGGGGAAATGAGTTTTAGACTGACTTTTAGGCTTCAGTACGGCTTGAAGTCGTCTCTAGTAGACTAAAGAGATGACGACTTCAAGCCCCGAAAAGTCGATCTAAAAAGCATTTCCCCAAGCAAGATCCATGAAATTCGTAATCTACGCAAAAAAACTGCCCTAGAAAAAGGACTTTTGAAGTAAAAACTTGAAATAAATTCAGTACCAAACTTTAAAAAATTTGATTTGGATTTGATTTGGATTTGGATTTGGATTTGGATTCGGATTTGGATTTAGATTTAGATTTGTATTTGGATTTGATTTGGATTTAGAATTGGATTTAGATTTGGATTCGGATTTGGATTTGGATTTGGATTTAGATTTGGTTTGGTTTGGTTTGATTTGGTTGATTTGGATTTGATTTGGATTTGGATTTAGATTTGGATTTGGATTTGGATTTGGATTTGGATTTGGATTTTGATTTGGATTTGGATTTGGATTTGGATTTGGATTTAGATTTGGATTTGGATTTGGATTTGGATTTGGATTTGGATTCGGATTCGGATTTAGATTTGGATTTGATTTAGATTTGATTTGGATTTGATTTGGATTTGGTTTGGATTTGATTTGGATTTGGATTTGGATTTAGATTTGGATTTGGATTTGGATTTGATTTGGATTTAGATTTAGATTTGGATTTGATTTAGATTTGGATTTGGATTTGATTTGGATTTGGATTTGGATTTGATTTGGATTTGGATTTGGATTTAGATTTGGATTTGGATTTGGATTTGATTTGGATTTAGATTTAGATTTGGATTTGATTTAGATTTGGATTTGGATTTGGATTTGGATTTGGATTTAGATTTGGATTTGGATTTGGATCTGGGTAATTTAAAAGCCGAAAAGCTGACCCTCCTTGATTTCTTGCTTTCATCGATCTTCTTCCATTTCCTTTCTTTTTCATCCTTCTCCCATTTGATATCTATGTGCTGTAGTGATCAATCAACGACAATCAATCGCCTTTTCCCTTGTTTATCTCCTTTTTCTTTTATTCGATGATTTATAGAGATTTGTGTTTGAGAAGTTAGGTGGATTAGGGGGAGAAAAGAAGGGTTTTTGGTACTTGGAAAAAGAAGGGATGTACTCTAAAGAAGGGATGTACTTGTGAAGGGATGTACTTGTGCTGATGTACTAGAAAAAGAAGGGATGTACTTTGTGCTCTAATTTAGGAGAAAAGAAGGGTTTTTGGGTGTACTTTGTGCTTTGTAAACTGCTCTAATTTGTAAACGAATCTCTTCTAGTGAAGGATTGAGTGCGCTAGATGAAAAGCGTTTACAGCGTTTACAGCGTTTACAGCGTTTAAAGGTTTTAAGCGTAAAAGACGAAGAATTCATTATTTCTGAGATTTTCTATTCTTTACTTTTAAAATCTCTCGTTTTTGATTGAAAAGCAAAGGTTTTGGAGGAAAAAAAAGCAATTTTTCATATTGCAGAAAGTTTTTTAACAGCTAGAATACGAAAAAAATATGTTAGCAGTTGTTTTTATAAAATAAAATCTAATATATAGTGAAATGAACGCTAAAAACGCTTTAAGAACGCTAAAAACTACGAAATCAAACTATAAACGCTTGTAAAAACGCGTAGAATCGCTATTTTTATAAACTGTTTTTACCAAAAAAATCAAGCAAACTTTGGGCTTTCGAATGGCACAAAAATCAAACCAATTCATCATCTCTACTTTAAGAACGAGCAATTTAAAGCAATTTATAGTCTCGTCCGATGGAATAATATATATATATGTCGTAGCCGTTGACGAATTTCAGCCGCTAACGAATCATTCGTTAACGGCTAGCCGCTAAAGAATCAATCGTTAACGGCTACCCGCTAAAAATGTTTTAATACATTCGTTAGCGGCTAGCCGTAAAAAATCATTTGTAATCGGCTAGCCGCTAACTCATTCGTTAACGGCTAGCCTAGAATAAATTTTTTCGCTAGCCGCGCACAATTTGTAATCGGCTTCTGTGAACATGGCTCGATTGAAATGAGCCTTTGATTTCAAACTATTTATACAAAACGAAAATCAGCAAACTAATCACAACAAGTGAAATAAAATTTATAACAATTTAACACGTATAACATATTTTAACATGTATAACATACCGATTGAAGAACAATTAGGTCGACTTGGCAGGCTATTTTGCCCTTCGTTATCATCGGCTTCACAACAACTTCTTTTTTGGCGTCCTTTTAATTCACATTCCGGGCAAAGTTTGACAAAAATTTCGAGTATTTCATTTGAGATCACGTGATAATCTCCTCGCAGTTCTTTCCACATCAGATCCCGGCCGGCGTGTCCTAGTCTTTTGTGGTTGACGTTAAAACATCGAACGAGTTCCTCTTCTTGAAGACTCGTTTTGGTTGTTCGTTCCCTCCTTTGTCTCCAAGATTGTAGAGTATCATTGATTGTCAATACATTGAATCGAGTAACGACGTGCCCAATTCGCCTCTTCTGTCGTCGCTTCCGTTTCTCGCTTTCAACTTCACTTGACATTGTTGTCAATCTGTTCACAATTTCATCGTATTTTTACGTCGTTAGTATATGCGTTCGCTTTTTCAAAACTTGATACGCATCAAGTTTGGTTGAGAAATTAATTCATCCTGAAAAAACAAATGATTCTGTATAATAAAACCAAAGAATCATAAAAAAAGCAGAAAGAAATTAATCCGAAATCACTGATAACAATGGGGTGGACTCCTCCCGGAGGACCCAATTTCAGCAAAAGGGCATTTTGACAACTTTAAATAGCTCGCTACAAAATCAATCTTTTTTTTGCGTAAAAAATTTGAAACCAAAAACACGGTAAATTCATTTGAATCTAGCCATGTTCGCAGAAGCCGATTACAAAGATTTCGTACAAATCTAGTGAAAAAATTTCATTTGTAATCGGCTAGCGAAAAATTTCATTCGTTAGCGGCTAGCCGATTACGAATCATTCGTAAACGGCTAGCGAAAAATTTCATTCGTTAGCGGCTAGCCGTTAACGAATGATTCGTTAGCGGCTGAAATTCGTCAGCGGCTACGACATATATACTTTATCCGACAAGGAAAAGTGACAATGCAAACAGATTGAACAGCGTAGACGAAGAAAGATAATTGATATACAAACACAACTATAATTCGACACGTGTATATATGACATTAAAAACTAATTTAAAATTGACCGAGCTACAAGATCGAGCTTATATATTGAGGATTTAAAATATTGGGTTGGGGACTATGACTCGGCGCCGAAAATCAAAAAAATGTCTAAAACTTCTATTCGACTTCGTCAAATAATATGCGTTTGATATCAGTAGAATGGTTAACTAATTCTATACAAAACGACATTTAAAAAGAAAATTCAAACAGCGCCTCCGCTCAAGAAAAAGCCATTTTTTCACAAAAACTACAAACTGTCATCTAGAGTAAACGGTTGGAGGCATCTTCCTGAAAATTTGGTAACTTATGTAATTGAGTGTGCTCTATCTTTTTTATATAAACACCAAAGAAGGTTTATGTGAAAGAAACTGTTCAAATGATGAGTCGGGCTCTTTGCCATTTTGACTAGCTGTGTTTGGGAGTCCATAAACTCCACGAAAGAAAAGCTTTGTGGAATCTCTCAAAAGACATTTTGTCGAGAAATAGTGGATCCTTTTGATGAAACCAAACGTATATTTAAAGAAGGCTTTATGTGTGCAAAAAGTCCCTTTAAAAGTTTGGCGCCGAGTCATAGTCCCCAACCCAATAGTTCAGAGACGAAAAAATATCACAAGGTAACTTATTCCAAATACGAGGAACACGACAAGCAAAAGAATGATACAGTTGGCGGTTATGAAAGCTTTGAAAGGGGGTAATCTGAAAGTTGTGACTACGAGTTCTTCTGGCGTGATTCGAAATCTTAAAGAGTCCTTTAAGTTCCGGATGAGAGTTAGGAGAGAAGATGATTTTATAGCATAAGACCAAATCAGAATAAGACTATAAACCTGGAAAAGAAACGTTATTTTTCAGCGCAGAGATGATGAATTGGTCTTATTCCAGTCTTATTCGATAGGACGAGCTATAAACTGCTTTAAATAGCTCGTTCTTAAAGTAGAGATGATGAATTGACTTGATTTTTGTGCCATTCGAAAGCCCAAAGTTTGCTTGATTTTTTTTGGTAAAAACAGCTTATAAAAATAGCGATTCTACGCGTTTTTACAAACGTTTATAGTCTGATTTCGTAGTTTGTAGCGCCAATATCTATTCACTTTATATATCTTTTGTTATTCATTGTAAACCCTCACAGAATCGGACAAAAAGTGAATAGATTTGATAAAAATAGACAAGATTACGGTAAAAAGAGAAAGAGGACACGGTTTAGAAAACAGAAAAGCTAAAGCGGCTCTTGCGGTTTCAGGGGATTTTGAATTCGATCGTCGTACTTTGAAAGCCTATAACTTCTTCCAGAGACAATATTTTTGCAAACTTTTTATATCATTGGATAGAGGACATTTCAAGCTTTCAAATGATATCAAATAGGACTTGATTGGATAATTGAGTGCAAAAAAATAGAGCCAATTCTGAGGTTGAAGCCTATCCAACTCGGGGTGTTCTTGTCTGCTCAGAGTTGGCTCTGATTTTCTTGGACTCAATTATCCGATCAAGCTTTATTTGGTATCATTTGAAAGCTTGAAATGTCCTCTGTACAATGATATAAAAAGTTTGCAAAAATATTCGCTCTAGACAAAGTTATAGGCCTTCAAAGTGTGACAACCCCCTTCAAGATACGAAACAACCCAAGAGTCGTTAAAGCGCTCAAATCATGTCTCAATTTCAGTGATGGCGAAGGATCAGAAGAAGATTTCTCATCTGAAGTCTTTATTCCATCAGATTCCCATCAAATGTCATCACTTCGAATCGCTCACGACAATCGCGATCAATTTTTGAGCAATTCCCCACAACCCGTTTATGTGGCCGAGCCTTTACAGGTAAATTTCAGAAATCTAAACATTGTAGGAAAAATTCTGAATAACCAAATCATTATTCATAAAGAAAGGGAACCATTATCCAAGAAGAAAACCGATTTCAATTCAATTCTTAACCAAAACATTAACCAAACCATTATCCATAAAGAAAGGGAACCATTATCCAAGAAGAAAACCGATTTCAATTCAATTCTTAATCAAATCATTAACCAAACCAACGAAAAGAAAGGGAACCATTATCCAAGAGGAAAACCGTTTCAATTCAATTCTTAACCAAATCATTAACCAAACCATTATCGATAAAGAAAGGGAACCATTATCCATGAAGAGAACCGATTTCAATTCAATTCTTAACCAAAACATTAACCAAACCATTATCCATAAAGAAAGGGAACCATTATCCAAGAAGAGAACCGATTTCAATTCAATTCTTAACCAAAACATTAACCAAACCATTATCCATAAAGAAAGGGAACCATTATCCAAGAAGAGAACCGATTTCGATGCAAATTCCAAACCAAATCATTATTGATAAAGAAAGGGAAACGCTATCCAAGAAGGGGAATCATTATCCATGAAGAAAACCGATTTCATTTCAAATTCTTCTTCCAATCCCTAAACCGTAATCTTGCTCTATTTCTATTCCGTAACTCTATCTTTTAGGTGAACGAGGGTGCATCGATGCCACTGCAATGGAAAAACGTCTACATTCTGCCGGAGCACACGCGTCTAAATGTCTCAAATCGAGAGATCATCTTCTCGGTTGATTAAATATAATAGCAAAAGAATAATCAAAAGATTTTACGACCATCATAAATTCCGTAAAGAACTCGAGCTCGATAATGGCCTGCGGAGCGTTGCGTAGTCTAGCTCTAGCTTTGAGCGTTGCGTAGTCTAGCTCTAGCTTTGAGCGTTGCGTAGTCTAGCTTTGAGCGTTGCGTAGTCTAGCTCTAGCTTTGAGCGTTGCGTAGTCTAGCTCTAGCTTTGAGCGTTGCGTAGTCTAGCTTTGAACGCGTTTTTCTTGCCTCTCTTTTAAGCTACAATTTGCGCTTAGGTATAGATACAAATAGATTTAAATAGCTGAAAATCAGAGCGATTTTTTGATATTAAAATTTTATTTTTTGAAAGTAAGAACACTTTGCAAAAAAATGAAATACAAAAATCAAAAAAATAGAAAAAAAAAATTTTTTCGACTACGCGACTTACGTATTTACGTATTTTGCGGTGTCTATGCGGTGCCTAAATCTTTGTTCAATTCAAATTTAGATCATCGAGAGTCCCCGTCATGGAGTGTTGATGCTAGCTGAAAGTCTTGTCTCATCTTTCACTTATGCTGATTTGTTGGCGCGAAATCTCGTCTATAAACACGATGGAAGTGAAACGAGAGAAGATCATTTCGATTTTCAGGTAAAACAAATGCTTTACCCAGTAGACATGAGCATTATAAACTACAGACGTAAACTACAGACGTAAACTATAAACGTAAACTACAGACGTAAACTACAGACGTAAACTAAAGACCTAAACTAAAGGCCTAAACTATAAACCCTTCTAACTTGCTTCAAATCTACCGCATTAATATGAGCTATAGCTCAAAAAATAGAGAATCTCAAGAGCTTTCGAATGAGCTAAAGTATAGTTAAAAAGATTAATCCTAAAGAAAGTTATAATGATTTGTAGCCTGATGCACTGCCAGGCTACTAGCTACGAGGATTGACTACGCGCAAGTACGGTACTTGTAGTACTCGTAGTACTCGTAGTACTTGTAGTACTCGTAGTAAACTAGGCTTGGTTCGTGAGCTGAAACCTTGGCTTAAGCTATTCATTTGCTTACTGCCATATGGATTGCTTTCATGTGGATTTTCAAAGCCAGACTTTTGCGTATACAATTGATAATGCATACTTTTGCGTATACAATGATCAGTTGAGTTTCTTTTGTCGTTAACAAGGTAACTAAACCAGTTTAATTATCTCTAGAACTCTCTAGAACTATCTAGAACTCTCTAGACCTCTCTAGACCTCCCTAGAACTATCTAGACCTCTCTAGAACTATCTAGAACTCTCTAGAACTCTCTAGAACTATCTAGAACTCTCTAGACCTCTCTAGACCTCTCTAGAACTATCTAGACCTCTCTAGAACTATCTAGACCTCTCTAGACCTCTCTAGATCTCTCTAGGCCTCTCTAGACCTCTCTAGAACTCTCTAGACCTCTCTAGACCTCTCTAGACCTCTCTAGAACTCTCTAGACCTCTCTAGACCTCTCTAGAACTATCTAGAACTCTCTAGAACTCTCTAGACCTCTCTAGACCTCTCTAGAACTATCTAGACCTCTCTAGACCTCTCTAGATCTCTCTACACCTCTCTAGACCTCTCTAGACCTCTCTAGATCTCTCTAGACCTCTCTAGAACTATCTAGAACTCTCTAGAACTCTCTAGAACTCTCTAGACCTCTCTAGACCTCTCTAGAACTATCTAGAGCTATCTAGACCTCTCTAGAACTATCTAGACCTCTCTAGACCTCTCTAGATCTCTCTAGGCCTCTCTAGACCTCTCTAGAACTCTCTAGACCTCTCTAGACCTCTCTAGACCTCTCTAGAACTCTCTAGACCTCTCTAGACCTCTCTAGAACTATCTAGACCTCTCTAGACCTCTCTAGATCTCTCTAGACCTCTCTAGACCTCTCTAGACCTCTCTAGATCTCTGACCTCTCTAGACATCTCTAGACCTCTCTAGATCTCTCTAGACCTCTCTAGACCTCTCTAGACCTCTCTAGATATCTCTAGACCCCTCTAGACCTCTCTAGACCTCTCTAGATCTCTCTAGACCTCTCTAGAACTATCTAGACCTCTCTAGATCTCTCTAGACCTCTCTAGAACTATCTAGAACTCTCTAGAAACTCAAATACGAAAATTTCTTTGACAAAGTCACTGAAACTATAGCTAGCGTCTAGTACAAGGCATGTGTCCACAAAAGTTGACTAATTAAGGCTCGGGTTTCTCTTTTGAATGAGTGATCCACTCACATGTGGCCCACAAAATCTCTCGATCTTGAGCTAAAGAAAAGACAAAGTGTGACCGACATCATTATTCAAATCACCTCTCATTCTTCTCTTTTCCCTCCTTTTTCCCAATCCACCAGATGTGTCTCTTCTGAAATTTCTGACACTAAAATCTGTCGAAAATCTTTAAACGAAAGTTGACTGAAAGTTATTTCAGAAAGGAGGGAAATGAAACTTAAAAAGAAGTTGATTTTCAATTGATTTGATTGATAAGTGATTTGTTTCCAAGGGGAAACAAAGAGCAACTGCTTTCAAAGTAAGCTCCTTTAAAGCTCCTTTATAGCTCCTTTAAAGCTTCTTTATAGCTCCTTTATAGCTCCTTTATAGCTCCTTTATAGCTCCTATTCAGTTCGCTTTAAAGCTTCTTTAAAGCTCCTTTCAGCTCCTTTATAATTCGTATTTAGTTCCTTTAAAGCTCCTTTATAGCTCCTTTCAAGCTCCTTTATAGCTCCTTTTAGCTCCTTTATAGCTCCTATTCAGTTTCCTTTAAAGCTCCTTTAAAGCTCCTCTAAAGCTACTTTAAAACTCCTTTAAAGCTCCTTTATAGTTCCTATTCAGTTCCCTATTAGCTATTAGCTTGGTAAATATGAAAGGTTATTTTTTTTTTTGATCATTTTTAACATAACAGAATTTATTTAAACACTTTCAAAATCAAATCTATTCACCATAAGCTTTAATGATTTACCACAAGCATGATCTCTTTCCAACGTCGACCTCTTTCCAACGTCGCCCCAAATCACGAATGTCGTCCTCGTAAAATTGAAGATTTTTAGAGGCAAAATAGTTGGGAACCCAATTTTCGATGTCCTGCTTTTGCTTGAACTGCTTTTGCTTGAACTGCTTTTGCTTGAACTGCTTTTGCTTGAACTGCTTTTGCTTGAACTGCTTTCCAGAAACCGCTTGTTTCATAGACCGAAAGAGGTGGTAATCCGATGGGGCTTAGGGCCGTATTCATGGGGCCGTATTCATGGGGCCGTATTCATGGGGCCGTATTCATGGGGCCGTATTCATGGGGCCGTATTCATGGGGCCGTATTCAGTCTTCAGTCTGAATACGCAATCTACACGTAATACCGTAATCCAGCTAAAGTAGACTGAATACCCTATTCTAAGCTGAATACACAATCGACACTTAATACCGTAACCCAGCTAACAGAGACTGAATACCATATTCTAAGCTGAATACACAATCTACACGTAATACCGTAATCCAGCTCAAGTAGACTGAATACGGCCCCATCGGATATGGTGGGTGAGGAAGAAGTTTCCATCCCAATTCCATTAATGACTTCTTTCCAACGTCGCCCTAAATCACGAATGTCGTCCTGGTAATCGATCTGTTCGTCGACGGTCAAAGTAATTTCAAAGACTAGCCTGGAATCTTGACTTGACTCTTCACTTGACTTTTCCAGCTTTTAGATCTGTTTTTTTGACTAAAATAGCCTTGAAACTGGACCTTGATTTATCGAAAAGATGTTTGAATTCATAGAGCTTCTTTTAAGATTTAAGACTATCTCTTGCAACTTTCAAATTGCAACTTTCAGATCGAGTTTCCGAAGACGGCGAATTTCGATTTCCCGTGGATCGAGTCAACGGTTTATACGCTGAAAATCCGGATCAATGCCGTTAACGATCCGCCCGAGTTAAGCGATTCGATTAGTGGAGGAGTGGTGAAAGTGACTGCTAAGGGAAGGTAAGGAAAGTTGTAAGAAGATAGGGAAATTATAGGAAGAATAGGAAGAACAGAAAGAACAGGAACAGAAAGAACAGGAAGAAGAGAAAGAAAAGAAAGAACAGGAAGAACAGGAAGAATAGGAAGAGCAGGAAGAACAGGAACAGGAAGAACAGGAAGAAGAGAAAGAAAAGAAAGAACAGGAAGAACAGGAAGAATAGGAAGAGCAGGAAGAACAGAAAGAACAGGAAGGACAGGAAGAACAGGAAGAACAGGAAGAACAGAAAGAACAGGAAGAACAGGAAGAATAGGAAGAGCAGGAAGAACAGGAACAGGAAGAACAGGAAGAAGAGAAAGAAAAGAAAGAACAGGAAGAACAGGAAGAATAGGAAGAATAGGAAGAACAGGAAGAACAGGAAGCACAGGAACAGGAAGAACAGAAAGAACAGTCAGCACTTGAAAAAAGCAAAAGAATCTAAAGCTGGGAACGAGCTGGGAAGCTGTAAGGTCTCGCTCTTGAAATGAACGCTGTACCACTCTTCCACAGCTGCAACAAGACCGGCCCTTAAGGCCATTAAGACCATCGGATTCGCCTAGAGGCCACCAGAAGGCCATTAAGACCATCGGATCCGCCTAGAGGCCGCTAAGACCACATCTTCCTAACAAAACTTTCGATGCGTATAACTCCTGACAGATTGTCATTTAACAAAACCGGAATAGATATTCGAAATCAGCAGAAAATTCTGCGTCGAATGGTATAAATCGTATAGTTTTTCGCTCAGCCAGTTTTTTGTTTAGCTCAAAATTCTATCGAAAAAATTTTCAGTCGAGCTCTCACTGCGGATATTTTGCGTTTAAATGATGTGGACGACTCGCCAGATACGGTAGATTTTGATGATTTTAATGATTTTAATTGTCATTTATCCTTGCAGATTGTCATTTAGCAAAAAAGGGAATATAAAATCGAAATTCTGCATCAAATTCTGTATCAAATTCTGCACCAAATTCTGCATCAAATTCTGCACCAAATTCTGCATCAAATTCAAATTCTGCATCAAATTCTGCCTCGAATGATCGCTTAGGATTTAGCTTTTAGGAATTGAATCAAAAATAACTTTTAATCTTTTTTAAGCTTATCTAAAAACTTATCTAAAAGCTTATCTAAAAAATAAAATGATAAAATATTAGAGAATGGATAAAAGAAATATCAGAAATTCGATTTATTAGATAAAATTCGAAATCAGGTACGCGTGCAAGTGGTGGAGACGAAAGGAGCGCATATATCGGTGGGAAATCGGAGTGTCACCGAGTTTACTCAACGACAATTGATCAATGGAAAGGTTTGTTCGATAATTTACAATGAAGATTTGTCCCCCCACCAAATTTTTTATCCTTTGTTTTTTTTGGGCCCCCGGTCCACCCCCAAGGGGAAGGAGAAGGAGAAGGAGAAGGAGAAGGAGAAGGGGAAGGAGAAGGAGAAGGAGAAGGAGAAGGAGAAGGAGAAGGAGAAGGAGAAGGGAGAAGGAGAAGGAGAAGGAGAAGGAGAAGGAGAAGGAGAAGGAGAAGGAGAAGGAGAAGGAGAAGTGGAAGGAGAAGGAGAAGGAGAAGGAGAAGGAGAAGGGGCATTTTCTTCTTAGACAATTTTTATCTGAATAATCTATTTGATTAGGTACGAATCGTCGATGAGGGAATCTCCGATCATTCGGTGATTCGTTTAGTGGCAAGGGATAACGAGGCGAGGAGTGCGGTGATATCTTTGCAGGTGATAGAAGTAGCTTTGGCTAGAAAACTTTTAATGGTGTCAGATCTCCAAAATCCCTTTGTAAAAGGTGTTCTTTGTGCGCGCACATAATCGATCGCCATCTGGCAAACCGCCTCAGTATAGAAGCAGCGGTAAGCCGGCCATTTTGCGCGTCACTGTGCCCAAATTCTTGGGATCAATTTTTGTCCTGAATTTAGCTGTATTCTTGCTACATTTTATGGATTCTATTGAATACGTAGCCGTCGTAGCCGACTGGTTTGGAGACTTGTCTCCTAGTCGGGGGGCTCAAAGGTTCGATCCGGGTGGCCAGAAAAATTGGTTCTTTTTCCCATCATTATGGGGTTTTTTTCTTAACGACATTTGGGTAATAGGGGTAATAATAAATTGGGTAATAATAAAGGTAGAAATTTCTTTCCTCCGTTTTGTTGTAATTCCATTATTCGTGTCGCATAAATATACTTTAAATGGATGTCTGGAAATGGAGTAGTTCTGATGAATTGACCAAGTAGATCGCCCGATCTCAAAGCCATAGAGAACCTCTGGGACATCTTGATTCGTAAAGTTGACAAGAATCGGCGCCAATATTCAACCATATTCAATATTCATATCTCAAATTTGCTATCCGCCTCGCCTGAAAGCATTTGGATCCCATTCTTCTAGCATTTGGATCCCATTCTTCTAGCATTTGGATCCCGTTCTTCTAGCATTTGGATCCCATTCTTCTAGCATTTGGATCCCGTTCTTCTAGCATTTGGATCCCGTTCTTCTAGCATTTGGATCCCGTTCTTCTAGCATTTGGATCCCGTTCTTCTAGCATTTGGATCCCATTCTTCTAGCATTTGGATCCCATTCTTCTAGCATTTGGATCCCGTTCTTCTAGCATTTGGATCCCGTTCTTCTAGCATTTGGATCCCATTCTTCTAGCATTTGGATCCCATTCTTCTAGCATTTGGATCCCGTTCTTCTAGCATTTGGATCCCGTTCTTCTAGCATTTGGATCCCATTCTTCTAGCATTTGGATCCCATTGTCTTCTAAAATCTCGTTTCCTCGACGTCAAATCGAATTTTTTAATTGATCAATCGCTCCAGCAAAATTACCGATTATTGATAGTGCTTTGTTTTTTCTTTGGGATTTGTGCCCGGCTCTAATATATATAAGGAACCAAATTTAGAGAGATAAGGAACCAAATTTAGAGAGATAAGGCTCTAATATTCTTTTTTCTTCTGTTTATTCTTTAATGATTTCTTAATTTGCTGATTTCTTAATTAAAATTTTTACTTGATGTGAAATGGTTAAATGAAATTTATCAAAGATTTAATAAAACGCTAGTCCAGATAATTCTTTAAAATCTTGTAGTTTCAAGGCTGGAAAGATCAAATAAATCAAGTTAAATCAAATAGATTTAAAATATTAAATATTCTATAGATCTATGAATAATTCAATAATATTATAAAGCTAAAAACAAAGCTAAAAACAAAGCTAAAAACAAAAACAAAAACAAAATCAGAATTCAGATGATTTTTTAGAAAGGTTTTCGAATAATAACAGTTGTAACAGTTGATTAAGATTAAAGATCTGAGATCTGAGATCTTAATCTGAGATCTTTAAACTTTAGATCGTTTCTGTGGCGATCGGTGTCCGCGTCGAGTTCAACACTGGCCTCAAATTGTTGCATCATGGATCAGCAGGCATTGCGAAGCAGTAAGCTCTTGAAAAATAAACAAAACAAAATAAACAAAACAAAATAAACAAAACAAAATAAACAAAACAAAATAAACAAAACAAAATAAACAAAACAAAATAAACAAAACAGAATAAACAAAACAAAATAAACAAAACAGAATAAACAAAACAAAATAAACAAAACTAAATAAACAAAACAGAATAAACAAAACAGAATAAACAAAACAAAATAAACAAAACTAAATAAACAAAGCATAAAAGCCTATGCTCTATCTAGTGAAAGGTGTACTTAAATCTGTAATTGTAATCTGTAATCGGCCTCTAGCACACAACTTCATTTCCAGGAATCTCTCCTTTTCGGCCACTGTACCCGAGCTGCCGCTTCACTATCGAATTGTCGGCTTACCGGAGCACGGAGTTGTCGAGTGTTCGCCACCAAATGGACATTTTCACGTTTGCACAACGTTTTCACAGGTATTAGAATAAAAGGTTATTAGAATAAAAGGATATTAGAATAAAAGGATATTAGAATAAAAGGATATTAGAATAAAAGGTTATTAGAATAAAAGGATATTAGAATAAAAGGATATTAGAATAAAAGGATATTAGAATAAAAGGATATTAGAATAAAAGGTTATTAGAATAAAAGGATATTAGAATAAAAGGATATTAGAATAAAAGGTTATTAGAATAAAAGGATATTAGAATAAAAGGTTATTAGAATAAAAGGATATTAGAATAAAAGGTTATTAGAATAAAAGGTTTTTAGAATAATCATTCACAGGTATTCGAATAATCATTTAATGAATGACCGCCTAGCCTCACTGTTTATGCTAGAGGAAAGTCTGAAGTCTGCTAGAGGAAAGTCTGAAGTCTGCTAGAGGAAAGTCTGAAGTCTGGTAGAGGAAAGTCTGAAGTCTGCTAGAGGAAAGTCTGACATAGAAAAGTCTGATATAGAAAAGTCTTTTTTATGTCTAAAAAGAATCCAAAAACGTACTAATAACGATTATTTTTGTTGTCAACTTTTTGGTGTCGTTTTTAAGGCTTTTATTATTCATTTCGTAGAAAGTTCTCGGTAAATTCGTACTAGTTTTCAAAGAGAAGATTCAGGGCTATCGAATGACGATAATAGTTTTGTTTATCTTCGAATTTGCATCAAAACAGTTAACAGTTTATCAGTCAAAACAGTTAACGACTACGCGACTGTACGCCTAAAATATCATTTTAAACCCAAAATAGCAATTAAGCTATTTTGAACCCAAAATTTCTAGAGTCAAGTCGACGGTGGACTTGTCCGCTTTCGGCACACCGGCAACGGACAACCCTCGCACGATATTTTCTCGTTTCAAGTAAGCAATTGAAAATCTTTGGATATATTTGGATATCTTTGGATATCTTTGGATATATTTGGATATCTTTGGATATACAGGGTGGCTGAGAATTACGTGCGCCAAAGAAAACGCCATAATTTAATTTTCTTTCAAAGAAAATGTAAAAAATCTTTATTTATATAATAGTTGTAACAAAAGCATTTAATAATCACAAGAAATTTTCGAAGTGGCCTCCATCCGCTTTGATACAGGCTTCAATTCGCTTCTTTACAGAATCGACGGTGCGGCGGAGATAATTAGCATCTAAGTCGTTCCAGATTTTGATCACTTCTCGACGTAAATCATTCAAATTGGTGATTTTTCTATTTCTCAATTGTTCTTCCATAAAACCCCAAACCGAAAAGTCCAACGGATTGAGATCCGGGCTGTTTGCAGGCCATTGATCCTTCGTCAAAAAAAGAGCCAATTTTGGTTTCGAGAAAGCGAATTGTTGTTTTGGCTCCGTGGGCCGGCGCCCAATCTTGTTGAAGGGTCAAATTGGGATGGCTCCTCTTCCATGGCACCACAGCTTTCTCGAGAATCTCTTTTTGATAGACTTTTGCGTTAATCTTCACATTTTTATCGATAAAAACCAACGGGGTCTTGCCCGAAGCACTGATGCCACCCCAAACCATCAAACTTTTTGGAAACAGACCTTTTGTAGCGACTTTTCGTTTACGAGTGCTCTTGAGAGCTGGACTGAGAAGTTGACGGTGATTTTGTGAGTTTTTAGCCACTTCCAAGGTGAAAATCTTCTCATCTGACCAAAGAACATCGTCAATGCGCCGCACCTTGAAAAAAAGCTCGCAATTTCTTGCATTTCTCCTTCCGGTTTTGCTTGGCTTGATCGGTGAGCACTTGCCCGTTTAACAGTCGATAACTTCGAAGTCCGAGCTCATTTTTCCCTATCGATTGAACCGAGAAACGCGAAATTTGAAGCTGTTTTGCCATCTTGTTCAAACTACGATCGTCTTTTCGCTCGATCCTCCTCTTGATGATCCCACGCATCTTTCGGGTGTTAACGGTCCTCTTTGGTCCTCTTCCGGGCTTGGACTGAACATGCCCCTCATCTTTCCATTGCTTTACGATCTTCTTGACGGTCCTCAGAGCCACCCCAAGCCTCGATGCGATCGACGAGTCCTTCATGCCGCTCGTCGCCAGCTGTGCGATTGCGTCCCGACTAGCGCACGTCTTTGTCATGACCTAGAAAACAACTTTTTTAACAAAAAATTATTAGACCACGATAAAAAGAATATTAAAACACAAAAAGATGAGTGGTAATGCTTTATACATTGTTTAAAACTATGATGCTGATGCTGCGCGCACGTAATTGTCAGCCACCCTGTATTTGGATATCTTTGGATATCTTTGGATATCTTTGGATATCTCTGGATATCTTTGCTAATCTTTGGATATCTCTGGATATAGCTAGAGCAATTTAAAAACAAAAATTCAGGAGGTTTATTTTACCAAAATGTTTATTTCCCAAAATGTTTTGTATATTTGCTATATTTTGGCGTATTTTGGCGTATTTTGGAGTATTTTGGCGATAATTTTTATGCTTTAGACAAAATTCAATCGAAATTTACTGTTATCTCTAAAAATTCGGTAAATCTATTAAAATTTCTATTAAGATTTCTATTAAGATTTCTATTAAGATATCTATTAAGATTTCTATTAGGGTGGTGCAAAACAAATTGCCGATTTGACGGTAAATTAAAAAAAAGATGGCACTCGATGGTGACATGATCACAATAGAATATTTTCGCAAGATCTCGAGCAGATTGGCATGGATAGGCCTGAATAACGTCCCTCAGCTTGGCTTCGTTCACGACTTCTGGCCTCGAATCGTGCTCGTAATCTTCCAAAGTCTCGTCTCCCTCTCGGAATCGTTGAAACCAAGTCTGGCACTGCCTGAGAGACAAACTGCCATCTCCGAAAGCAGCACAGAGAGCACAGAGAAGCAGCACAGAGAGAACGATGCGGTTCGGCAGCAGACTTTCCAATTTTGAAGTTAAACAGTAATACGGTTCCAATACGGTTCCAATACAGTTCCTTTTTTGATCTAATACGGTTCCAATACGGTTCCTTTTTTGATCTAATACGGTTCCAATACGGAACCGTATTGGAACCGTAATGCTGCTCGTAGCACAAACTTTTGCTCGACCATGATCTAAATAAAAAAAATATAAGCATTTTAAAATAAAATAAACAATAACCAAAAAATTCAAATGTCGAAATAAATAGCAAATAGATATGCGAACAAAACATAAAAAATAATTCCATTAGCATCGCTCGTTTCTGATAAATGAGAGCTGATACCCGTCGGCAGTTTCTTTTGCACCACCCTAATCGAATGCAAATCTCGGTAAAATAGAATGCAAATCTCAGTAAAATACAAGTGTTTGTGGTGGCGTGAGTGGTGATGATGGTAGTGATGATAGTTGGTGTAGTGGGTGCCATGGTGGCACTCATAATCCTCATGCACAGGGTATCAATTTATTGTGAAGAAACGTGAGCACAAATAAGCGCTTTTAACACCAAAGCGGCCACCAGAAACCACTAGAACTTTTTAGGAAATTCGATTTGAAAACGCTTTATTATCTGTATCTCAAAAAAAGTCATTATCACCAAAAACCCAGGTCGAATCGGGCGATTTTGTCAGCATGGTGCACACCTTTCGACTCACTTTCATCCCAATGAATATTAAGGTATCAAAAAGCCGTAGAGATACTATTTACCGTAGAAATACCGTAGAAAATAGACGAAAGCCTGTTTAGGTATTCAATCGAGAGATCTTCTTGCTGAATGGCACGGAAATCGGCACGCTGGAACGAGGGAATCTCTTCGGGTGGACTTTCCCGAAAAGTTACTCGCCCGAGAATTTGGTTTATCATGTTATAGGTGAAAATTTAGGCATATTCGATAATTTGTATATTAAATAATTTAGATATTAAAGAATTTAGATATTAGATAATTTAGATATTAAATAATTTAGATATTAAATAATTTAGATATTAAATGATTTAGATACTAGATAATTTACATATTAAATAAGAGAATTTACAATTTCCATCTTAGAAAAGATTACTGTAGCTTTCGGTTAATTTTCTATTGTTTAGAACCACCAAAGTATGGGATTTTGTCGAGGAAAATTGGTGCCAGAAATCGCAGGATTGGAGTCTCATCGAATTTCACTCAACAGGCATGACACTTATAGAAAAAAGAGATAGAAAAGCTAGAGCTTATTGCTTAGAAGCTAGAGCATATTGCTTAATAGCTAGAGCTTATTGCTTAATAGCTTGAGCTTGAGCTTAATGGCTTGAGCTTATTGCTTAAAAGCTAGAGCTTATTGCTTAATAGCTAGAGCATATTGCTTAATAGCTAGAGCTTATTGCTTAGAAGCTAGAGCATATTGCTTAATAGCTAGAGCATATTGCTTAATAGCTAGAAATCTATGTACTATACCGATTTTTCTCATCTAAATATTAGGTTGGTAAAAAAGAAATGCGCGTTTTCGTTAAAAGTTTAGTTTATTATAAAAACAAGATAACAATACATTAATCCAAAAGGTATTCACCATCTGCATCAATGACTTGTCGCCAACGTTCACGCAGAGAATGGATGCCCTTCTTGAAGAACTCGACCGGCTGCGACTCGAAGAAGTTGGACACCCAAATTTGGACCTCGTCGCGGTTCTTGAACTTTTTCTCGGCCAAGGAGTGGTGCATTGATCGGAACAGATGGTAGTGCATTGAACAGAACAGATGGCGCCAAGTCTGGGCTGTATGGCGGATGAGGCAGGACTTCGCAGCCCATTTCTTCAATTTTCTGCTGGGTGATTTTTGCGACATGCGCCCGAGCGTTGTCGTGGAGGAATTTTGTCGACAATAGCTCTAAATAAACCGGTAGATCTAAATAGACCGAATTGGATCGTCAAAATGGATCAAAACAGATCGTTAAAGCTGATTTTCAAACCAAAACCCAAAACAAACCTAGTGCCAAGATCGTGAAACGCAAAAAGAAAGCTTAGAGGCAAAAAATGCTCCCAAAAACTAGTCGAATAGCTAAATGAATAGCTCCAATCGATTCACTGACCCCGAAAACCCCTGGGTACAAATTTATAGCCGAATTTCTTTTACCGGTCATCTACAAAGAATGACTAGCTAGAATGATTAGCTGTAAATGATTGGCTTCTTTGTGTGCGCGCACTGTCGCTTCCCCATCTGGCAAACCGCTTCAGTATAAAAGGCTTCCCCTTTTCCTCCCCTTTGTCTAGTCGATTCCCTCTCTTTTACATAAAGGTTTTCCATTTCAGGACATCGACTCTGGTTCTCTTTCCTACAAACTCCATTTCATGCAATACTCGATTCTCAATGATTATTTTCTCTTTAAAATCATTGCTCCATCCGTACAATCAGAGGTAAAATTTGGAGAAATTATTCTACCTAAACTATTCTACCTAAATTATTCTACCTAATTCTCATAGACTCAACGTTTCGAGATCGTTTTCCTACCATCGCCTGCCTCGATTCATTTATTGAATCGAACAGTTGTTGTTGATGAGGGAATGACGACATCGGTTAGTGCTGAAATGAATGATAGTACTGTGAAATGAATGATAGTACTATGAAATTATCCAAAAATGATACAGAACTAAAGTTCTATGTTACAAAGAACCCATTCACCAGCTGATTGGAGTACTTTCTATAGTTCTATAGTATAAAGAAACCATTCAGCAGCTGATTGACGTACTTTCTATAGTTCTATAGTATAAAGAACCCATTCAGCAGCTCTGATTTGTCCCAGAATCGATTCGTTTAAATGAGCACAAACAGAAAAATACTTTACTTTAGATCACCTCCGATTTTCTCTCATTGTCGACTCCGGATGATAAAAATTTCCTTTTCACTGTTGCCATTCCACCACAATTCGGGTTTTTGGCAGTGAAAGATCAAAAAGGTTTGAAAATCTTAAAGCTATAGGCTTTTCTTCGGCTTTTCTTTGTCTTCTTTGGCTTCTTTGGCTTCCTTGGCTTCTTTGGCTTTTCTTTGGCTTCTTTGTCTTCTTTGTCTTCTTTGGCTTCCTTGGCTTCCTTGGCTTCTTTGGCTTCCCTGGCTTCTTTGGCTTCTTTGGCTTCCTTGGCTTCCTTGGCTTCTTTGGCTTCCTTGGCTTCTTTGGCTTCTTTGGCTTCCCTGGCTTCTTTGGCTTCTTTGGCTTCCTTGGCTTCTTTGGCTTCCCTGGCTTCTTTGGCTTCTTTGGCTTCTTTGGCTTCTTTGGCTTTTCTATGGCTTTTCTTTGGCTTTTCTTTCTAATTATAAAACAAAATTGATCTTCATAATCTTCATAATATAATTTAATATCAATAATCTTTCTAAAGGTCAACTCTATCAACTGAAAGCTGGACAGAATTTCACCACCGCTCACATCACGGAGGGACGGTGAGTGAAGAGAGAAAACGGCTTAGAAATTTGTTTTCTAAGCCATTTTCGAAGCCATTTTCTAATCCATTCTCTAAAAGATGCTAAAAACTATCGTAGTCTACTGGTTTACAGAAAACCATGGTTTAAAGAAAATTAAGCCAAAGCCAAATGATCAAATAATATTACGAGTTTTTAGTCTTTTCTACAACCATACCGGCTCGGAATCTCGTTTCGATCGTGTTTCGCTTGTGGCCGAATCGGCTTTTCGTGGTGGGACGAGAATCCCTCTATTGCTGACATTTTCCATTATTTTACACAACGACAATGCGCCGAGGCTGACTGGAGAGGAAACAATTTTTGTAAGAACAGAATCTAAAGCATAATATTAGGGTGGTGCAAAAGAAACTGCCGATTTGACGGTAAATTAAAAAAAAAGATGGCACTCGATGGTGACATGATCACAATGGAATATTTTCGCAAGATCTAATACGGTTCCAATACGGCTCCAATACGCTTCCTATTTTGATCTAATACGGTTCCAATAGGGTTCCTATTTTGATCTAATACGGCTCCAATACGCTTCCTATTTTGATCCAATACGGTTCCAATACGGTTCCAATACGGCTCCTTTTTTCATCTAATACGGTTCCAATACGGTTCCAATACGGTTCCAATACGGCTCCAATACGGCTCCTTTTTTCATCTAATACGGTTCCAATACGGCTCCTTTTTTCATCTAATACGGTTCCAATACGGTTCCAATACGGTTCCAATACGGTTCCAATACGGTTCCAATACGGCTCCAATACGGCTCCAATACGGCTCCTTTTTTCATCTAATACGGTTCCAATACGGTTCCAATACGGTTCCAATACGGCTCCTTTTTTCATCTAATACGGTTCCAATACGGATCCAATACGGTTACAATATGGTTCCTATTTTGATCCAATACGGTTCCAATACGGTTCCAATACGGCTCCTTTTTTCATCTAATACGGTTCCAATACGGCTCCTTTTTTCATCTAATACGGTTCCAATACGGTTCCAATACGGAACCATATTGGAACCGTAATGCTGCTCGTAGCACAAACTTTTGCTCCATCATGATCTAAATTAAAAATATAAGCCTTTTTAAATAAAATAAACAATAACCAAAAATTCAAATGTCGAAATAAATAGCAAATAGATATGCGAACAAAACATAAAAAATAATGCTGTTAGCATCGCTCGTTTCTGATAAATGAGAGCTGATACCCGTCGGCAGTTTCTTTTGCACCACCCTAATATAATATATAATAGAATATAATATATAATAGAATGTATAATATAATATAATAGAACATAACATAATATAATATATAATATAACATAACATAATATTCTATACAATGCTTTAGATGGAACCAAAAGGCGAACGAGTACTCTATCCATATCTTTTAGAATGGAAAGATGAGGATATTGATTCGATGCCGCTACAGGTTACAGGATACGATCTAATTTGCTATCCGGAAAGCTTTCAGTTCTCATTCGATTCGGGCTCAAAAGACGCGTCACTTTTGTCGACTCTCTCACCACATTTAACAACAAATACATTCACTCAAGAGGATCTCATCAAAAAGAAAATTATGATTCGACATTTGGGGAATCGAGATAATTTCACGATGAGGTAGCTGAAATGAAAGCATCTCTCAACGCAAAAGCTTTTGCAGGTACACGGTTTTCGATGGGAAACATTCTGTGACCGCATCTTTGAGAATCATAGCTCGTCAACCATTCATCGAAATTGGAGTGGCTGAATTTGTCTACTGTTGTCAACCGGGCGATCGGCCGCAAATCGGTGAGTTGGGAAGAGAATAGATACTCAGTCTTAACGGTAACTTGGTTTAAAACTAGACCAAACTAGAAAGTAATGGACTAGACCAAACTGGAGAATAACAGACTAGACCAGACTAGAAAGTTAAACGCTAAGACTGAGTATCTTTAAAAAGCAATCCAACCTCGCCAATGGCAATCTACCTTTGAGCTCAAATTTCTTCATGTTCAACTGTTCAATGTAAATAGATTTGCACCAAGCTTTTGCGCGTCGAATAATATCAAGAATATTTAAATTCAACAGCTCAACACCAAGAAATTTGAGCTCAAAATTAGATTCCCAATAGCAGAAGGGGCGGGGCGTCAGATGAATGGCCGATGTCCTCGTCAAATGTCCAATGCCCTCGTCAAATGTCCGATAAGCTAAAGAATCTCTTTTCAGAAGTGACTCGTGGAAATCTGTCGGTGAAAACGAATGACGATGTGGATTTGGCAGAGATTCTCTACTCCACCCCAAGCGTGCATTTCGTTTTGAAAAGGAATGGAACGGCGAGGGTGGCATCAAGCTTCACACAACAAGTCAGGGTTTAATTTGTGCTTTCAACGGGTTTTCAGGGACAATAACAACCGTACTTTGGTCTGAATCTTACTATAGTTTTTCAGGACATTGCTGACATTGCAGGAATAAAGTAAAGTTTTTCAGGACATTGCTGACGGGGCACTTTTCTATACCGTCCACTCAGCTAAACAAGAGCCGATCACCGTCAGCATTGGGGTAAAGAAGCTGCAAGCTGAAGTGAGTCTTTCAAAGAAGATTACAGTAGTCTTCCAAAGAAGAGTACATTGAACCTTGGACTTTATTCTTTAGATAATCCTAACCCTACGATCCCTGGGCGCCTCATTGGAGTTGCGACGATCCGAGGCGCTCTCCGTGCCTGTTGGCGGAGCTACAACGATTGATAACAACACTCTACTACAGGTAAATTCTTAAGCCTTTAGTTTTTTAGCTTCTGGTAAGGATTGGTAGCTTCTTAGCTCAAGAATTGGTAGCTTCTTAGCTCAAGGATTGGTAGCTTCTTAGCTCAAGGATTGGTAGCTTCTTAGCTCAAGGATTGGTAGCTTCTTAGTTCAAGGAAGGTAGCTTCTTAGCTCAAGGATTGGTAGCTTCTTAGCTCAAGGATTGGTAGCTTCTTAGCTCAAGGATTGGTAGCTTCTTAGTTCAAGGAAGGTAGCTTCTTAGCTCAAGAATTGGTAGCTTCTTAGCTCAAGGATTGGTAGCTTTTTAGCTCAAGGATTGGTCGCTTCTTCATCATTTAGAAAACTAAGATGGTTGATCATTCAATTGAACATTCAATTCAATTACAGAGTGATGGCGTGACTCGATCTGGCCAACTCGTCTACACGATCAATCGACACCCCACCGCTGGGCATCTCGTTTTGGATGACGGTTTGTTGCACATGATATTCTACTGTAATGAAGCTACCGTAACCCGACCTAGATGTTACCGTATATCCAACTTCATAGCTAACTCCAAGCATTTCCAGGTTCTTCATATGTTTCCTCATTCACTCAATTCGATATCGACACCTCTCGCCTCCAATATCTTCACACGGGTAAAGCGGCCGGTCGAGACTCGTTCACTCTGCAAATCCGAAGTCCTCATGCATCAAAAGGACCCTACACAATCTATATTGATATCTACGAACATCATGTGAGTTCTAGTTCTATGAATATCTAGATATCTACTGTAAAAGAGCAGTGTTCATCCATCCTTCTGGCTGCCCGTCTGTCTGTCCGTCTGTCTGTCCGTCTGTCCATCTATCTGTCCGTCTGTCCGTCTATCTGTCCGTCTGTCCGTCTATCTGTCCGTCTGTCCGTTCGTCTGTCTGTCCTTCCGTCTGTCTGTCTATCTGTCCGTCCTTCTGTCTGTCTGTCCTTCTGTCTGTCCTTTTTCCTTCCTTTTTAGAAACGTTTGTTTTGCGTTTTGATGCTTCAGCACCCGAATTTTATCTGGGCTTAAAACTAATTGAAAGATTAAGAAACACCTTCCTCATTTCCCATGTCCATTTCCCATTTCCAGGTCACTCTCAACACCTCATCAATCCACGTACTCTCCGGTGGAAGTGCTGTTTTATCACCGAAATCGATTGGTGTCCATTCGTCGGATAAAGATGATTATATGCTGAAGATTGTCTCCCCGCCGAGATCTGGATGGATTGTAAGAGATGGATGGACGATTGCGAATATTACAGCTATCGGTTGGGTCTTTCTTGCAGCTACGGCTTTCTTGTAGAAGATATTACAACAAGAGCTAGAAGATCTAGAGACTTCTGTCTACTGTAGCTGTCTACTGTAGCTGTCTATTGTAGCTGTCTATTGTAGCTGTCTACTGTAGCTAGGGTAGTTAGATCAGCTTACGGTAGCTAGTTTGAATTACTGTAAGTTCAGTCGAATCTTTTCAAATCAATCATTTTCGATTCCTTTGCCGGAAGTGAGCTGCGCGAGCGTCGAATCGTCTACGTCTCTGACAAAGCGGCGAATGTCGATCGGGATACTTTTCAGGTAAAAAAATTGATATAATCTAATTGTTATAATGCTAGAATTTATTAGAAAATGATCTAATATCGATCCGTTATCTAACATCGATTCGTTATCGTTTCTCTATTTCAGATAATCGCTTGTATCAGTGAGAACACGTGCACAAACGCGAAACAAGTCGAGCTGCTCGTTGCACAACAGAATAAACAAAGTGCGTTCATTTGTGACGGTAGCTAAGCCGGGTTACTGTAGTTGAGCGGGTTACGGTAGAAAATAGATCTAAATATATTTAAACATATCTAAATTATTTAAATTATCCTAATATTGAACTTTCCAGGTCCACTCCTGATTCGAAATGAAATTTTGAGGGTATCCAGTACAAATCAAGCGCTCATTACAAATAGCCACCTCGGAACTGAGGTCAGTGTTTAAAAATACATGTTACCGTATTACAGTGTACTTGTCAGAACCCAATGCTCCTTATAGTATTTATTGCGGTACTCTTTACCGTACTCAGCCTGTACTTTTCTGTTCTTTTTTTCCTGTTCCCATTCGGTTCCGATTCGGTTCCGATTCGATTCCCATTTGGTTCCCATTTGGTTCCTATTTCGATTCCATGGCTTCCGGTCCGGTTCCCATTTGGTTCCTATTCGATTCCAATTCAATTCCCATTTCGATTCCATGGCTTCCGGTCCGGTTCCTATTCGATTCCAATTCAATTCCCATTTGGTTCCTATTTCGATTCCATGGCTTCCGGTCCGGTTCCCATTTGGTTCCTATTCGATTCCAATTCAATTCCCATTTCGATTCCATGGGTTCCGGTCCGGTTCCTATTCGATTCCAATTCAATTCCCATTTCGATTCCATGGCTTCCGGTCCGGTTCCTATTCGATTCCAATTCAATTCCCATTTCGATTCCATGAGTTCCGGTCCGGTTCCGATCCGATCCCCTTTCGATTCCGATTCGGTTCCAATTCGATCCCCTTTCGGTTCCAATTCTGTTCCTATGTTTGTCTGAATTTTCTTTTCAGTACTCACAAGGAACAATTTCAGGACGTCGACACGCCATCCGAGCAAATCGCCTATCTGATCTCGAGACCGTCTAATGGATTTGTGGCCAGGGTTAGTGAGATTTAACAATTTAGCGTCGGAATCCGAGCTAGCGTCCGAATCCGAACTAGTTGCATAAAATCGCGCAGAATTAATATTTTTCTATAAATTTGTAACCATTCGATGCAGGAAAAAATCTCTATAAGTTCAACTACAAATATATGACATTTTCTTCAGTAGAACTTTTTTATTAGACAAAAAAACCGAAATTTTTTCACACTTTTCTAAGCTATCTTTTAGTGACTCAAATGTGAACGAAAAATAACGTACAATAGCTTATTTTGTAGAGCTAAACATGTCGATTTTTAAAGTGAAGCTACAAAGATAATTTCCTAAAAAAAATATGAACTGGCTGACACTACGGGGGGGTCGAAGCCGGACCTTGTGGGTCATAGAAAATGGCGTTCCCGACTGCGGCACGGTGAGCGAAATGCTTCGGGATAGAGATAAGAAACCAAATTTGTGGAGATAAGGAACCAACTCTAGAGAGATAAGGAAATGCGAAATGCTTCTTAGGTCTCGATTTTTCAACTGTTTCTTTATAAAAACTCATTCAGCTCGTGCAACCCGAGCTTCCGATTTACAACTTTTCGCAAAGGGAAATCGATGATGGACTATTAGCTTTTTACAAAAGTCCAAGTAAGAATTTCGGATATTTTCGATCAATTTTATATCTCTAGATGCGACTTTTGGCTCTGGTGGCTTCTCGTTTTTGCTTTCCGATGGATTGCATCAAGTTGGGCCCGAGTGGTTTACCATTGAGACATCGGATAGTCAGGTTTTGTAGAGAAGCTACTTTCGCACGTTTTTTTGTTTCGTTTTCAGGTTAACGTGATTCTCGAGGCGAATTCGCGTCTCCTTTGTGCGCCGGATGCAAATGCGATCATCAGCGTTGATCTGCTTAGAGCCAACATTCCCGGGGTAAACAATTTTTTGTTTCCGTAACTTTTTAGATCTACAATAGCGCTCAAAATGATAGAAGCGGATATTTTCGAAAATTATTCCATTCATTCACTTCTTGCCATCTTTCGAGCAGTTTTCTCCAGAAGTCCAGCTTTACGGCGCTTATCTTCTGCACTCGAAAAAAGATTAGCATCACAGTTGATACTAAATTTATAATATAACTAGAATAGGCAAGATAGCTAGAATAGGCAAGATAGCTAGAATAGGCAAGATATCTGGAATAGGCAAGATAGCTAGAATAGGCAAGATACAAAATCTAATCTCCAGGCCACCGCCAGTGACATCCGTTTCTCGATCATGAAAGCGCCGAAGTACGGAAAACTTCTCCTCAACAACGTCGAGAGTCATCGTTTCACGCAAAATGATGTTATTATTATAATTGAATAATTCTAAGATTTATCTACTATATCTAAATAATCGTTTAGATCAATCGTCGCCTCGTTTCGTATAAAGTTCTCTCAACAGAGCACACGATTTGGTCAAGGCGTGACTCGTTCTCATTCACCGTCACCGCTAACAGCACAACGAAAGCCCCAGAAGAGCACAGGTTGGTACTATAGGCTGGCCAGATCTAGACCAGCTCTGGCCAGATCTAGACCAGCTCTGATCAGATCCAGACCAGCTCTGGCCAGAAATAGACCAGGTCTGGCCAGATCTAGACCAGCTCTGATCAGATCTAGACCAGCTCTGGCCAGATCTAGACCAGCTCTGATCAGATCTAGACCAGCTCTGATCAGATCCAGACCAGCTCTGATCAGATCCAGACCAGCTCTGGCCAGGTGCAGACCAGCTCTGGCCAGACCTGGCTCCTGGAAGCCCATGTATTAAGTACTTGCAAAAGAAACTGCAGACGAAACTAGATTCCGCCAAACGATCACTGTAGAATTCTTTTTATATCGTTAAAAAGAGATATTGGGGTTTCTAAAAATACTAATCAAACCGGATCACTACTTTACTAACAGTCGTGGTATGGTGACTTTTTTGACCCACAGTTTCTTTTCCAAGTACCTAATACTTTTGTGGGTCAGGCAAGAAAGCTGGGACAGAAAACCGTGCTTGAGTCTGTCCTAGCCGGAAAAATTGACTTGAAAGATCGTAAATCACTGTAGAATAAAACCCTATTACCGTAAATACTCTAATAGCACGCCAACAGAATATAACGATAAGACTTACTTTAGATTCCGAATCTCATCCACTTATGCGGCACTTGGGGGTGATTCGCTGAAAGATTTCGTCACAACGAACGCCATCTACGTTTCAAAAGGTAAGCTACTGATTTGCTTTCAAAAAGATACCGATTTGGTTCGAGTCAGGAATCGATTTGGTTCTAATAAGGTACCAATTTGATTCCAATAAGCTACCTTTTTGGTTCCAAAAAGTACCAATTTGGTTCTAATAAGGTACCAATTTGATTCCAATAAGCTACCAATTTGGTTCCAATAAGCTACCTTCTTGGTTCCAATAAAGTACCTATTGGGTTCCAATAAGGTACCGATTTCAAAAGGTAAGCAAGAGTACTGTACTATGATGAATAAAGTAAAGATAGCCTAGTTTAAATCACAATAACACGGTATTTTAGAAAGCATTTGTAAAGTTTAAATCTTACAATGATAGGACTAATTACTGGATCTTTCCTTTATCTCACAGACTCACAGCCTTTTCAATTTAATCTTGTAATTCTATTTTTTCTATTTATAAGACAGTATTTTGCTTTTAGTCAACAAATCTCGCATTTAAAAGCAATTTTTTAGGTGGCTCCACTGCACTCAATCAAACCTATTTGAATCTGGAGAAGTTGGCGACGATTGTTTCAAAAGAGGCTTGTTTTTAAAAGTTATAGTATTATAATAGTTATAGAACAGTACTTTACACTAAAAAAAATTATGTATAATGATTTAAATTCTAGATCTTATTGATGGAGATTGCGAAACAGCCACGGTATGGAGACATTGAGTGGCTGGATTTGGAGAGAAGAGTGCTCCCGTGGATTGACTTTTTTCGGGGATGGCCACTCATTTACAGGCATAATGTAAGAGTTCTTGAAATACTCAAGGATTTTCGCTACCGGAAAGAAACAAGAAAAACAACATTGTTCTCGCAATCTGCTGGTGTCTTCTGAGCAACACTTGTTGGCTTTCTTGTCCTTGTTGGCTTTCTTGCTCTTGTTGGCTTTCTTGTCCTTGTTGGCTTGTTGATGAAATGATGACGATGGAAAAACTTTTGCAACCTTGCAACCTGCAAACTTTTAAAACACCATTCATTTGGAGTCCTGAAAACATTGAGAGATGTCATGGGCTTTTTTTCTGCATCATCTTGCAGGAAATACGCAATTTCTCTCGTCTTTTATGAAGTATCCATTGAAAGACGGCATTGTCGAGTTTGCACGATTGTAACCGACGTCCGCCGCCAGAAATTGTTCAATTTAAGTCCAAAATGCTTTCATCCTAATTTTTTTTGTTTACGTCATCTCTAAGGCCTTCGTTTTCTAGATCGATAGAATCTAACAAAGAAATTGAAGATGAATCCGAGATGTCAGAGTTTCCGTTGCTAACAGGGGTTGATGCTAACAGATCTGAGTGATAATCCAAGTTGTTAATATTCTCAGCCAAATCGACGTCATCAAACAAGTTCACTAATGATTGATCAATTCTTGTCTTTGACGATCTTTGACGTCGATCTTTGACGACGATCTTTGACGTCGCTGTTTGAATTTTAGGAAAGCAGTGAATCAAATCATCTTCAGAAACATCTGTTGCCGTGATAATGCCGCAAACTTTGAAGGATTTGATGATTGTTTTTTTCGAGATTGATTGCCAAGCGTCGATTGATTGCCGAGCAGAATCCATTTTCAGTAAACTTCCATTTTGACTTCTTGTTTGCATTGGTCAGGCTCGCTTCTTGCTTTCTCCATGCACGAATTTGGCACTTGCTGACGTCAAAATGTCGTCCCGCTTCCAGATTGTTGTTCTTCTTTGCATATCCGATTGCTTCCAGCACTTAGCATCTCCGCTTCCGTTTGCTCAAATTCGTTTGACGATCACTCATTGACGTTACCTAAATTTTAAAAATTACTAGATTCAATTAATTGGAAAAATTGGAATTGGAAACTAAATTGAAAATAAAAAAAGCGAAAAGCAAAAGTTACAAGAAGTAAAAGTAGCTAAAATGAAATAAAAAACAAAAAGAACAAAAGAAAAAAGCCGGTAGAAATCGACGAGGTAGACAAGAAATGAGACTACGGTAGTTACAGCACAAAATAGAATTTAAGGGAATCGTCCAATAGAAGACGCGTCTTATATTAGAGAATAAATAGAATTCTTTTAATAGAATAAATAGAATTCTTTTAATAGAATAAAAACGGTAATGTTTTTAGGGAGATTCGGATCGTGACGATGAATTGGCTCTATTCGTCTATCCGGTCAGCGAGTCAACGAGGAGTGCGAGTAGAATAAGAATCACGATTCCCATTCGAATCCTACCACTCAGAGATCCACTTTTAGAGGTTTGCGATAACGATTTCCGAATAAGAGATACTGTAACTTGCTGAACAACGGTTTTAGCATGACTGTAAGAGATGTAAAGAGTGCTGTAAAATATTGTAAAGGATACTAGACTTAAAGGGATATTGTAGAGTAGTACGAGTAGATACAACTGTTCTATCTGAATACGGGATTTGTTAAGAGCATAATGTACTAGAGTACTGTAGGTAACTGATATAAATGGCACTCTGGAAGCTTTATCGATTTGAAGAAGTTTTACAGATCATCGCCTTTCCCCGAATGATTTCCTGTGTCTCTGGGGGTGCTAATCCGCTCGATCAGACGCAATTCTTTGCCCGTCATCCATCCGTTCCATCGCAAAGTATCATCTATCAAGTGGTCAGTCAAGTTCTGACTCGAAACGAACCGTACTCGTGCGTAGTCGAAGCGATCGAGCTACAAACTACTGTCAGGCTACAAGCTACAAACCACTATCAGGCTACAAGCCACTGTAACTTTCTTTCGCATGAATATTTTCGGGTCTGCTTTAGTCCATTCGAAAGCTCTTGAGATTCTCTATTTTTTGAGCTATAGATCATCTCAATCCAGTAGATTTGAAGCAAATTAGAAGCGTTTGTAGTTTACGTTTGTAGTTCGTAGTTTACGTTTGTAGTTCGTAGTGTCCATGTCTAGCACCAGATTCTGCTGACATTCTAAACTGTATCCCGTTCCTCTTTCTACCATAATCACCTTTATTTTCATCGAATCTATCTACTTTTATATCTTTCGATATACTACAGTAACTACAGTGCATTCTAGGTGCAAAATGGTCGCAACGGTGCCCGGGTGCGCGTGTCGCACCGAAATCGGGAAATGTTCTCGCAAGAAGAGGTGAGTAAAGCTTAATTAAAAATAGATAGAGATGCTCACTTAAAAGTAAAGTAAAGATAAAAACTTAAAAGCTAAAGTTCTTATCGTATAGATACTATATTATTATCAAAAACATTATCGATTTTCAGCTCAACCAGGGTTTGGTCTCCGTCGTGCACACTCCTCCTTTGTCCGGCTCGGCGCCATCAGATGTGATCGTTTTCTCGATCGAGGGCCTACATAAAGCATTGATTGTTAAGGTATTTGAGATATCTAGTTCATAAAATAAAGATCCAGCAAATAGATAAGCAAATAGATAAGCAAATAGATTAAGGAATAATTTATCCAGGCTTTATCCAGGCTTTATACACTGCTCCACAAAGCCGCACTCCTGAATTTCACGATTTCTTGACCAAAGTTGACCAAAGTTGTCAAAGAGAAAGTTATCAAAGTACTAAAATGTGTATTAATACAAAATTTGAATAGAATTGAATAGATTTGAATAGGATTGAATAGATTTGAATTGAATTGAATAGAATTAACGTATGGGCAAAATGCCCGAACTATAAACGCCTATACGTTTTCGATAACATTCAAATCAGGAGAACACGTCGGCCAAGAGAAGAAGGATTCTCTTGCACCATTCCTCTGTGCAACGACATCTGTGAATACGCCATAAAAATCAAACTTTTGTTGCGATTCCGGCGCCAAAAAGGCAAAACTCCACGTTGCAAGACGACCCGATAATCCGATTCATTCATCTTCTTTGAAACAAAGCATAACTTCATCTTCATCATCATCATCTTCATCATCATCTTCATCTTCATCTTCACTCATCCTGTTGATGAAATCGCCGCTCAAACCATTCTGCCACCATCGTTGAAGTTCCGTCTTGAATATCAGAGTTTATCCTTTCTAAGATCATGCCAATAACTTCAAAAGTCATCGCAGTTGAACTTTTCTCATCAGAAATCGAAATCTTTTCGGCCAAATTCCACTCGGTCATAGCAAAAACGAATAAGATAAGACAACGAATAAGATAAGACAACGAATAAGATAAGACAACGAATAAGATAAGACAACGAATAAGACACGAGTGTCCACGCATGATCTAAAACGTAGCTAAGCGATTTTTGCTATTAGAGACAATGCTATGAGCATTAGTAAGAAAAACACTAGGGAAAAAGAAAGCATCAAACTTGGGAGGAAGAGGTGGGGCGATCCTTGAAAAATGGCAACTTTTCCTCTTTTACGACTTTAGTCTCAAAAACTTTTCAGAAATCGTGTTTCTGCAAAATTCATTCAAAATCGCGATCATTCTGTAGAGCTTTATAGATTATTTCATTGGCATCTTTTTCCAGATCCGACCGCTCGACTTGGCCCTCGAGAACCACACCACAATCTACTATCCTCAAGGGAAAACCTATGTAGTGCTAAATAGGTAAATGCAGTTTTCATTTTGCAGTTTTCAAAATTATCCAGCTCATTTTTTATCCTGATATTATTGACTCAAAAATTACAGTTAATCAAAAACTAATAACAGATTCGGATTCCCCTTGGGTTTACAGTCCATTTTATAGTCCAAAAACTAACAAAAACATACATTGTCGTGTTAACGAATTTCAATGCATTTTCAGATCTCATCTGGGTGCTTTCTCGAATGGGGACCGCACGAAAATCGCTTACAAAATCGTGGTCCCGCCGGAGAATGGCACATTCTATTGGGTTGCGGGGGAGAAAGAGGCGAAAGAATTTACACAAGTGAATATTTTTTTTTAAATACTGGTAGATAAAGAAGTCTTAAGACAGAAATTTCTAAGCAAGTCTTAAGACAGAAATTTTGTCTCCTCTTGAATCAATTTTCCAGGACGACATCGACAACGGTCGCGTCCTCTACGCACAGTTGAACATGCACTCGTTTAAGGTGAGCTTCATGTACAGATCGAATATAAGAAATTGAAAAATTGAAAACCTCTATTCATTCTCCAATTCTGTACTTCAGGACTCCTTCGAATTCCAAGTGGCCAATGCGGGCAGGGACACGGTGAGAAATCGATCGGAGATCCTCGTTCGATCACTCGTCATTGCTCAGCCTGTTATTGTCGAGGTTTGAGACGGATTTCCTATCCTACAAAAGCTGGTAGACTTTTGTGAACATAAATAGCTTATGCGCTTTCTAAGTAGCTTTCTAAAAAGTGGGTAGTTTGACAAATCAGAATTCAATTATTATTTATCAATTATCGAAGTACAATGTGATAAATTTCAGGCCAACACAACCACCCAAATCACAAGCTCTCAGCTGAACGCGAGTGCACTCGAGGTAAATAAAAAATGGCACTGGTTTTACCCAAATGTGCTGATTTTTTGCATCCAAGGGCTTTTGACTATGCTGAATCGATTGGTGATCGTTTCACACAATATTTTCGCAACTTTTAACAACGTTTATAACTTATGGCGACGGCCTCCAGCTTGACTCGCATATTGCGTTGACAATTGGGGCACAGGCGAACTTTCCAAATGAGTCCAATGTCGTGTAGCCAGTCATCGAAGCCGTTGGAACGCTTCACAGCGAGTCTTGTCTATTCTGTTAGCAAGTTGAAATTGCGCAAATTTAGCCTGAAAGCGGCAGCGACCATTCTCAAACCATTGACTGGGTTCAAGAAACGCCCATGTGTTTGCTTCTTCCAAACTCGATCATTCTGTTTGTTTAATATCCCTTCCACTATAAAGATCTTCTCGTTGGTGTTTCTGTTTCTGACAAAACAAAATGTTTCTGTGATCCCATTAAACCAAGGCGCAGTTGCTCACATCTTTTCTCTTCAGTTTGGCGGCAGCAGAGAGCATGGCTGCCTTGTTTTTCTGTTAGGGCTTAAATTTGAGCTTTTCCTTGATCATTTGGCGAATGAATCGATTAGATCAGATCAGATACGCCCATGTTCTTGGCGATCTTTCGAGCAGTTTGGTTAGGCTTCTTGCAGAGTCGATCGCATACTTTCTTGATGTTGCTCTTGGTCACCACGGTCGATCGTCTGCCTCTTCCAAGCTGTTCAGACATTGATCCAGTATCGTTGTAGCGTTGAATGGCTCGAGACACGACTTTCCTGTGCACTCCCAGCTTTCTTGCGATCACGGTCGCCGACTCACCCTTCCGATGAAGCGTTAACCGAAACTGAGCAGAAAGAATTAATTTGCACAAAGACAAATGAAATGGCGGTGAAATGACGGAAAAGGGACGGCTACGGTATTTGGGGCACGTTTTAGAAAACAAAGAAAACGCTTTAGAAAACAAAGAAAACGTTTTTAAAAAAAAAACTATTAAACTTCCAGGGCTCAACTCCTCGTTTCCTTGTGGCAAAAGCACCGAAATTCGGCCGTATCACCCTCGATCCAACTTCTGCCCATTCAGCTCTTTTCTTCACCAACAATGACATTGCCAAGGGGAAAGTCTTGTATCAGGCTTTTGGTAGCAGAGATGAGGTGAGATACAAAATGCTAGCTACAGTTGTATATGGTAGCTTACTAATATTAGGGGTTTGCAAAAGAAACTGCGTATTATACGCAACGTTCAAACACCTCGAAAATTAATAATAAAAGACTTTATTCCAAAAGGTACTCGCCAAAATTATCAACTATATTTTTCCATTTTTTACGTAGACTTCGGATGCCTGATTCGAAAGATTCCGGATCTTGTGACGCGAAATAGTCTTGCACCCAAATTTCGACTTCTTGGTAATTGTTAAACTGTTGATTTGCAAGGGAGTGTTGCATAGACAGGAACAAGTGGTAATCTGAGGGAGCGATATCAGGCGAATAGGGCGGATGAGGCACGAGTTTCCAGCCTAATTCTTCTATGGTGTTTTGAGCCAAGTTTGATGTGTGTACCCGGAAATTGTGAGCGAGTAAATGGATTGTCCTTGGATTAACACCTCTTTCTCGTAGAATTGCATCAACTTTCTTCAGCTCTTCGGCGAAGATTGAGAAATTATAGTATTCGGCTCATTCGGGCAAAGTTTGAGTTCGATCCAACTCTACAATCTCCAGCAACTCTGCATTATCGAAGACAACTGGACAATATCCATCTTCCAAGCTGCCATCCCCTTCACGAAAACGTCGAAACCATTCCTGGCAAGTCCTTTCACTCAAAATGTTTTCTCTGAATGTTTCACAAAGATTCCGGTGCGACTTCGATGCTGATTTCTTCATTTTGAGGTCATAGAGAAGGCACGCTCGCAACATGAGTTTTTGATCCGTCATCTTCGACAACTAAAATTATTTATAATTCAATGGTCAAACAAATGTGAAAATCAGTAAAATAAATAAGCGTTATCAACACAATAGAATAAAATTTAAACTGGGTTAGAGCACTTTCAAATAGAGAAAATATTCTTCCGGAAAGTCATGCGCAGTTTCTTTTGCAAACCCCTAATAATTGATAAATATAATAGGTAACGGAAAATCTCGAGTTGGAAATCCGAGCCGACAGTGTACAGCCAGCTCGTCTAATTCTGCCGATCACTATTCTCCCGTCAGAAGATTCGGAAAATGGACACGCACAGCAAAAACACGATGAGGGAAATGCTGAGGAATTGGATGATGAAAGTGATATAAGTTGGTAGCCATTTTACAGCCATTTCTGCAGAAGAGGTTGAACTTTTGCAACTTTCCTGGCTTTTCCTAGCTTTTCCTAGCTTTTCCTGGCTTTTCCTAGCTTTTCCTGGCTTCTGAAAATCTTTCAAAGCACTTCCAATATTCTCCTCAATTCATCTTTCCAGCATTCCCGAGACTCGTCAAACCGGATTACCTCTTGCACATTTCCCTCTTGGCCGGTATTGTGCTCATCGTGATCATCATCATGATTTGTCGTTTCCGCTCAGCGAACAAGAAAAAGCAACGCCGAAAATCGATGAAACTCGACGAAGCCGGAGAAGCGGATCGGTGAGGGAAGAAAAGAAAATTTATGAAAGCTTTGTTTAACGATTTAAAGCTGCTCCCTTTTGAAAGCTTTAAAATCAATCGCCTTTCAGCTTGGCCACCCCTCGTTTATCGCTGGAAAGACCGGATCTATTGGGGACAACGGTTTTTGCAACAGTGCGAAGGTTCAGAACATACTCAACAATAGATCTCAAAAGTTTCAGTTCGGAGAGCGGCCGACTACTCGAGGCACACAAAAGAGAGTTGGAAGAGAAAGCGTCTCGGGCCCCATTGCGGACATTTGAGGGATCTCGACCGGGCGGCTCAATGCCTTCATCGTCACACTATCACTCAACGCCAACACCTCGAAGCCAGCGTCGACATGCTCCATCTCTCGACTACGCAGGTTTGTTAAAAAGAATTTCCATACATGCCAACTTTACAGGACTTTCCGGTGACACTCCACCAGCGATGCCACTTTTTCAGCAACTTTCTAAACCAACGGGTGAAACACAACATTGGGTATAAAGTATATGCCTTTTCCAAAAATTTATTGCTCAGGTTTTCAATGTCTTTCCATTTTTTGTCACGTCAACCCATTTTACTTTTGTTTAACCGGTGCATCTTGTGCTTATTTTATCTTTCAAAAATTTATTCAGATTAAATTGTCTTAAAAGGAACAATATTTCACCAGAAAATACTCAAAATGAACGATTGTGAGCAATAAAAGTAGAGAACAAGCAAATTGAACAACAACAAAAAAAAAATGTAACGAACGTTTAGGCATTGTCAACTTTGGAAAGCAATTCGTTTGGAGATTCCTTTTCGGCGTGCTCGGTGGTCGGATTCCGAAAGTCCACAATGATGCATGTCATGTTCTAAAAAATATTTACAAAATTCAAAGAAACAAGCCTCACATCACAACCGGTTCCGTCACCACCGCTATTTTCAGCCAAGCAAGAGTCGCAGAGTTCTTCCACGATGTCCTTGAGCGGCTTCTTCTGCTCTAATCGTTCCTTGATGAAGTCGACCACCTCTTGACTTGACATGGAGTTCCTGAAAAGTGACGGAAAGCTTAACGAAACTTATTAACAAACTAACCAAATGCCATCACAAGCTACGACCAGGAATTCATCTTCGGGTGTAAGCGTTTGAATCTTGACATCGGGAAGAGCACTAAATTTCAATTAAACAAGTTGAAAAAAAGCATTTGCCTAATCATTTGACTAGCAAGCGGAATGTTGTTCACCTTCTTGTAGAAATGATCTCCAAGTGCGCGACTTAAATTGAGGCCCCCGCAGACACTAAAGTTCGATTACAAGTTGTAAAAATGCAACAGTAAACCGTCCATCGTCGGTAATGATTCCACCAGCTGCTTGAATGCGTTCCTTCTCAATGGCATCCTCGGGTTTATGGTCTGACGAGAGATCGAAGGCGGTTCCAGCGTGGAACATAACAGCGCGAGAGTCACCAATGTTTGCGACAATAACCTAAATTTTTGTTTAACACCCGTTTAAACACTTAACACAAACTTTTTCTTTGCCGACCAAGCACACACACGCAGTTGTGCCGCTGTCCACTCCAGCAACTTTATTCTCCGCATTAGGTGACTCCATGGGGAAGTCTGCGTTCTCGATTCTTTCTTCGCTCCAATCTTCGCATTCATCCGACATTTCTTCATCATCATCTTCATCGCTTTCTTCTAGAAATTCTTCATCCGAAGTGTCGTCGCTATTGGAAACTTCAGCTTTGTTACTTTCACTAAACATAACATGCAGCAACGCAAAATAAAATTAACTATAATTTCCTAGGGTAGTTGCCAGCAAAATGGCTGCCTAACTAAAATATAAAACTTACTCGGCTTCAGCTGTATTAGCATTTTGCTTTTCTTCTTTAGTGGGTTCTTGATTGGTCTCCATATCATCGGCCGTTTCTTTTGGTGGTTGCTCATCATCCAACTTGGCTCGTTTGACGGGCTTTCCAGCCGGAGAGGTTGAACGCTTTGTGTGTACGACATCGCTCTGATCTTCCTAATAAAACACAGTTAAATTTCTCTATAAAAATAACCTTTTCTTCTCCACTGTCTCTATTTGCCATCTCTTCTTCGTTGTTCTCATCCTTGTTCTCTTCAATAAAGGCTTGCTTTTTCCTAGCTAATGGCTTTCTTAGTATAGCTAGTCCATATCTAAACGATACCGTTGTAAATATTCTAAAGAATTGCCAACTTTGCGAGAATCTCGTGAAGAGGGAGTGTTGCTTCGTTAATGACCGCATTCACTTCGCTTTCTTCATCTTTGTCGCCGCTTTCTTTGGTTGATGCTGTGGCGATGGCCTACACACGATCATTTAAATGTAAAATAAACTAAAAACTAAACCTCCATCTTTTCAATGGCAGTTTCACTCCGAAGATGCTCGTCAAAGTTGATGAAGACGTCCTGAAGAATTTTGGTCACATCGTCGGCCTTCTCAAATTCGCTGACTCGGATCAAGTCGGGAAGCATTTTGGCGGTGTATTGTGCCACCTAAATAGACCCTAAAAATTGATAAGCACGCATGCAAACCTCACAGCCTCCATGTCCATCGTAAACTGAAAACATGGACCATCCATCAATAAGATCCTCCAAGCAATTGTGAGCATCCTAAATTAAAAAGATCTTATAATGAAACAAGAACGATGCAAAGCAATTTCTCCAATCTTTCCTAATATGTTAACAGATTTGAACTTTTGAAGAAAGTTTCTCGTTTCTTGTTTAAATGCCTAGATCTTTACGGTTAACGGCGAGGGGTAGCGATTATCGGGCCAAGTTTTTGACCAACTTGCAGCCCGATTTTAGATAGATCTTTGTTAATAACTCTTGATGAAACAAATAGTTTCTAAAGGTTGACGTTCTAAGCTATCTAAATCTTATTAAAATTTCCAAATCCGACAAGTTTAAGATGCTTAAAAATGAGCTGCTAGTCGGCCAAAAAATTGGACCCCGCCGATAATCGCTACCCCTCGCCGCAACCAAAGGTCCGTACCTCTTGCGAAACACGCCATCCTTGCATTGAAGTCGCGGCAAATCGCAGCCGACCGTTTTGCCCCTCGATTGAATCCTTTGCCGTTTCTGGACAAGATAGATAAGCACCCATTCGATCTAAATTTGAAAAATGAAAGAATGAAAGAACAATAAGGCGAAGTAAAATTTAGCCTCAGTAAACTTATTCTATCGTTTTAATGCTACAACTTTAAAGTCCAAGAGCGCAAAACGATTTCAAACTTGACTTTTAGAGTTATAAGTAACGATAATCTGTGCGCAAACGTTTAAGTACTTGTCATCAAGTTTAATTAAACGATCGAATCGCAAGAAAAGAAAAAAATGGGATACGCGCTACGACAAAACCCGAAAGACCAAATGTTAAATTCAGCTTAATGCGTTTATTTATAGTGACAAACGGTAGTCTGTGCGTAAAGATATTCAGCCCCACAACTGAATAACTTGCATATATTTAAAAACGTTCTGCATTGTCAAATTCATTTTTATCCTGGGGAGCTGGTCAAAGCAGCGCCGGCCAAAACTAATTTTGATTGTTGCGGTTAAGTTTGATTGTGTCTTATTTTTATTGGATGTAGAAAAAAAAATTAGTTATCAGCTGAATTTGTTGGAGCTGTTTAGAACAAATCTGGGATAAAAAAATGCCAAGAAACGAAAAAGGCCTCAAAAAAAGGTTAACTGAGCTTTCCTCGACACCAATTTGGTTTTAAGTGATCAAAAGTGTAGATAATTTTATTCTCCATCCAGTAAGAATAAGAAACATAGAAATTAACCGCGAACGGGCTATTTTTTTTGCCGTGGCGCTGTTTTGACCAGCTCCCATCTTTCGCTTCTTTTGCGTCGATTATAATGTTTTTGATTTTTAGAACGCGAATGACGGTGAAACGACGCAACCATGGTCGCGGAAAGAAAGGTCGAGGACACGTGAGCTTCGTTCGATGCACAAACTGTGGCCGATGCTGCCCCAAGGACAAAGCAATTCGCAAGACTGTCGTGCGCAACATCGTCGAAGCCGCAGCCGTCAGGGATCTTTCCGAAGCATCAGTATATGATAGGTGGGTGGAGTTTTTCAGATTGAATCAGTGATTAGATCGTTACTTAAAAGATGGTTGTACTATGGGCTTTGGGGGTGGTCACTTTTGCCTTGCTTTGGGCTGAGGCTTATGTTCTGAGTGCTTGAGCAAACTTTTGCCATTTATTATGTGACAGTCGAATATTTAAGCCTTTCTATAATTTAGCAAAACCTTGTCAATGGCCTGCGATGGTTAGAATGAGGCTGGTGAGGCAAACTACCGGGTAGGAGTATTAAAACTGGCCAAAATTGTCATCCGAGCGCCCAAAATAAATGGTCCAACTAATCCAAGCCAAAAGTGGCCCCTCTCAAAGCCCATAGTACCTAAATTCTAACCTTTGATCTCAAATGAGCCGTTTAAATGCTTTTGTTGACTTAACTTGACTTTCGTTGAAGGAGCGCTAGCATTTTACAACTTTTTTTGAGCGGGAGCACATCCAAATTGATATCATAAAAAATACGAAAGACTAATATTGACTATTTAGCATACGCACTTCCGAAGCTCTACCACAAGTTGCTCTACTGTATCGCGTGTGCAATCCACAGCAAAGTGGTGAGGAATCGTTCCCGAGAGGCTCGCAAGAATCGTAAACCTCCACCACGTTTCGGACAAATGCCTCGCCCTGCACCCGCCGCCGCTGCCAAACGCAATTAAAAAGGAATATGTATGATTGTTTTTCGATAAATTGCTGTTTTCTGTAACGTCGTGAGTCTATCCGGGATTGATGAGAGTATTGGCACTTTGAATTGACAGCTATGAAAAAAGTTTTACGATTAGATTGCCTTCGAGCTTGTTTAGAGAAAGCCCATCGATTATACGTTTGAAAAAACTTCAATTTTAAAAAAGCCAGCTCTGAGCAAACACGTGACTTGTGACGGCATTGGTCAATACCTTTTAGCTGTAGTACCTTTGCCCTATCACACCAATCACCAGTCAATATGTACGTTCAAGGATCTATTTCAATCATGTGAATCTTGTTAATGATTATTCAGCGCTTCGACATTGTTTAGAATCATGCTTTTTCTCAATTTGGTTAGTTTTGGGTTTTGGTGAAGGGTAGCTTTCGAAAGAAGTCATGATATGCATCGCAAAGACGCCTATATAGGTAATCTGTACATAGCTCGGGTAAAAGAAAGCTTCCATTATTCATTTGAACAATAATTATTACTATAAAAATGAAATTGGAAAAAGTAACAATGGCATCGGCTCAATTAGGCCAATCAATCTGTTCATAGTCGAGTGCCCCCTCCAAGTATTTTCAGTTACCATTTTTCTCTAAGGACAGAAATTTTATTAGCTTCCATCATTCATTTGGACAATAATTATTTTTACCATAAAAATTAAATTGGAAAAAGTAACAGTATTTGAAAAAGGTGGTCAAATTTGAACCCTTTCGGTACCATTTGATAGCTATTTTTTTCCATCGGAAGATACTAAAAGTTTTAGAATTGGTTTAGGGAAAGCTGAGGAAAACGCATTTTGTCAAAAAGGCTAAATTGGGCGGGGCCAATTCGATCGGATCGATTGAAGAAGAAAAGTGAAACGAGAGATAATTGTCGCAGAGAAGAGGAAAAGAACAGAAGATCCCCGCGACAAAGAAGAAAAGAGCAAGAAACGAAAAGAGAATCCACTCGAAAAAGAGAAAAAGAAAACGGACATCTTGAAAGGAAGCACGGGTATCTATTTTGTTATGATTCTCTCGTTGTAAGCACGCATCGACCTCGGAAACACGGGTAGCTATTTTGCGCGCACAGTCGAGTAAATTCTATTTCTATTTACAAATTAAAAATCAATGCCTTTAAACTTTAGTTTGAAGCAACTCGCGAGGAAACATATGATGCGTATCGACAGAAAGCGGCATTTAATGTTTTTTAGTAAGTTTAGGGGGGTGGGACAAAAGCGATCTTTTATTTGCGCACCCGACCCAAAAGCGCACCTTTTCAAAAGCGCATGCGACCCAAAAGCGCACCCGACCCAAAAGCGCACTCGTCCAAAAGCGCACTCGTCCAAAAGCGCACCCAAAGATCGCTTTTGTTCCACCCCCAAGTTTAGCCAATTTGACTTTGCCTACAATCTTGTTTTAGCATGAAACCTCGCCATTGAGTTATTGCTACCGGCGGAATCCGTCAGAATTTGAACGGAAAAAAACTAGAAATGCGGTTAGAGAAAGGTTTTGATTTTTTTTATAATCAATGACCTTATACCTTTTTACAGATTTTGATCTTATGGATGAGTGGTGTCGATGTTCGAAATAATGTTTCAACTGTTTCGCTTCGAAATAATGTTTCAACTGTTTCGCTTCGAAATAATGTTTCAACTGTTTCGCTTCGAAATAATGTGTCAACTGTTGGCCGACTGTTGTGGTGAGAAAATTGCAAGTGCTTTTGATCATTTACTTATTTAGGAAAACGAGGAGGAGAAAGAAAGTTTTACTCACTATTTGGAGGTGCTCAAAGAAGTCAAAGCATTAGAGACTGCTAAGAAAAAGTAGGATAAAGACAGGTCTGTAAAATAAAGCAAGCGTAACAAAAAGTAAAAGTTTAGAATAACCGAGTTGGAAGTCAACGAGAAACGTTACCCTGGATTACTTGCCAAGTATCAAGTTGGAAGAAGAAGAAGAAAGAAAAAGATGCACAGTGGCACTTGAGAAGAAAATCCGCGAAATACAGGTTTTGGATGAAAAGCTTACTACTGAAACTTGATTTTTAGGAGTACTTTGGTTATTGGATTGACTTGAAAGATCCACGCTGTTATAATAATGTTTCAACAAAAACAAGACGAGGAAAATAAGGTAACAATTTTTGTTATTATGCCATTCTTCTGACTCATTTTTTTAGGTGGCCAGACAAGCGAAACGTCTTGAAAAGGAAAAGAAAACGATAGCCGAAGCTTTATAAAAGTGTAACGATAGTTTTGTAAAAGACAAGGAAAAGAAGGTAACAATTTTTGTTATCAACAAAGTGTTTTATACCGTTTGTTGATAACAACTGTGTTTTACACTTTGTTTTGTTTTTGCTATCTTAGTGAACAAATATTTTCTGTTGTTGTTTGATGTAACTTGTGGAAAAAACCCGAAGACAGTACCTGGATATTTTAGCGGTTTTGTAATTGTTTCTATTTTTGTTGTGTTTTTGCGGGTCTATCCCAAAACAGCGCCGACCAAAACAGCGCCGACCAAAACAGCGCCGTACCCAAAACAGCGCCAATGCAAAAACGCCCAAAACAGCGACGAGCAAAAAAAATTATTTTTTAGATTTTTGCTTTTGCTTTTTCTTTGCTGTTTTTAACTTTTTCTGTCCACTTTTTGTGTTTTTAGGGTAAAAAAAGGCGAAGAATCCGATTTTTTTAAGCTTTACGCATAGAAACCTGCGATAGCGTTTATAAAATTGATTTTAACCAAAAATAACAATTTTTTTCCTTTTACGGCCTGTTTTTTAACGTTTTCACTAACTTTTTATTTCTACTACGGATTACTTGAAAGCTCTAGCCGTTTATGTTCATCATCGCTAGTGTTATGATGTTTCAGAGTCTCTTGGACTATTAATTTGATGCTATTTTAATGTTTTTTATGCATCGTTTAATTGTTATCGTTTATTGTTGTTGGTCATGTTATTTTTAAATAAATTATCAAAATTAAAAGCTGCTAATAAAAAAAATGAGTGTACATTGTAAAAGAAAAAAAACTTTGTTTTGCATCGGCGCTGTTTTGGGCGTTTTTCATTGGCGCTGTTTTGGGTACGGCGCTATTTTGGGTGGCGCTGTTTTGGTCGGCGCTATTTTGGCGGCGCTGTTTTGGGATAGACCCGTTTTTGCTAGCTTATTGAATAAACATTTTCTGAGTTTTTGTTTCATGTAAATCGTGGAAAAACCCTGAGACAGTACCTGGGCGTTTTAAGATTACGAAAGGAAAATGCTTTGTTGCGATAATGACTGATTACGCCGAAACGATTCATTCAAAAGATTGTGAAAGAAGCCATGCAAACACTCTTCTAGATTTGTGCATTCTCTCAGCTTTTATTCATTGACAAAATAATTCCTTACTTTTAGAAATGGCGTATCGATCTCTCGTCGAATACGTCGGGGCGAGTGAAAAGAGCAGCTGTGGTTATTGTCGATCGAGGCAACGAAGTAAATCAAGTAAGGAAGTTTGATGAGTTGATTGCAGATTGCTAATTCGTTGGGTGATCTAATCCTGGCATTATGTTAATAGAGTCGTTTCGATCGTATGATTTCAAGCAAAAGAAACCATACGTATCTCTGGAGTTTGAACTATAAAATACTCGTTTCACCTATTTTATATCTTATGATTCCAGAGGAGAAACAGCCAGACCCAGACGGAAGCACCACGGATGACTCGGAATTGAACTCGGGCAACTCGTACAGTTTTGGTTGGCTTTAGTTGAATATATATTTGTTATTTGTTAGTTTGATATACAAGGTGTCTGAAAAAAAATGGGCATCGGTTTGAGTCTGGAAAAATTTTCTCGTTGATTTTTCAAGGCTCATCTTGGTGTCAAAAATGGTTTTACCTCAGGCGTCACACAACAAGATGAAGTATTTGTTTTTGATGATTTTGTCATGCATCGGTCGGGGAACTCAAAATCCACGTATACATGAAAAAAAAACCCCTTTCGAATTCCTCTATTACACCACAAATCTTTCTACTTTTTGTTTCTATAATTTTTTTTTGATATTAAGATCTTGAAAATAAGAGACTCCAAAAAGTCGGTAAGCACCAACAAGAGGGGTTTCTCGTTTAAAAATTAATCATATTTTCAAGATTTTTGAAACAGCCAATTCAACAATGTAAACTGAAATTGTAGCTAGGACATTAAAAGAACAAAACGAATTTAGAGAAACAAAAATTAGAAGGATTTGAGGTGAAATAGAGGAATTCAAAAGTGTTTTTTTCATGTATACGTGGATTTTGAGTTTCCCGACCGATGCATGACCACCTATTCACAAAATCATCAAAAAATCAACTTTATCTTGTTATGTGACGCCTAAAACAAAATCATTTTTGACACCACGATGAGCCTTGAAAAATCAACGAGAAAATTTTTCCAGACACCCTGTATAATAAAAATACTTATTTACAAGTTAGAAATAGAAAGCTAACAATCTAACAAGGATCGTAAAGATTTTGCTTTACAATCCTTGTTATAAAGTAATCGAAACAAGTCTAGGTGGAATAGCTTTTTCCTTACAACCGGAGCACGAGCAAATTATTTTGGATCGTGGGTGGGACCGGTAAGAAAATATTCTCGTTTTAATGAACAAAACGGTGCCACTCACGATCTTACTTTTGTTTCAATTTCATTTCACACATTCAGGTGTATGGGGTCATTTCCTGGCACCGAATGACTACCAAATTTTATTGGATCGTGGCTGGCGCCGGTGGGTAATCTTGAGAAAAATGGGAAGTAATATAATTTTTTAGATCCGGACGCTACCTCTACAAGCCGACTATGGATAAAACGTGTTGCCCTCAATATACAATCAGGTTTGTTCTACACTTTTAACATTTTACAAGTATATTTCATTAGGCTTGATGTCACGAAATTCAAGCTGTCGCGCACACAGCGGAAAGTCCTTCGGGCGATGAATGACTATTTAAAGAACGATCACATTCCAAAGAGCAAAGTGAACGAAGAAGCCGGTGCACAGGTTGGACGTTGATAGGGTTTCTGGTATCTTTGACATGTCTTAAAATAACTCAAAGCTAATATTTCTTTGATGTATTATATAAAAAATTTTATCTTATTGCTTTAGGCATCTATTTCTGGCACCGTTTCCAAAGCAATGCCTCTACCCAGCAAAAGCAGCACCTTGGCGGTGACGAATCTCCCGTAAAGAAGAAAAAGATTATTAGATGGTAAAACCGTTTAATTAAAGTAAAGCTTTGTGATATTTAGTGAACGAGCTATTAATAGATGGATTGCGAAAGGACTAAATGTGGAAGAAGAGCAACGCAAACGAATCGAGAAAGAGAAAGCTCGGGAAAAGACCCTTGAAAGTTTTCTTCCGCAATGGGATGAGAGTTGGAAACATAAATTGGAGGTAATTTTTAGTTATTTAGTTATTGGAGAAGATGGAGATGAATGCAGGAGAATGATGAATGCAAATGTTGTAGGTTCGTTTCGTGTCGGTTAAGTCGAAAGAATATCGCAACGATGCCCAAGAGGAGTTCGAGCTCTACAAGAAGTATCAGAGTATGGTACGGGTTTATTTAATTTAAATTTAGTTTAGAACTAATTAAAGTGTAATCAGCATCTGCTAACCATTTATTTACAGATTCATGAAGACAAGCGCAACTCATTCGAGGATTTTGAACGATTTTTGGTGAAGAGCCCGCTCACCGATGAAAGCAGGGATGAAATTGAGTGAGTTGATCTTTTTGTCAAAACTTTCTAATAGCTAGATATTGATTTATTGTTTAGACCCCACTTTGGCTCGTATCACGAACAATATCGCTTGGATGGAAAGATCATTGCTGTCGGTGTCGTTGATATTTTGCCGAAGTTGTGCCGTCTTTTAACACTACTTTTATGATGGTTTAGGTGTTTTTCAAGCAAATATCTCTTCTATGACCCGGATTATGCTTTCCTGACGCTTGGCACTTATACGGCTTTACGGTAAAGGGTTTCCTTTTCTAAATATTTAAATAAAACGATTATTCAGTGAGATTTCTTATGTTCAAAGTGACTTGTTGCCTCGTCGTGCCGAATTAAAATATTACTACATGGGGTACTACATCAACAGCTGTCCGAAGATGCGATACAAAGGGAAATTTCGTCCATCCGATCTTTTATGTGATCACTCGTTTACATGGGTAAGCCTTTCAGGGAATTCCGAAAAAGAGATTAATTTTTTAGGTTCCATTGAGCGAATGCCTCCCAATGCTTGCAGCGAATGAGGGAAATTTCACGATTTGGCGCGAAGAAATGCCGCCGGCTACAAAGATGGACGTGGATAAGCTGAATGTTTTCTACAAGCATAAGGTAAATTGAAAGTTTTACTCATTTTCTAGTCAAAATGCATTTTTAGATTTATTCCTGGAAACAGGTTAAAGCCGTCGATCCGGATTTGAATACAGAAGAGGTGAGAGTTTTCAGGAGTTTGACAATTGGTGTTGGCCTTATTTAAAGCAATCTATTAAAATTCAATCCTGGAAAATCTGTTACATTTTGTAGTAAGATGAATTTTAGCTTTGAAACTTTACAAAGCTTAGATGAACCAACTCGTAGCAAGGTTTTGAACATTCATACAATATTCTCCTTTTCTGATAGGTGGCTGATAAGCTGAGAGAATGGAGTGAAATGGTCGGCCCGGAGGCGAAATACATTGCGCTGTACCTGAAGGAATTGAACATGCAAGAGGAGTTCGATGAATAGATGAGAAAATGAAGTCAGCTCTTTTGATTTGTACACTTTTTGAATGGCTTAGGCTCTTTTATGTTGTCAAAATAGGTAGCTCTTATTGAGCTTTTTCATGTTGTCTACTCGTTTTATCTACTTTTTCATCATCGTTTGCCATTGTTTGAGTATGGTTACCCTTTATTTTCATCCCCGTGTCCTTTTTTATGTGATATGTTTCTTATTGATAGTCAACTTTGAAAGTTTTGTTATATACACACCTTTATATGTGCCGTATTTGATGTTTGTGATTGAGATTCACTTGTGTTTTGCTTGAGCGGAGTTATTGGGGAATTCATCCTTGGGATAGCAAGTCTAAAATTTCCTTATGCACTTATTCAAGAGTTTCCTTAGGCTTCAGAAATATTGCAAATTGATTGCAAATTGTACTTCGGATTATTGTACTAGGTTGATGCAAAACAAATTTCGGGCGGTATGAAATGTTCTATTTTTTTAACCTGGAAATCTTATTTGATTTTCTTTTGTATATTCATTGCCAGCCATCTAAATAATAAAATAAAATACATTTAATGTTCATAGAACGCGAAAGTAAAAAGAATAAACAAGGAAAACATCAATGGGACATTACTTTTGTGTAGCTAATTTTAGGGCTAAGTGCACTCTTCCACATCGATCTTTTGATTGGAAGGATTTTAATAAAAAAAAATCCAGATATTCTAAAACTAGAATACTTAAAGTATTTTAAAAGGAAAAAAATCTTTTAACATATGTTTTTGGTAGAAATTTCGCGAAATAACTTTTTAATGGCAATGGGACAATACTTTTGTGGACCACTGTATTCGAAGAAAAACGGGGGCTAAAAGCCATGTGTACATTACTTGAGACATTTGTACATTACTTGAGACATGTGTACATTACATGAGACATGTGCCATTATACATGTGCCATTATACATGTGCCATTATACATGTGCCATTAGACATGTGCCATTAGACATGTGCCATTATACATGTGCCATTATACATGTGCCATTAGACATGTGCCATCGGGTCGCCAAATGCATTTTAACACGCGGTTTTTGTTTTCTAAAGCGTAAAATCACATTGTACGCTTTAGAAAAGAAAAGTCGTTTGCTAGAATGCATTTGGCGACCCGATAGCACATGTCTAGTGTGCATGATGACCCTCGCTAACAATGCGCCCGTTTTGAGCTGAGTGTTTGCCAAGAAGATCACGTTTTTTGCAAGAATCTGTAAGAAAAGAAGAGTTTTTGAATAGAAATTTTAAACACAAATTAAAAAATTCGATTTGAAAGGTAAATCGAATTTTTTATTGGGGTGTCGTTCTATTTTTCAATACGCCATCTGGGTGTTGGGTTGGTGGAAAAGTCCTTTCCGATTTTTTGGGAGAGTACCTAAACAGCCATTTGTCGAATTTAGACGTTTTATAGCTCATCCTAAAGCTGAATTCAAGACGGATCGATTGGTAAAAACCGTTTTGAGATATCTCTTTTCTAAAAGTTTTTACAGCTATTTTAGTAAAGGCGGGCAGAGCCAAAAAATGGCTGTTTTCACGTTTCGTTAGTTTTCCGTGCAGAAACCTAGGCTAAAAACATGTGTTTCGTGATCAGCGCCAAAAATAACCCCTAGACACGCATTTTCAGAATCTTAGCAAAAAATTTTTGAAAAATATTGTCACCGGTGGAAGTCGAACCAGCGACCCTCAGATCAATAGCCTTTCCGCCGCTTTTCGCGATTTTTCGCCGTTTTTCTCGTTTCAATTGTTATTATGGTATATTTTAGGGTACAACAACAAAAAAATTCGATTTGAAAGGTAAATGGGATGTCGTTCTATTTTTCAATACGCCATCTGGGTGTCATTCTATTTGAGGGTGTCGTTCTAATACAGCATTTACGGTATCGACTTTTTGCATCTTTCGATATCCTTTGTGAATTCGAATTCGAAAATTTGAATCTAAATTCGCATTTTCCATTTAAAGACTAAATAAAAGCGCGCAGAAACGGATACTTCGTCATTTCATCCTCCGCTGCCTCGCAAGATGCCCGCAAAAGAAGACACATGGGCCTTTCAACCAATCGGTGATCCATTTCCCGACAACCCCGTCAAGGTATATTTTATCTACTTCCTTATTCATTTTTGTTAGCTTGTTGGCTGTTTCTCAGTCTTCGACCTTTGCCAATTTATTTGTGAAAGTTGTGAAATTTCTTTTCTCAGCTTATAGTAGAACACTTGGTATTTTTAAAAATCGTAGTCTTTTAAATGTTAGTGTTAAAAATCGTCGCCTTTTAAATGTTAGTGTTAAAAATCGTAGCCTTTTAAAAGTTAGTGTTAAAAATAGTAGTGCTTTTAAATGTTAGGGTTAAAAATAGTAGTGCTTTTGTGCTTTTGCAGTAGTTGCAGTGCTTTTGCAGTGTTTTGCAGTGCTTTTGTGCTTTTCCAGTGTTTTTGCAGTGTTTTTACAGTGTTTTGCAGTGCTTTTGCAGTATTTTGCAGTGCTTTTGTGCTTTTGCAGTATTTTGCAGTGTTTTTACAGTGCTTTTCCAGTGTTTTTGCCATTTTATTAAGTACCAAAGTCATAAGATCTAATTTTTTTGGAAAAAACCAATGCTATAATGTTGTAAAAAGGGTATTCTTTTGCAGGTATAATTATGGTAGTTGATTTATATAGAATACAGCTTTATTTAACTCCTAATTTTTGGTTTTAGGTGATGAACGAGCAGAACATGTACGTCGCTTTGTGGTACAAACACGGAAAACCAATCCATGGACGCGCGTGGAACAATGGAGGAGTCGTTGAGTGCTCTTTCCCATATAAGGAGTACGAACTCACCGGTGCCAAGTATCTCGGCGGACAAATCCAGGTACAGTGCCTGATCTTTTATGAATTTGTTGTCTTTGTTCCGAAGATAAGTTTTCTTTTAGGTTCTTCAATACAAGGGCGACCACAACAGCCTCGGCTACTGGTACAACTGGATCAAGTACGCGGATCGTCTTGAGAAGGATTTGGCCGACCGTGAGATTGTGCATTGTGGAGACTCATTCCCGATCTTCTGGCCAAACAGCCCCGAAGGACCCGTACTTGGATATGTCGACAACAAAACCGAGATTGCTTGGTTCTCAATCAACAAGAAGGTTAGTTGTTTTAAGGGTTTTCGGTCCTTTGGTGGTTAGGAGGGACCATTTTTATTCTGGCTTAGTTGGATCTAATGTTTTGAGTGGTTGTATTGATACTTTTTATCCATTCTAGGGTAATCAAATGTGCTTAATAGATTGGCGAGGCTTAGGTATCAATACAATCACCCAAAACATTAGATTTTAGCAAGTTTTGGCAATTCTAGCTTAATCTCGTGTACTTTAACCACCAAACGCTACCTGCTTACACTTGAAGATCAAATAAAAGCGGTAATATGAAACTTAAAACATGTTGTAAATGAAATTATAAGCATATTTGATTACTCTAGAATAGGTAGATACAAGGTACAACTTTTAGCTTTTAGAAAAGGTATAAAAGGCCAATACAACCACTCAAAACTGGATTCAACAAAGCCAGGATAAAAGTGGCTGATTGCTTAATAGATTGGTGACGATTTTGGTGACTCCCAACCACCAAAATACCGGTTTTTCTTGCTAACCCTATATTTATAGGTGATTCACCGTCAAGGCGGTGATCTCTTGCCGATGTTTGTCATCGCTCGCGAGCTCAAGGGAGGACCACCCAATTGTGAATGCGCCAACTGCTCCAAAAGACCATCACGTCCAGTCATTCGTGTCATGCTCAGCGAATGGGCCGATTTCCGTATGGGTGACCCGTGGCCAAACAAAAAACTTGTCAAGGTGAACATTTTGAATAAGCTTTATCTAAATATTGTTTCTGTACAGGCACTCGGCAAGTCATTGGACTCGTTGCCCGGTGAGAGCTCGGATCAATACGTCGCACTATGGTATCAACATGGAGAGCCGGTGATGGGACGCATTTGGAACGATGAAGGAAAGATTGCAGCCAACTTTGGACATGGAGGAAACGAATACAAAAAAGATGTCGGATCGCTTCAGGTATAGAAAAGTACTTTTTGGTGATTGAATTTCTTGAGTAGGTTCTTTACGAGCTCTCGGATGCTGTGCGTGGATTCGACTATGGTTGGATTCCATTCCTAGAAGCGGCATCATCCGATACGAAGGATTGGTCACCCGTATTTGTCAGTCATGAGAAAAGAAAGATCTCGCCTGGGGTGATTACTGTGAATGGAAAGCAAATTCTTGGAGAGGTTTGTTATTGTGTACTGACGACGTGATTTGTTCTTTCTATAGCTTGTTCTATGGTTCTTTATTTAGGTTGACATCAAGAACGAAAGGTGTTCGTACGGAGCTGGTGGCAAAGAAAACGTGATCCAGGGACCCGCCGTCCACTCAACGCTCGTCCTCTGCAAGCGAAGCAATACAACGAAGGCAGTTAATGCAACCACTACAATCAATACGATCAGAACAATCTCGCAGACGAGTCAATGCAATCACCAGAAGCTTGGTAAGTGTTTGTTTGCAAAATTTCGATAGTTTCTTCATCTTTAGATTCGATTGCGTTTATCAAACTGGTTCTGGTGACGGCTTTGGTGATTCTCGTGCGGTGTCTTGAGTGGATTCTGCAAAAAATGATTCTAATTTATGAGGTAGGTATCGTTTTCGTATTCATTTGCGAGCTACGCTAGATTAAATCAAATGCAAAAGTTTTTGTTTAGAAATTACCGATGATCTACAATGCGGCTCGTTTCTGCTACGAGAAACCAGATTTGGCCAAGGTTTGGTCTTGTCAATATCTAATTGTTCATATCTTTTTTTCTAGGATCTCATCCGCACTTCTTGGCACCTTGCTTATGTCTCTTATCAAAGCAATCTTTGGACACTTAGGTGAGCTAGTTTTACCGGATTTTTCATTAATTATAAGTTGTTATCTTGGCTATCAATAATCTTCTTGTAGTGATGCTTTTGACGCGTTCTTTGGTAACTCGATTGAAAAGATGAATGAACTTGGGGAAAAGTCAGTTTTCTGAAAACTTTTCTTTCTGGTTCTTGCATAAATTCTTATTGAAATGAAAACATTTTTATTTTAGAGCCAATGAAAAAGTAAAACGAGGAGGAAAATCGCCAAATTTACCCACCAAATCCCCAGCCACTCCGAGCAAGGTAAAGCAAATTCTACTTTTGATAAAAGTCGTAAAAAGTCCAAAGCTTTTGGCAAGGGTACAGGCAAGGGATACTAAAGGATAACGGAAAGCTTAACGAAACCCATACAATTCTTATGCCAGTACTTGTGATGAATATTGTAAACGAGCTACAGTTTGTATGTTTAGGCACAGAGGGTGGAGTGAAATCGTCCATCTTCGTCTTTCTCAATTACTGCAGTCGTTTCTCTCCATTCGATCACTTCGTTATACGATATTTTTGCATTTGGGCAATAAATTGTGAGAAGATTTTTAAATTGAGGTAAAGCACTTGAAAATGGATTCTCCTAGTAGAGCGAAATGATAAAAAAAACTGGTCTTGAACATTGCCGCCTCTTATTACAATTCCCACAACAACTTAAAAAGACTTGGCAACCCTGTACCTTGTAATGTTATTTTAAGATTTATTTTATAAAACCTGTCAATGTCACAAATCTGTAAACGTCAATCTCACATGCAAGAGATCAATTCAAAAAGCAAGGCAAAGTTTAGCATCATACGGAATCACAAAGCACGATTAACTTGATGGCAATAATAATTTATAAAAACAGCAATAATCAAACTGGTATAGTAGTAAACAATCAATCACGTTTGCAGCCGATTTTCCGCGCGATCCAAGTGTAAGCGTAGCGGATGAGAAGTACGATGAATGAGAAGAGTGGAATGATCGACAACAAAATCTAAAACAAACCAATAAAGAAGTTGTTTAACGACTTTAGCATAATTAAAGCGAATTGACCTACCACATTGTCTAGATGAGGGATCCTTTGTTGAAGCGCACTTTCATCAAGCTCCGTTGAAACTGCTGGATCGATTGGCTCGTCAAGGCCGAATTGGCGTGTAGCAGCTTCTACACGAAGCGTGGCAATTTCCGATTGATAATTCTTCAAGGTAGCTAAATTTCAACCAATTTTCAAATTTTATAGACCATAGCAAACCTTGAAGCATAGTGTTTTCTTCCTTAAGCCGTGCCAACTCTTCAACCAATTCCTTGTTTGCCAATTCTTCTTTGCCATCGATATCCAATTCTAAAATTACAAGTTGAAAGCATAAAACAATAAGTTGTACGTACCATCGCCACTTAGTTCGACAAACGCTTCGGACAGAACCTCCTCGTCTTCCTCTCCCTCTGCTTCTTCTTCTTTGATTGTGATTAGGATGCTTGACGTCGATAAATGGTTACTTGCTTCTAGATCATCTTCTGACTTTATTTGAGGCAGTATGGCGTCATCTTGTTGCAACTGATTCTCAGGCTCGGATTCTAAATAAAATCTTCAGTAGGTTAAAAAGTTGAAGCGTTTACTCAAAAACTCCACTTTCGCTTCAAGCTCGTGCACGAGTTTTGTGTTTTCACTGCGCACTTCCTCCAAAGCGCTGGTCACCGTCGCGTTGTAGTTGATCAAGGTCTCGTACTAAAAATACGACTCTCGATTTCGATCGAAACAAACTCACTTTTTGCTTCATGATTTGAAATTCCTCTTCAAGTGTCAGCAAACTTCGTTCGGTGTCGCTCAATCGGAGCTCGGCTTCAACTCGCTGTTCTCGCGCCTTATTGATTTCGTTGTGCGTTTTCTCCATGTACTCCGCCTTGTCTGCGAGCAGTTGATGCATCTCGTTTCGAATCGTGTTGTCATCTTTGCCTTTAAGAGCCAACTGCCCCTCCAAAACACCAATTCTAATATTTACGATATGTAAATTCAATTAAATCGTCAAACCTTGCGAGCAAACGATCCTCACTCAGAAACGATTTCCACGCCCGGTCAGTAGCTAACTCCGCGCTTTCAAGTTGAGAATTCAATTGGCCAATCTTCTCGTCGCGGTACTTCTCTCTAAACATAAAGTGCCAACTTTGGAAGCTAAAATGAAACTACCTCAGTAATGCCTCCTTGAGGAGCTGTTGTATCTGGAAGAGTTGTTGGCTGGTGACAAGCGATCCAACGAAGCTTTGATTGGTGGACGATGATTCAAGGCTGTTTCTAAAATTGATCAAACGTCGACATCGTAATGCTAACTGCTTACGCTTGGCTTTCCATTTCTTCACCGTTTTCATCAAAAAGTCGAACCATCGCCAAAATGCACCCATGTGAGACTAAAAAAGAAAAGCTCCTAATAAAACAACCGTTGTTCGGTTTGTTGGCCCAACCCTTGTTCGCGTTCTCCACAATTTCCACGCCAAACTGAATGATGTCGCCGGTGTTGATCTGTTGCGGTGCTGAATCCTCCCCGGTTTGCCCGAGTCTCTCATTGTTCACAAATGTGCCTAAAGTTAAATGTTAGTCATTAAGCTCACTCGCCGACTAAACTCTCCAAACAAATCATAAACAGAAACACCTTACCATTGCTGCTTTTCGTGTCCTTGATCATGAAAGCGCCGTCAGAGAACCATACAATCGCGTGATTCCTTGACAACACTTTGCAGTCGAAAACAGCGTTCTCCGTCGCCGGTTTGAGTCGAGCCACCGAGCGTCCGATCTTCAGCGGATCCTGCGCGTTTCCGACCTGGCATCGCCGCTCGTCGAATGGATGCGATTGGGCGCACGGGTTGAGGACGATCATCGGGCCCTTCATCCTAAATGAGAAGAATTAAAGTTGCAAAGGAAAGAGTAAAAAAAATTGAACAGCACGTTTTATAAGTAGAAGAAAAGTTGCAACTTTGCACTTTTAACAAATGAAAAACGAGCGTTAGCAATATAATTTTACAGTGTTCCCATTTCCAGAGGCAAACTACGTTTTTTGTTTTTTTGATAGATATTAATCAGGGTTATCGAATGAAACCAACAATAGCCAAATCGGTCAAGTGAGCGGCGAGAAAAAAAACAAAAAAAGTAGTTTGCCTCTGTCAATGGGTCAGCACTACAAAAGTATAGTTAGGGGAGTGGGACAAATACGACCTTTTTTTTGCGCGCCCGGACACTTGCGCACCTTGCCCATTAGCGCACCTTTTTTCACGTCTTAAAAAAGCTCTAAAAAAAGCTAATATTAACCAATTTCTATTCCAAATGTTGTTTTTCTAGGTAATTTTAGGGCGTAGAATTCAAATTTTGACATAACAGAGCGTGTGGAAACAAACGGACGGAGTTATACAAAGAGAAAAATCGACAATTTTCTGTAATTTGATCTAGCCGTTTTGTCTTTCAAATTGGTTCCACACGCTCTGTTATGTCGAAATTTGAATTCGACACCCTCAAATTACCTAGAAAAACAACATTTGGAATAGAAATTGGTTAATATTAGCTTTTTAGAGCTTTTTTAAAAACGCGAAAAAGGTGCGCTAATGGGCAAGGTGCGGAAAAAAGGCGCGCAAATGTCCGGGTGCGCAAAAAATGGGGCAACACTACAAAAGTATAGTTAGCAAAGATTATATTGGTCTTGATTATAAGATATTCAATCAAGCGTTTTAATATTTTTGATTCAAACCAATGATGTTAGCGGAGTATAAAAAGCAAAAGTTTTTGGCGTTTTTAGGGATAGGCTAATTTCCGGGATTTTTTTTGCGCAACTCGCCATAAATTTTTTCTAAATGGACCAATATTTATGATTTTGGTTTCATTTTGTTGCACTTATTGAGATCTACAAAATAAAACCAAAATCATAAAGATTGGTCCACTTAGAAGAAAGTTATGGCGAGCTGCGCAAAGAAATTTGCGGAAATTTGCCTACCCCCGTTTTTACAATTTACTTTTTTACAATTTACGTTTTACAATTTCCATACAACGTAATGCACGGTTGATTTTTGCGTGAAAAAATTGTCACTTCTATTCGAGTGTTTGACCAGTTCGGCAGCATTTTACAAATCTTGAAAACACGTGAGTTTTTATTCGTTGTTAGAGCATTAAGTCTCTAAATCTTCTGGAAACTTGGCTTGTGAACGTATTTGTATTTTCAGAAGCTCGGATTTCTAACAAGGCAACGGAAGAAACGACAACTCCAATGAGGTATTGCATTTTTGGTGTACCATTTAAATAATGTTTTTGTTTAGAACCCGGTCACAGACGAATCAGCACAATCAACGGACCGCTGGTGGTAAGTTTTCAATAAAATTTCGATAGTTTCTTCATCTTTAGATTCGATTGCGTTTATCAAACTGGTTCTGGTGACGGCTTTGGTGATTCTCGTGCGGTGTCTTGAGTGGATTCTGCAAAAAATGATTCTAATCTATGAGGTATCGTTTTTGTATTCATTTCATTTCATTCATTTCATTCATAGATTAAATCAGATTCAAAAGTTTTTGTTTAGAAATTACCGATGATCTACAATGCGGCTCGTTTCTGCTACGAGAAACCAGATTTGGCCCAGGTTTGGTCTTGTCAATATCTAATTGTTCATATCTTTTTTTCTAGGATCTCATCCGCACTTCTTGGCACCTTGCTTATGTCTCTTATCAAAGCAATCTTTGGACACTTAGGTGAGCTAGTTTTACCGGATTTTTCATTAATTATAAGTTGTTATCTTGGTTATCAATAATCTTCTTGTAGTGATGCTTTTGACGCGTTCTTTGGTAACTCGATTGAAAAGATGAATGAATTTGGGGAAAAGTCAGTTTTCTGAAAACTTTTCTTTCTTTCTGGTTCTTGCATAAATTCTTATTGAAATGAAAACATTTTTATTTTAGAGCCAATGAAAAAGTAAAACGAGGAGGGAAATCGCCAAATTCGCCCACGAAATCGCCGGCCATTTCAATAAAGGTATAAATTGCTTGCGTTTGATTGCTTAAAACGGATAACGGGGCTTTAATGCACCCATTATCCGTAAGTTGTACTGCCGTGATTTGACAAAGTTTAACAAACCTATTCCTTTGTTTAGACACCGAGGTGAAGTCGTCCATTCTCGATCACTAAACTTGTTTCTCGTCATCTCGTTGCTTCTTTTACATGGGTTTTTGGATTCGAGTAATAAATTATGAAAAGATTTTTAAATTGAAGTAAAACACTTGAAGAATTGTAAAGTAAATGGGAGCAACGCCAAATGGCACAAAATTTTAGCGTTTAGTGAATTGACTATTAGTTGTTTTCATTTTTCACCACTTTATCGATAAATAAATCCAGTTTTACATCCACTAGATACAAGTATTTTATATCTATTCAGGTGCTCATTTATTTATACACCCAGGTGGTTCCATTTCCCGTTTGCCGGACAGCATGTGGCCTCCGCACTAATCGCTGTGAGGGTGGGAGTGCGAGATAACAGTTCTTCTCCTTTTTTTCCTGACGGGCATCGGGTGAATGTGTGTGTGTGTGGGGGAACGCACATCCCCGATAGAAGAAAGACAAAAAAATAAATATAGGCATGCATTGAGAGATAGACTGTGCGTGAAGAGAAAAAAGGGAGGGGAAATGTGGAAGAGTGCAATGGGATGCACACATACACATAAAAGTCCCCGCGATCAATTCTTTCCCATCCACTCCCCCCCTGCGGTCTCATGTCTCTTTATCGCGCTCTGCTGAAATTTATATGTTTCAGTTATTTCGCCTCTACATCTCTATATATGCCTCTACAACTCTATATATGTATATTAGGCAACTTAATTCAAAGATAATGCAAAATAGAAAGTGAAAACATCACAAATCTTTTCAAAGAGAGGTCTTTCATTTTTCAAACCGTTCAAATTCGAAAAACCTAATTTATTCGAAAGGAATAAAACACAAATTCGAAAAAAAGGCGTTTTCAATAACTGAAATTTTGAGAACAAATTACCGTAAATACTTAACGCCATCCCCATAATGACGGGCGTACAGTCGCGTAGTCTATCTTTGAACATCCCATTCTTCGCGCTGTTTTAAGCTACAGTGTGCTAAATGGTGTCAAATGATAGCCCTTGAAATCTAGTATTTTTTTGGTACTAAAAGTGTAGTTGGGAAAAATCTAGGGGCTAAGAAAAAAAATGATTTTCTAAAAAGAGGTTAAACTACGCGACTTTACGAGAAGGTGGCGTTCTATTAGAGAATTTACGGTAGTAGTTGATCTCATTTTTAAGCTGGAGGCTTTGTCAGATTAAGATTAGATTGCTGTATGCATTTGTGTGCAATTTGAGTACGAGTACAAATGCAAATTCGTTTGCAAAGGCTTTGTAAAAACTTATAGTTAGATCCGTCTCAAGAAGCGGATTTCTCAATAAGAGTTCTACAGGTTCTTTTTCATGTTTTCTGATCACTTCTTTATTTTTATCTCCTTTCATTCATTTCACTTCTACACCCACCATTTCTCTTATTCTTTTTCGATCACATGTTTTGGTCATTTTTCCATTTTCTCCTTCTTTCATTTTCTCCTTCTTCCATTTTCTCCTTCTTCCATTTTCTCCTTCCATTCTCTCCTTCTTCCATTTTCTCCTTCTTCCATTTTCTCCTTCCCATTTCTTCCATTTTCCCCTCTTCCATTTTCTCCTTCCATTTTCTCCTTCTTCCATTCTCTCCCTTCCATTTTCTCCTTCCATTCTCTCCATCTTCCATTTTCTCCTTCCATTTTCTCCTTCTTCCATTCTCTCCTTCTTCCATTTTCTCCTTCCATTCTCTCCATCTTCCATTTTCTCCTTCCATTCTCTCCATCTTCCATTTTCTCCTTCCATTTTCTCCTTCTTCCATTCTCTCCTTCTTCCATTTTCTCCTTCCATTCTCTCCATCTTCCATTTTCTCCTTCCATTCTCTCCTTCTTCCATTTTCTCCTTCTTCCATTTTCTCCTTCCATTCTCTCCTTCTTCCATTCTCTCCTTCTTCCATTTTCTCCTTCTTCCATTTTCTCCTTCTTCCATTTTCTCCTTCCATTTTCCCCTTCCATTTTCTCCTTCACAATAAGCTCATACTTTTTCCGTGATTTTTCTCTTAGATAAGGGTGACTCCTTTTCACTCAAGGATTTCGATGAAATTTTTGAGAGAAATTGGTCGATGAGTAATTGTCCATGTGAGAATGTTTTCTTATGAAAAAAATCGAATAGTATTGTTAGTTTTTGGAGAACAGATAAAACGGTAATTTCTGAAAGTTTGAAGGCTCAAAGTTCTCGAAAACAAGCTAAGCTTATCTGCATATTTGTTTTCAGCAAATTTTGATCGTTTCAAACCAATGCTTCAGTGCAAATAACGTTTCAAAAGCTGATTTGATTTGATTTCACAGATGATTTGATAATGAGGATGATTGGCTCGAATTGTAAGAGTGATTCATATTTGAGTCGCAGAAATTAGGCTTCAAAATGAGCTATAAAATTTGGCTCAAATAATCAACAATTTGGCTCAATTTGGCTCAATAATCAACAACAAAATTCTATGGCCTGAAGAAATCTCGAAGAATCAGCGCAAATTTGATCAGTTCATCCAATCGAAAGTTTCAACAGTTTAATTGGAAACGGTGTTCAGTTGGAAACCTGCCAAAACAGTGGATTTGATCGTTCTCGGATTCATCAACATCCCACAAGTCTTGAAAGACTTTTCAGCGCCTTTGGAATACTTGAAATACTACAGGCGTTTATGAGCCATTGTAGCTAAACGTCCATCGGGGTGCCCTTTGTCAGACTGTCCCACTAAATTTGGTTCCATATCTCTCTAAATTTGGTTCATTATGTCAGATTGTCAGACTGTCTTTTCGTGGTCATCATCCATCATCCATTCGTCGTAGAAGTGACGGATCTTTGTTTTGAATAGGTTCTAGGTTCTAAAAGTCGTCAAGCGGTTGGATGAATTTTGTCGTTTCTCTGAGCACCACAGCCGTTCCTCTGAGCACCATAGCCATAGCTTCAGCGACTTGAGCTTCTTTTTTGTGATTTGTGAAGATGTGATGTGACATTTGACGCTGATATTACATCGAAATGAGGAGCAGTCGCTTTTTGAACGAAATTGATCGAAACGTTCGGTATTGATCCAAACGTCCGGTATTGATCCAAACGTCCGGTATTGATTCAAACATCCGGTATTGATCCAAACGTCCGGTATTGATTCAAACGTCCGGCATTGATCCAAACGTCCGGTATTCATCTAAACGTCCAAGTAAATCGATGTGAGCGTGTCATCGAATGTCATCGATGTGAGCATCGAACCACGTCTTTCCAGTTTAAGCCTTGAGCTCTCCCTTGAATTGCTTTTCAATGACCGGATCAGGGCTTCCTCTTAAGCAAGACAAGTGGGCGGCACTTGATTCCATCTGATCTTCCAGTTAACATGACCGTTAACAGTTAACATCCTGGTATTTTGTCCTGTACTCAAGACGGTGATCTCCCTGGCTCATTTTGTTTTGTCGCATTTGCCACCAAGCGGCCACCACCACCATTTGCCAGTCCTGTTTCATCCACCGTATAGAACAAATCGTATTCTTCCTTTTGCCGAAGCTGTGAATCGTATCCTTCCATTACAAAGTTCACGATGACATCTTCGAACTCGTTTGGCGGCTTTTGAGCAATTAGAGAATCCTTTTAGAGAAACCATTGGTTGAAGAAAACACGTAAACTATTTATTAGGCAACGATTCAAAGGAAATTTCCCAAACGCCACCAATTTTTTGACAACACAGATCAAAAGACACACCATCCCTTTCATCTCTTTCATTTTCGGCTCACATTTCATTGTGATCTCTTCAATGATCTCCTCGACGATCTCCTCAACTTTTTTCTCCTTTCCCCTTTCCCCTTTTCCAACCATTTCCAATCAATCGTTTCAATCTCATTTGAACTTTTTGTTCGCGAAAATTTGAAAAGAACACTCAAAAAGTGGTTCTCCTGAAATGATCGCTCAGATTTGTGGTGCTCACGATCAATCATCGTGGCTCAGATTTGTGGTGAAAATTTTTGTGCTAGACTTAATTGATTCACTCCATAGACATTTTGCTCACCTGTAAAACGGAGAAAGAGCAGCATTGGCCTAGGGGATAGTGAGCCGGCCTACGGAATCGATGCCACTTCTTGCAGTGGGTTCGAGTCCCACCACCGACAATTTATTCTGTTTTTTGATAAACAGATAAATACCAAGGCAGTGCTAAGGTTTAAGGCAGTGCTTGTAATTCTAGTGCTGTTTACACTAGAATTACTAGATTAACACTATTCGGTGGGTAAACTTGTAAAAACACGCCTTTCTGTGCGTTCTGGTGCGAATTCTGGTGCGAATTGCAATTTGAAGAGCTAGATGTTAAAGGTCAAATATTTAACCTTTCTTTGCGCTTCCTGCTCGTGTGCTTTGCTCAAATTTGTAAACACACTCCTTCTAGTGCACTGAATTTCTCATTTTTCACTCTTTAATATGGATAAATGGGCTAAAAACACTCCTCCTGGTGCACTTCCTATTTTGATCTAATCCGGTTCCAATACGGTTCTTTTTTTGATCCAATACGGTTCCAATACGGTTCCTATTTTGATCCAATACGGTTCTTTTTTTGATCCAATACGGTTCCTATTTTGATCAGTGCACCAGGAGGAGCGTTTTTATATGAGAGCCCAAAGTAGACCAAGTAAGACTCATAGTTGGCCTTTCCTTGGGCTTCCGAAAACGCCTCAAAGGTGAAAAATTCCTCACATTTGTTTCTATTTGTCAAGAGGTTTTTTTCAGGAATTGACTGTATTGACATTTATGATTGGAACTTCTCCCTGTATAGATCCCCTTTTTTTTTCTCTTTTCCCCATTTCCTCTTTCATTTTCCCCCCACCACATCCCCGATTCGCGCATTGATTTCGGATAGAAGAGTTCAGCTCAATCGGTTTTATTTTGTGCTTTTTGGTTGGAAGAACTTTAGATATTGGTTTTTGATAGATTTTGGCACTTTCGGTTATAATTATTCCTTTACAAAACATTTTGCGATTTTTTTTTTGATTTTTGATTTGCGATGATTTGACGGCTTTACTGA